TACCAGAAAAATAAAAAAAGAATGCAGTGGCAGCATAAATAGGTAAATGTCAAGGTTTGTCAGCTCTGCAGATCAAGGAAAACTCTACTGTGGGTGACAAGTGAGAGGGTAGAACATGTGAAAAGATTACTAAACCTTGAAAGGAACAAGAAGAGAAATAAATGAAGAAGAAACAAAATTCCAATTGTCTGTAGGGAATTAAAATTGTAAGTGCATTCAGGTTGTCCTCTGAAATGTCAAGTGCTACAGGGTTACAAAAGCATTAAAAAAATAACCAGCGTATCACCAGATATTATACTCTCAAGGACCTGAAAGAGCAATCAGGTGCTTTTTTTTTTATTCTTGATGAAGGACCCCTAAACTTAAAATAAACAATTGGGTAAATGTCTACTATGTATTATTTCACTTATAAAATGTACAACACAGAATCACAGGGACCTTAGAGGTCATCTAATCAACTCCTTGCCCAGTGCAGTACCTTCGTACCATCCAGACAAATGACTGTCCAATTTTTTCTTGAAAACTTAAAATGATGGAGAACCATGACCACAGGAAGCAGGCTGTTCCATTTTTTAAATAGCTCTCCCCGTCCAGAAATTCCTCTTTATTTAAAGTTTCCTAACAGTGTTCATTGCAAAAAACCTTATGAAGTCGTATCTCACTAGTTATGAGCTCCTTGTTTGATAGCCAAGAACATTCCAAAGAGCACCAAAAGGGATGCATTAAGAATTGGCAGATTTATACAACAACAAAAATCTCAATTTTGGGTTCAGTAGATGCTTTATCAGGTATAGTAAACTGCATATCTGAATAGCCAGGAAGGAAATGGGATAAAGAAAAAAGTGAGTGTTCCAGTTTAGTTGTTAGAAGCTAGAATTGGGTAAAAATATTGCTACATAAAATCATGACAAACCAAGAGCTGCCTTGGATCAACCTTACGTGAAATAATGATGTTGAGGTGAAGAGAATGAATAGACAATAGTGATAAATGGTAATATAGGCTGTGATAAAGTAAAACAGTACTGTAAAAAGAAACTATGGGGAGAGTTGGAATTATGTGATTTTTTTAAAAAAGCAGATCGTTGAAAATTATTGTGATAGCCAAATGTTATTCTGAGCATTATCTTTTTGTGAGGAATGGGAATGCTCCACAACTAATCTATTTTTCTAATCAGAACTCTATCTTGAGTCAAATCAAGGATTTCTCGTATAGGTTTCCTGGGTTGGAGAATTGGAGAAATATGATTTGATCCTCTTGGATGACTATTTAGTTTGCTTGAGATAAAGTCCTAATTATTACCACAGTTGCCTTTCAACCTGCGCCACTTTCAGCTTGTGCCACCCTTGGAAGACAGTCAGTTTGGTCTAGTGCAGTGGTTCTCAACCTGTAGGTCGCGATCCCTTTGCGGGTCGAACGACCCTTTTACAGGGGTCGCCTAAGACCATCGGAAAACACATATTTTCAATGGTTTTAGGAATAATTTTATGGTTGGGGGTCACCACAACATGAGGAACTCTATTAAAGGATCGCGGCATTAGGAAGGTTGAGAAACACTGGTCTAGTGGTTAAGGCACCAGGCTAGAAAGCCGGAGACTAGCCCTGCCTTAGCCATGAAAGCCAGCTGGGTAATCTTGGGCCAGTCATTCACTCTCTCAGCCATTTTACAGGTTGTTGTTGTGGGAAAAGTAGGAGAAGGAAAGTGTGTCGGATATATTTGCTGTCACAAGTTATTTGTAAAAAATAATGACGATGGACTATATATACAAATAAACAAACAAACAAGCCAACAGTCATGGTATTCATATGAAGAAAGCTGCTGTATTACGACTTCTTATGACATACAAGTTTCGGCAAAATTGAAACCAATGTTCTTGTTGCAGAAATGACTGCAGCAATATTTCTGGAATAAAGATCATTTGTCATGTAGGGAGACTATTAGTCTTATTTTTCAAGACAAAAGGAATACAATTTTATTTTTCTTATGGGACTCTCAATGGCATCTAATAATCGCACTTCCCCTGCCCATGAGTCATTTTGTATAATATATTTGATATTCAAGTTTTCGACTTATTATTTTTGGCAGCAGCTACTGCGTAAAGCATTCGTCTTCCTTTAAAATTATCAAGCTGGGCCACTAGTCATAACCTATCCACCCAAAAGAATAAATAATGTGGTATCCATAGAAATACATAATGTAAATCAGTTTAAATTCCCAAATTCAATTCATAAAGAGCTCTGTTGCTATAAACCTGTGCATTTTGGTGAGACTTTCTCTCTTCCTAGGCATTTGTGTACTGGATTATAACTTTCTTTTTAATATTTCATATTAGGTAGCTTATTTTTTTTTCCTTTTGCTTGCCAAAACCTAACATTCTGTAAGCATTTACTCAGTGATGAACATAACAGTATGTATTTTTTTAACACAAATTCAGTTTTTCCTGTATTCTGTGTACTTGCTGCTATTAACAGGCTTTTCGGTATTGCATATATTAAATGAAGGATTATAGCTAAAAATCTTGCTTTCTTTTGCTGCCTAGTTTATTATTAACTAATGTAAAAACAAGCATCTTTAAATAGTTAACTCAAACTTGCCAGTGATTATATAGCCAGTTCCTGGTGTGTAATAAAATGGCTTTAAGAGATTAAGAGGGTGTTCCAAATCACGACATTGCCTAAAAATGAAATCACTTAAATCATTTCTACCATACAGTAATTCTCTTGGGGCACATATATATATGGAAGGAAGGCCCCCAGCTTCATTCTCTTTCAAAGGGCCCCTGGTTTTGCCAGTGGTTTTGGGGACCCCAGAGTGATACCGAGCCCATCAAGTGGCTTGTTTGTTTGATTGCTGTTGTTGTTGGGGTGGTTATTGGGTTTTGTATTTGGGGTTTTACTTCTGTAAGCCACCTGGAATCACCGTGAGAGGGTTGGGTGGCCATATAAATTTTCTTAATAAATAAGCAAAATAAAGTAGGATAATTGGGGAAAGAAATCAAAGTTCACCCCCTACTCCACTAAGCAGATTAATTTCACTGGTGCTAGGAATCATCTAACTGACAGTACATCTGCTCTGATGAGTATCTGGGGATTCTCAGAGTTGCAAAGTGAAGATTAAATAATATACTCTTAGATATGTTGTGTGCATTGAGGGGCTGTGCTCCCTCAGATTATCATATTAGATTTATCTGTTAAATTCTTCTGGCAGGCCATATTGGAAATTCAGAAAATTACATTCAGCTGCTTTGTATGCTGCTTAATGCTGCATTTTCAGAAAGTAATCATACATATTTTTCTCAGAAAATCAGGTACATGGACTACAGATAGTCCTCCATTTAACAACCGTTCATTTAATGACTGTTCACAGTTACAACGGCTCTGAAAAAAGTGACTTATGACTGTTTTCCAAACTTATGACCATTGCAGCATCCCCATGGTCACGTGATCAAAATTCAGATGCTTGGCAGCTGGTTCATATTTATGACGGTTGCAGTGTCCTGGGGTCACACAATCCCCTTTTGCGACCTTCTGACAAGCAAAGTCAATGGGGAAGCCAGATTCACTTAACAACCGTGTGCCTAACTTAACAAATGCAATGATTCACTTAACAACTGTGCCAAAAAAAGGGGTGGAACTCACTTAACAAAGTTTCACTTAGCAACATAAATTTTGGGCTCAATTGTGGTCGTAACTCGAGGACTACCTATACTCAAAGTTGGGTTGAAATCCCGTATTGGGAGATATTCTCCATCAGATTTAGGGGATCGTGTAAAACTGGAAGCAAAACCAAACTTGTCTCTTCATATAGTTTTGTCACTGGAAACTGCTTTTATTAATGATGTCATAGTCTGGGATTTCATGCTGTGCTTTATTGCCTCTCTTTTTACATTTCTATGGAAAGCTGTTAAGTAAAAATAAAATTTTACAACTTGGTGCGGGTCACGCATCATTTTTCTTTATCAGCAGTTTAAGGAGCAGCAGTGACAATTCAGACCTGCTGCCTAAATACAGCAGTTGATGGTTTAAGGGTTAACAAGCTGTTCTAGATAAGAACCGTTTCTTTTTAATGGTTGGTTTCTCTTATGACTGAGATGAGGTGGATATCCTATCCTGAACTGAGTCACACCCTGCATGAAAAGCTTCCAAGAAGATAATTGTTCTCCAAAATATTTCCTGATCTATTACAGATGTGCCCTGAGAAATACTGATTTCTGTCTTAGTTTTTGGTATATGTGAAAATGGCATTTAAAAAAAGCCAATTAATTAAAATCTAAGTAAATTTATTCTAAATATAAACACAGAATTCATTCTCTTGGTTGTTGTTTTTTATAATTATAGTAATATCTGCTTGCATTTTACTTTGCATAATTTAGAGAAATGTGTATACATTGTATGGTAGTTAATATTCCCTTTGTGTGGTAAGAAATATTCTCTAATACCAATGAGATAAATATCGGTATCAATTGTATTAATATTAAAATATATTAAGATGATTGACAAAGTACTGCTTCTGAATGGCAGCATCGGTCCTTTGGAATGGCATCCCAATGGAGATATGGTTGACTTCCATCTTTATTGCTTTCCAGAAACAGCTCAAAATAAAGTTCTTTCAGAGGGTATTTAGATTGTGATGTCATCTTGGCTGAGATTTATAGACTGATTTTTGTTGGGACTTGTTGGGACTTATACATCCTGAAACATATATTTCAATTTTAATTTGATTGTGGATTGTGTCATTATATCTTTTATTTTTGTGAACTGCCAAGAGTCCTTTGGGACTTCAGAGGGATCGATGGACAGAGTGACAGATAGACATTATGTATGCGTGTATTTATCAATGGATGGATGGATGCATGCATGCATGCATAGACAGAAAGAATCTCTCTCTTTCTCTCTCGATTGGGAGGGACAGACAAACAGAACAACTGTATATTACACTGCAAATAAATGGCTTTGACTTTGTTAAGAAATGCCAGACAACTAAGATTTGCAATTGTTACAGATCCCCTGCAGTTTGGAATACTGGGATGAGCTCCAGAAGTCATTTGTTGCTTTCAGAGAGTTCAGCTTATCGGAAAGCAAAGTTTGTGAGTTGACCCTGCCAAATATCAACTTAATAACTGATCCAAAAGAGTTTATAGCTTCAGATCTTTGGAGAATTGTTCTGAACAGCAACCAGAATTCAGGGGATGACCAAAGGTAAATGCCGTATTGATTATGAAACAGTAATGTATTTCACCAAGACAGATCATGCTATTTTCTAAACCAGAAGCTAAAACACTGAAACAGACAAAAACTCATGACTCTTCAAACAATTCATTATTTGCTGAAAGAAATTTCACTGAAATAGATGACTGAAACACCACATTACACAGATCTAGATTTTTAGATCTGGAAGAATGCTAAAATTATCCAAGCCTTCCACAGGGTAACTTGGTTGGTCATGATATAAAGAAGTCGAGGTAAATCTTGGATCCAAGAAGTTCTCACCTGTCTTTCTCTGGCATGATCGCAAAGAGATTGAAAGCTTTAAAAAAAATCACAGTATTGCCTCTGAATCCTAATCTACAGTTATATTTAACTGTTTTGTTGAGATAAATCCAGTACATAGCCCGCTGTATTTACTTGGCCATGTTTCAAAGAAATCATCAAGATCGACTACAATATATCAAATTGAAATAATAAAATAGCAGTGAATCTTTGTAAATTTATGTTTGTGTTCGAAGTGAGGAATTTGTTTCTGTTACGTTGTGTCCCCTCAGCAATCTGACAAAGTTAATTCAATCAAACAGACAATAATTGATTCAGGTTCATCTGAGTTCATCTGTAAAAACTTCATGGCTAAGTGAGAATAGAATCCTTTCTTTCTTGACTCTAGTTCAATCTTTTAAGAATACCTTACTCTCTCACCTTTTTTTTTATTAGATGACTAATGTATTCCCTAGAAAACAATTAAGGCAAAGGTTTGGAAACTATTGTCTAATAAGAGTTTATTTCATTTAAATAGGAATATAATATATTCTTATTATAATGCTGTTATTGAAATAATTATTCCAAATTAGTATTTAATAATGACCACATTATTGGGGCTCTGATCCTCAAAGATGCTGTTATTTTAGAAAACAATTTAATGTAGTATATTAGAACATTACTTTTGCCTTTTTCTCACGTCCCTTCCCCAGTTCAGAAAGCGAATCAGGTTCCCAGAGTGCATCTGATCAGTTTGTGACTCCTACTGCCCTAGCAGCCTGTACGAGGGTAGATTCATGCTTCACTCCCTGGTACGTGCCTGCCCTGGGGGTTTCAGTTCAGTTTGGTCATGCCGAACTTCATCTTTGTCACCATCTGGATCAGCTGGGCAGAGGTATGTATCTTAAATTCTGAAACAGAAAGTTGTAGCTATTGCTTTTCCATTTACTCATCATCCCACCTGCTTTAAATTTGCAATTCTTTTGTCCACTGGACCATATGCTCAGATAGCTTACACCTACTTATCAGTAGCAGGAATGTGTAAAAACCAGATGTATTTGAAGGCAGTCACTGCAGAAGGTGCTTCATTTTTTAAGCTTCAGTAGTGGGCTCAAATACCCCCTTTCCTTTTACTTTATTGTGAGGCTAATGGAATAAATTTTGCTTTTCACTTTTGCCAGCAAACCTGCCCCACTTTTTATGTGCCATTGAACAAAAAGATTCCAAAGGAAGTACCAAGTACTCAAAACTCAGTTACAGTAATTTTAAAAAGAAATTGGGAGTAGAGATGCAATCCACCTGGTTTCATTCAGTAATGTGTTATTGCATTATTGCATTATTGTCAGTTTTATTTCCAATACATATTATTATATTGTGTAATTTCAAATAATATTCTCCATAAGAAATGAGCAAATATCTCAGTAATTTCTAAAGTATGACATCTTGCTTAAATGATGGTTTTGAAAGTGGTGAATGACTTAACATTTTCTTCAACGTTTCCAAGTTTCCCCATTACTTGTTAACATTTTTAGCACTTCAAATGACAGTGAAAGGAAGAAAAGAAGCCTGAATCAGCCAGAGGTCCTTAAAAAGATTCTCTTTTTTTCTCTTTTTTAGAAGTCTTTTTTAAACTAAGCTATTCTTAATTGCTGTTTTCTTTACTAACTTATTCACAGTAGAACAATTAAATGTATGCAACTGGGACTATTGTAGATTGACTACGTCACAAATTGTTTTCTGGGTTAATTATTTTCTGCAAATTCAGAGTAATGCATTCTGTAATTATCCTTTTAAAAATTGTATTCTTTAAAAAAACATTTGTGATAGGATTATCTGTATTCTTGTGATAGCCTTACTCTTTACATCTTTTTAATAATTGACTACATTTTCAATAGTCTTATTTTCTATTTCCCTTCCCTTCATCAGATGCTGATCTCTACCCACATCAATAATTGCATTTATTTTAACTTACATATCAGCACTGTATTTGAACATACAATCCTGAATGAGTATCCTCTCCATTCTCATAATGTGTTTGACAATTTTGATTTCTGTTCTGATTTGAAGAATGTTTACTGTTTACTTCTTGGTAGCTCTTGTTGCTTATTGTTTCACTTTTTTATTAGCATTGCTTTCAATATCACCTTCACCATAGCAACTTGTAGTTACTGGTTAGTGCACTGAAGGGGCAGGCAAATTAATGCTTTCCAGAGACTTGTGATATATACCAGCCAGTGCTGCTGGCCATGTGACTGGAGGGCAAAGCTGACACCGTATGTCTGGAGATTACCATGCTTCCTACTATATTCCTAATACCATTTAATATAGGCCTTAGCATATTAACTTTTCCACAACACACCACATCTTTTATTTATTGATATCATACTTCTCCGTGCCACAAAGAGGCACAGAAAAGGTCTCTCTTCCATCCAAAATTTGACCAAAGGTCAGGTTATAAGACTACTCTTTCTTTTGGCTTTAGGTTTTACTTGGGACTTCAAAAGCTAACCTTACCTTTCACAAATAGGGACACCAACTCCCAGAATGTTTAGTAATGTCCAAGTTGCTTAGGATTGAACCCATGCATCTCAGTGGCTCTCAAGTGGGCAGAAAAAAAGTTCAGTTAACCTTGCAAAAAAGACACGTGCAATGGTTATATTGTAACTTAGAAAAAAAGTCATAAAGTTTTATTGTATGATTACAGAACTTTTTAAAATAGAAATGTTGCTGATAGCAGTAAACTTTCAATGGAGAAAATATTTCTAATATTTTTCAGTTTACATTTCATGTCTGTAACTACTTAACTATGGTCAAATAATATCTAGATTTTAAAATAAATTGTTTTGATCTAGAAAAATATAGCTTGGTCATTCTGGGCATATTTTTCAACTGCATGTGTTCACTCCTAGTTTTATATCTGCAACATTACATTAACTATTAGTGATTTATTTTTACCTTTTGTTCTACAGAGCCACCAAAGTTTCTACATCCATTTATCTCTGATAAAAATGTGCCATCTGAATTACAATATTCAATCATCTCTTTTGAAGAACCTCATACCTATTTCAGGCAATGGAGTGATGGATCCGTCTTCAGAGACATGCAGTTATCCACTAGAATTGATTGTAAACTTTTGGAATGTAGAAATCTAACTAAGCAAACTGTTGCAAAACCATTTGGTGTATTGGGGCAGCTTTCTGTTTCTGGAAATTCCATGGAAAAGATTTTGGATGGAAGTATGGTAATGGATCCTGTATTCATCAGCTTTGGCCAACATACCATCCACTCTCTGCATAAAACCCTTCAGGCTTGGCAACAGGTAAGCACATAGGCCTGAAACGAAAAGGTTAAACCAGATATCATAACTAAGGATTCCTAAGAGTGAAGAAGTATCAAAAGCTTTATAGGGCAAAGGGACTGAAATAGGAATGGTAAATTGGCCTCAGGTCCTTTTTGTTGTGTCATGCATTTTATTGAAAATGAAACAAAAGCAAATGAAATGTATAAAACCTATTTACATATAATCATTTAGTGTTGTATGAGCATGATTGGGAAATGTATGGATTAGGGGGGGGATTTGCTCTTACATGGGGAAGAAAATTTATTTACTTATCAAATTTCTACACTGTTCATCTCACTTAAGTAAAATGAATGAAAGGTTGCTGAATGAATGTGAATTGAATACAAAAGTCCTGCAGAGAAAATGAATGAGCAGTGAATTGCAAAAGATATATATGAAGAAACGTGAATGGGTTGGGAGGAAAGACTACAGGTAGTTCTTGTAGTTGGATGGAGTCAGTGAGATCCTCAGATAGAAAGAGAGAAGTTTAAGGAACTGAGAAGAGCCTGTAGTACAGCGGACTAAAGCACTGTTATTAACATCTGCTGCTTGCAATTACTGCAAGTTCAAATCTCACCAGGCTCAAGGTTGACTCAGCCTTCCATCCTTTCAAAGGTAGGTGAAATGAGGACCCAGATTGTGGGGGCAATAAGCTGACTTTGTATAAATATACAAAAGTATGAAGGCTATTGCTTAACGCATTGTAAGCCGCCCTGAGTTTCCGGAGAAGGGCGGCATATAAATTAAAGCAAAAAACAAAACAAAACAAAAAACAAAAGGAAATCTAAGAATTCATATAAAGATATAGTACAAACAAGACTGGTTTGCAAGGATAGAAAGGTATGAAGAGTTACATTGATTGGTGTTTTTCTGGTTTTTTGCATATTCCCCAAAAGAAATGTTATTACACGATGGATGGAGTCTTATTTCCCATTTAGCAGACACCAGAGATTATGTGGGTTTTGCCATTATACCCAGGCCAGTAAGCTAGGGTTTTGTTTACGTTTGAAATCCAAGCAGTGATCTGAATGTGGCTTCTCCAGTTTGGAGAATAAGCAAAAATCATAATATGAAGGTTCAGATCCAAGCTTGTAATGCAATTTTGTGCTTATCATGAAGTAATTAACTGAAACGGAAGGTACATTTTCAAGGAGAGCAAAGATAAGGAAAAGATACATGAATTAGTAGTAAGGGAGCAGATTTTCAGGGTGTGCTAGTCACTGAGTGACTCTAGAAGGATGCAGACTGAACATAAGATGTAGCAAATGCCAAGGAAATAGTCAGTTGTCAGTGGGAAAACGCTTGAGAACAAAAGCTCTCTTTTCCTTTTTGAATTCAATTAAAGTCTGAATGAGCCAGAAGATACCCTGGCTCAACTATTTTCTGGCAGTTATTTCAATAGGATATACAGTATCTAAGCTGATTCACAGAATAATTGATGCAGGGGCTGTAATAATGAGTTTTGCCCTGACGGAGAGCGGCTATTTTAGGCAGACCAAAACCTCTGAGGAGCACTTGGCAGAAGCTACAGCAAGTATATCCTGTTAGTTTTATTATCCATTTTGGCAATAATAAATTAAACAATTATGGCAGGAAAGAGTATTTTGCACTAAAATTCTTACTACTGTACCATTGAAAAGACATCAAGATTTCATGGACCAGTTTGGATGGATTTAAGTTTGTGTAAATGAGATTGAAATATAATTTGTGGAATAATTGTAATTTCTCACATAATAATAACCAAAATAAGCACTAACAACCTACTAAGGCCCAATCTACATATAACATAGAAAAATATTCCTAGTTTTTTTTTTTTTTAGTTCAGATAGAAAGCATAACCAGGGAACACAGAATGTTTCACCCAGTCCCTCCAATTGATATCATGGTTTATAGTTAAACTTTTCCCTAATTTCTTGTTTATCCTGTTGAATGAAAAAAAAGAAAGAATCCTATTACATTTGATATCTGGCACATATCTTCCCTGTTACTCTAATGAAGATTTTTGCTACAACTGTATGATGTTCTGTATATACAGAACTGATGGATCAAATTAATAAAAGTATATCCAAATAATATTTTCTGCAATTATCCAAATAATCTCATCCCAGGATTTCTCTTTACCGATCTCCGTACCTATACAAAGTTTTCTGCATTAATTACCCATCACAAAACTACAATAGCAAAGCTAAAAAAGATAAAACATCTGTTTCACATCAGAGTTTCTTTTTTTAAGGCATTCCAGGATTTTCTTATTGTAAAAGGACATTCATAAAATAAGAGCTAGTGTGATTTAAATCTTTACATCTGGTTCAAATATCACTGTGAAAAAAGAGTCTTTGTAGCTCCAATTTCTGCTTTTTGTCATATTTTGAGCAATGTGCTTAACAGAAAACAAGCAAACAATTTTGAAGGAGGCCTGTTTGCATGGGCTGGTGGAGGAGTAACTACTGCAAAATGGCCTTCATTACTTTGTGCAGTGAAAAAAGTCTCTCCAGTATCACATATGTACAAATAAAGTGCATTGTATAAATATTTAAATGTGTAAGACCACATCAGAAAATGATTGACTGACTTAAACTATAGGGAGCCTTTAAAGAAATACCCTGAGTTGGAAACAACAGGACTGTATAAGTAGAGCCATATGTTGCCTTGCAAGATGTACCAGTCAGGTACATTCTATGAATAGTTAGACCTGATTTATATGCAGGGGTGGCAATGTTCAAATGACCCACAGAGGATATGCCTCTGTAATTGTTGTTGCAATTTCCTTGTTTCCTCTCATCTCGGGAGTTTTTGCCACCATCTTCTGATGTGGTGGGTGAGTCTCTAGCCAAGAGTGTCCTTGATTAAAAACTCATCCTATTTTTACATTAGGCTGCATTAGTTATTGAGGTGGGCTCTGAACTACATATTAATGTTAATTGGTAACAACATGTTTCTTCAGCGGGTTCTCTTCTACCACGTACTGAAAATTAACTTACCACTAGTAAGTATTTTGTGATGTTCAGTGTTCACAATTAACACGGTGTTCTGCCAGACCAAATCAAGAGCACCACCATTAATTGAATTCCTCACATTTTCTAACCAAGTATCAGAAACAACTAATGTTGTACACATTGCGGATAAGAGCTGACATACAAAGCATAAAGTAATTTGGCCCTACACCTTTAGGTCAAGAGTTCAAGATAAACGGAAGCCTCTGTTGGAATTTGTTTTTCCCAAAAGGTGAACTAATTTTATTCTTGAATAATGAAGGAAGCTTTAACAATAGAAATAGGCATTACAGACATAACCAGGCTGTTTGCTTTTATGATCCCAGGTCATCTGTTCAAATCCCAAGATGATAGAACTTTTTTTTTCTTTGAAAAGCAACTGCTTTTATAGATAGATAGATAGCTTTATTGATTAGCCTATAGGCCATATCAAAGCACTAGGTTCAGACACATATCACCAATAAAATCGTATGCAAACAATTTAAAATAAGAGTAGGGTAAAATACAATAGTTATAGGATAAGATACAATATAATTTAAGACCTAAATATCTAAAATAGAATAAAATGACATAAAACTCTATTTCAGTGCCACCCTTACAATCTACCCCAATCAGTCCCACGTATGCAGATCTCAACCGAACCATTTTGTTTAAATACTGTGCTGCTTTTATAGTTTTTAAGTTTATAGGGCCTTGAAAATTTAGTTGGGAGCAAGTTTTATTCAACTTAATAGGAATACCTTTCTGAGTTTCTATAGGATTTCATAATTGAAGTGGAAAAGTGTTCTGGAAACATAAGGGGCATAATCCAGTAATTCTAAGTGTTTATGTAGATTAACATGTATGATAGGTTTTTCCTTATATTTGAATACAGTAAGATTTGTTTAAGGGCTATCATCATTTATGGTAAAAATTTAAAGTTTGGATTATTTTGCCAACAAAATGTTGGCGTAGTAAAATATTTCACTCTACAAATTTATGTAGCATGTATAGTATTAGATATTACTGTGTTTCCCCAAAAATAAGATCCTGTCTTATATTTTTTTGAACCTTGAAATAAGAGCTTGGCCTTATTTTCAAGGAGGTCTTATTATTTTGGGGCACGTGGAGCAAGACGGCGCTCCTTTTTATCTGATTTCTTACCTGATTTCCAGCTCTGTCTCCCTAACCCTAACCAGAGGAAATGGCGGGAACTAGCTGCGCATGCATTTAAATATTTTCAGGGAGGTCTTATTTTGGGGAAAGTCTTATTTTCGGGGGGGGTGAGTATTTTAGCACATGTGCTTAAAAGCCCAATTGGGCTTATTATCCAGGGAGGTCTTATTTTTGGGGAAACAAGGTATAGAGGCCAACGCACAATTTTCAGATTTAAAAAAACTTTCTTTAACGAAACCCTCTTTATAAACCGGTAATAAGTAAATCCATGTCTGTGAGTAATGGTAATCAGAGATGTATCATTAAAGAATGTCAAAACAAAATAAGTTCTTATGTAGCACCAGGAATGACAGTATTGTTTTCTTCGATTGTTATTAAAATTTTAATTAAATTACAGTGTTCCTAATAACATTATAAACTCTATAATATTAAATCTGTAATATCAAATCCTCTTGACCATGTTGCCTCTGCCCCCATTATTTTGAACCCCCTTTCTGACTTCTACAATTGAGTGGAGTTAAGAGTGGATAGGTATCTACATAAACATTTAAAAGGGGAGAGGAAATAAGCAGGGATTATATAAATGGCCTCTGTGGAAAAGATGCAGCAATTCAATCCTGCCAAGAAGAGATGTTAGATGAATATAAGAATGCAGTATTTTTAAAACAGATTCAGTAAAATGAAGCATACACATTAAAGCAGGTGGTCACCATAGAAACCAAGTTCTGCAAGGAACAGATACATACATCATCATGGTTGATTTTGCCTAATTTTCAAAAGTAATGGGTTACATACTTTGTGCACCTAAGACCTGAGAAATACGTTTTTTGTGTTGGTCTAAATGAAGTGTTGACAACTACATTTTCTAAAGTGCATTCTTTAGAAATCTGATGGCCAAGAAAGAGTTGGCTGGTTGAGAAATCTGGATATCTTCCTTGTTTTTATATGCTTCCATGATATTGCTGACAGCACCTTGAATAACTAAACAACAAGGGAAGAGTTTACCCACTGATGTGGGAGAAGATTCTATGGAAGAAAAAAAAATCACGCAGATATAATTTCAGCTGTGAAACTGACAATCATCATAACAATATAACCAAAGATAATGGAAATATAATAAGGAAAATGGAACTGAAAATAGGAAATCAGTTGTGGCCCTGTAGGCTCCAGTAGAAGAAGTGGACAACTTAATACTGTATATTACTTACTGAATGAAGAATATTGAGAATTGGCAATCAGCTTCAAATTTATGGCGTGAGAAAATGTAAAGGTCAAAATGTAAAGGAAGAATGCCTTGAAGATCTCATTGTAACACTGCCACTTACTCTTCTGCAATCAAACCATTCTTGTAACACAATGTATTATAGGGATTAATAAACCCTTGAGACATTGATAATTTATGCATTGTCAAATAAGGCAATTGTTCATATTGTATATATCTTTTGTTCTAGTCTAATCTTTTAAAAGCAGAAGCAAGGCCAAATACAATTGATTGAAGACAGACAATAAACAAATTCCTCTAATTTGAATGTCAGAAATTTATGGTATGCATTAATACATTACCCTCATGGCCTGCAGTACATTGTTCATTTTTCACTTACATGCTTTGCTCTGTATTCATTTTGAGGAGAAGGATGTTCCCAGATACAGAAGCATTTCTGAGTAATTGAACATTCATATATTTGTCCTCAAGCATAAAGAGAGACTTCATTCTTTGACAGTTGTCCATGCAATTAAATACTACATTTGTTGCTGAGCTACTTTAAAAGAAAAATAGTGATTTTCTCCCCCCCCCCACCCGCCCAGTGGTGGGATTCAGCCAGTTCGCACCTATTCGGGAGAACCGGTTGTTAACTTTCTAAGCAGTTCGGAGAACCCCGTTGTTTGAAGAAATCTTATTTTGTTTTTTCCCACTTTACGGGGCTAATCCTGTAAGGAAGGCAGAAAGGAAACATTCTGGTGTTGTTTCTAGCCTAATCTTTATTGCCCTGCTTACAGAAACTGCCTCTCTGGTTAACCCTTTTTACATTGTAATAGCTAAGGTGAAGTGCCCATCGACCTAAGTGATGTTGAGTTGGCCACGCCCATACGGTCACATGACCATCGAGCTACACCTACCCATCTGGTCATTAGGGCAGAGAATCAGTTGTTAAATTATTTGAATCCCACCACTCCCCCCCCCTCCAAAGTATTTGGCTATATAGTAGCCTTGCAATGGAAGAAAATATCAACCAGCACTTATATAAGTTTCAGAATGGTTATTATCATTAAAAGGTTAATAAGTCCTTTTATTTCCAATGTGTACACAGCCCGGCATAAAACAAATCTGAATTGCTTGAGCATTCTGAAAACTGTGAATGGACACTACAGTAATGTTTAAAACCAGTTCAGAAAGGTTGATTAGTTTTAAAACATTACCTAAGATGTATTTTTCCTAAAATATTAATTTTTCCTAAAATATTAAAAACTCTAATAGGATCTTCACTAACATTGGCAGTATTAGTATAACTATGGAATGAAGTTAACATTTGTCCACATGTCTACAACATATATTAAACATTTTTAAAATTGCAGTTCCCTTGTTTTGCTATTTGTTTGTGTTAGCAATTGAAGATATACAAATGGATATACATTTTGGGATCCATCAATGATTCTGGTATTTTTGTTATGAGGAAAGAATGCTTTGTAGGAAAGCTTATGCTAGCAAAGGCACAAAAATAATCACCATTGGGCAGATAGTTGCCAAACATCCTGGAATTATTCTGAAGCTTGTTTGGTTTTCTATTCTTTTTCTTACAGAATCAATGTCCTGAGGCAGAACAGCTAGTCTTTAGCCACTTTGTAATCTGTAATGACACACAGGAGACGCTGCGGTTTGGCCAGGTAGACACAGATGAAAATGTTTTGCTGGAGAGTCTTCATAGTCACCAGTATAGCTGGCGCTCTCACAAGTCCCCACAGGTATGTATGCCATACAAGTGCAGTTGCAACAGTTGTTAAAAGTGGAAAGTGTTGAAATAATTCAATTTAAGGATTTGGAGGTGGAGGAGAATTCATGCATTCTCCTGTCTTTAGTTTTCCAGATTTCAGCCAAAGGTCCATGCTTAAACTACAAGACAGAAGAGATAAACAAAAAGGATGAGCAAACCCAGAAATGTTTATATTTCATTCGGGTTTGGAGCTGTACAGCAGTATTTCTCAATCTTGGCAACTTGAAGATGTGTGGACTTCAACTCCCAGAATTCCCCAGCCAGCATTCTGTGAGTTAAAAGTCCACACATTTTAATGTTGCCAAGACTGAGAAACACTGCTCTGCGCTCACACACGGTCCAATTTTTAAAAAAAAGAACTTCAGGCTTCTGTATGGGAGTACATAAATAATTCATTGGGTTTGAGAGAAAGCAAACGTCTTCAGTTTTTGGGATGTTAATCCTAACAGTGTGAGCACAAACCTTCTGTTGACATAAGACAATACAATTGACAGCACAGTACAATAAGACAATTTGAAAATGACAGTCCAAAAGCTGAGCAATGAACCAGAAACAGGGATCTTGGAGAAGGATATCCTTGATGATAACCGCCTACTGAAACATACTGACATTAAAATCTCAACTTTACCACTCAGGGAATTCATAGTTATCCATGTTCATCAACATCTAATTGTGATGAGAAATTTTCCTCTTCACATATATATGCTTAAACTGTGTATGCTTTCACAGAGTTAGGGTACATGCATAGTACATGTATGCACAGAACTGCAGAATGCAGTGATTCAAGAGAGCAAACAACCCTCATGTTTTTCATGACCAGTTTCTTCATAAAAGCTTCTTAGATTTTACAGTTAGAAGATGTTCTAATGATAATAAAAAGAGATTCTAAAAAAAAAAAAATCAAACATTCTAGTATTTATTTTTTCTGTACATGCTTTAGGCAAAAATAACAAACATATAAACAGGAAGATCACTGCAGTGTGCTGTTCGCTGTTGAACATAAGCAAGAAAGGGATTGGACTGTGTAAAATTAGATTATGATTGTAAAATTCTGAGGCCATAGCTGAAAAGTAGCAGCCTGGTGATTGAAGGACAATTTCTTATATTGCTTGACTGCTACTGATCATGCTGATATTCCAGAATAATCTGGGCTGGGCACTCTTGAAAGAAGACTTGGTAGTGCCATAAGTCAGGGGTGGGCAAATGTGGCCCTTTTACAACCTGTGGACTTCAACTCCAAGAATTCCTGAGACAGCCAAGCTGTCTCAGGAATTCTGAGAGTTGAAGTCCACAGGTTGTAAAAGGGCACATTTGCCCACCCCTGCCGTTTGTTATACTTGTTCTTGGGGGGGGGGATTAGTGAGAAAATACAATAATTTGGGGAGAACTATTATCTATATTTTTTTTCGTCTTCCTTAGCAAGAAGATAGGTAGCATATCATAGAGAAAATGATTTCTATGATCTGTAAATTGAGTGCAGGTTAATTGAGCAGCTAAGGTCAATCACAGAAACCTGCATTTAGTATATATTTACTGTGGAATAACCACACTGAGTTCACACATTTTTTAAAAAAAAAAAGAAGAAGAAGAAGAGCTTTAAATTTTACACTGTTATAGATTATCCATTGCAGAAAGCAATTTAAGGTGGGTGGGGATGATCGGCAAGTTATGACCGGTATAATTGATAAATCTCTATTTTTCTCTATGCTTTTTGCTCATGTGGAAGTAGTGTTTTCACATTAATCTTTCCCCTTTGAAATAGCATTTTTTAAATATCTTTTATCTTTATCTTTTTTTTAATCTTTTATTAGATTTATATACCGCCCTACTCCCGAAGGACTCAGGGCGGTGAACAGCCATAAATAAAACAAATATAATATAAAATTTAAAAACAGTTAAAAAAAACATATTAAATAGATATGGCCCACTAATTAAACCACTCCTATTTTTAAGAACAGATTCGAATTAAAATTAAACAATTAAAAGGGTTAGGCCAGCCCCGCTTGTTGGAATAAAAAGGTCTAATAGTGGTTTCTTGTCTCTTTTTAAACTGCAGTAAAACCGAGCCAATCATGATCAGGACTTTTTAACCTTTTTATCTCAACGTAGTGAAAATCATACCTTTCCACTTGTCTTTCTGCCAACATTTAGAACTTCAGGTATTAAGACTGCCCAGCTAACTGCAGAATGTTATTTGGCTTGTTAAAAACCTGGAAGGACTGTTGAAGTCTTCCACAAGCAATGAAATATAAACAGGCCTGACTGGGCAATGTTAAAGTATCCTTGTCTGGAAGCATCACTGACTATTTAGAGATTATTGCATATTATTTTAGAGTTTTATTGCTTTTATTATCTGTGTGACTATAAGATGCCCACTTCTCAATAATAGAAGTTACCTGCACAAGTTAGTGATCTAAAATGAAACAATAGAAGATTTCAGAGGCAAAAAAGAAGAAGAAGAAGAAGAAGAAGAAGAAGAAGAAGAAGAAGAAGAAAAGAAGAAGAGAAGAAGAAGAAGAAGAAGAAGAAGAAGAAGAAGAAGAAGAAGAAGAGGAGGAGGAGGAGGAGGAGAACAGAGGGTATTTTAAAATACCTTAAACAAGACCAATTTGTTGAAATTTCTTGCTAAACAAATAACATAATTGCAGGGGAGAAACTGTACTGTTCTCCAGAGGGCATTCATAACTTTGAAATGGATTTCCCTCTTCCTGCATCTACACTTATCTTTCTCTTCTAGGCAAAGTGAACAGGGACAAAGGGGGAGGGATTGAACTGGGAATTGTAAGAGCCCCTTATATAACATCTTTCTGGGAAGTTATTTCTTCCTTGGGACACCATGGACTCTTTTGTAGCACACATTTGATTGAGGCCAGAAGGGAAGAAAAGCAAAACAGCAGTGAAGCATTATCTATCATCAATAGCACTAAAATGCTTGGCTGTCTGAAACCTAATATTCTAGTAATTATTAAGTTAATGCGCTTTGTAATATTCCATATTATTATCATTCTATTGATATTTTATTATTTCTCCCTTGACACCAAAATTGAGAAGTGGAAGTGATCCATGGAGAAACGTAAGAATTTGGTTTAATACAGTCCTCTCTTTTCTTCTAAAGCTACACCTGCATCATGTAATTTGTGTGGCTATTTTAAAAAAGTAGTTTGTGTGAAAATGTCAAATAGCTTGTTACCTAGGGGACCAGAACAGCAGAGTTCTTGCTTTAATTTTTAATCTTTCAACAGCATTCACTTGTAAGTATCCAGGATTAATACAAATTTATTAGGACTTCAGCGTGGGCATATTATATTGTGGCATGTTCCAAACTCTCTTGCTGCTGGACTTATTGAGGAACCTATTCTCTGGAGGTCAGAATAGTGCCCAACTGTGGACAAACCATGCAAGTGTCAGTTTAATGGAATGTGAGATGACTTCATCATTTTGAAGCTATTTCATTCCTCATGATAATTCTCATCTTGCCAAGCTAGTGAATTTTAAGAACTCTGGGAGCAGATTTTAAGATAAATGTGAAATATGAAATAATCCATATTTCGGAGTCAGAAAAGTTCCTCTAGGCATTAGTTCATATTTGACTTGTTCAACTCACACTTGGGAATAAAATGAGTTAGGATCAGGTCTCAAACACCACACTCCCTTATTGGGAAGGAAAACCTGTGTCTCGTGTTTCTTGTTACAGAGGCACTAAGCAGCAGAGATTGCCATAAAATATTTTATTTAACCTTGCAAAAATGTTTTTTTAAAGTATGGCAAAGCAGTTCTTTTAATGAAAATAAATAGTTTTCAAAGAGTTGGATTTCATTAACATTTGCATCATTTAGAGACTTAATTGTTATTTTGCTGATTATAGATGAGAAGTATTGTAATTGCCCATTTAAAGTACATAATAAAAATAAATAAAAAGAGGCTTAAAATTCCTTTGGTTTTGCCTCAGTGGTATACAGCTAAAACCTCAAGACATATTTGTTTCAGATGTAAATTTGGTAAAAGAATCAAATCATGGGATTTGGAAGTAAACCCTTTATTTAATAGCTACTTAAAAAAGCAATAAATAGAAGATAGAATTTTAGATTCCCATATTTTGGAAAACAGCTGCACATCTTATTGAGTACATATGGTTAAAAAGATAATTCTCAGAATTATTGTTTTCCCTTTATTCTTTTTATGCTTATCTTATAAACATCTCACTGCATTTTGTTCCAACTGTACTTCTCTAGCAGATAATATATCTACCACACTTCTTTCATGATGTGAGACCCTCATGTGTTCTGATGCCATTGATATTCAAGATGTTGCTTGAGTCCAGGTAGTCCTCGACTTATGACTGGTTGCTCAATGACCATTTAAAGTTATGACAGACCCCTTCAACCCAGTTCCAATGGCCTTATCCCCCTCTACAGTCACATCGCCACATTTTGGGTACTCAGCAACCAGCCCACAATTATAACTGTTTATAGTGCTCCATGGACATGTGACCTTGATTTACAATATTTTTGCCGGAAAATGTTTTCTTCGGGTTGGCAAAAGCACTGTAGGAGATGACCAGGCTGAGCCCAAGGAAGGGGTCAAGCTACTCATCAGTTTGGAGTCCTTTCATGCCCACAAGCAATCTAAGTCCAGCCCAGCTTGAATTCCATTTACTCTTATCTACCACCAATTTGCCTTAATCGTTAATAGTTCAGATTCTTGTTTAGCGGTATTATGGAATAAACTTGTACTTCTTTGAATAACTCTGATTCCTGATTTCCTGCACTGTTATATGAACAATGGGTTCACTTAACAGCCACTGCAAACAAAAGATCATAAAACTGGGCAGGTCGGGTGATGATCTCTTGTACTATTGTCACAACTTATAACTGTAATGGGTAGGCTCCATTACAGTCATAAATTGAGGATTATCTGTGCATGATTCTGCTCAGCTTCATATTTAGGAACTGGTGCATAAAACTATAATGTACACTGCCTTTTTGCCTCTGGAAATTGTAATCCTGTTAAGAGCAATAGCAACACTTAGACTTGTATACCACTCCATAATGATGGGGTAAACTGTAGTTCGTTCTATAACAGAGGCCAAAAATAAAGTACAAGTGGAATTTGTTTGTGACATTTTGGCAAGTTTATTGTAAATATTTCCACCAGATTATTTTTTTTACCTGCACAGCAAAAATAAGAACTTCTTGACATTGTACTAGCATAACAGTTAGTGATCCAATCTAAAAAGGTTATTTTTTTCATATAGTAGATGGCAGCCTGACAGCCGTTTAAGCTGTTCTGGGAATTATCTACATTAAGTATCCCACTCTCCTTTGCTAAAGTTACAAAGGACCAAAGAAAATGGTACTATGGAATCCAAATGTTTGGAGATTTGGGCTTCTTATCTGAGACTTTGTAGCTAAACAGACAATCCCCTTTTAAAGAGAAAACATATGAATTATATAGTTTTTCATGATTATTAAATGTAATATAATTGGGTTGCCTCTTCCACTTTATGTTGAAAGGATTAATGCAAGGAAGAATTTCATGACTGTTGAAGTTAAAATTCACAACAATATTGAGCAGAGTATTTGTAATGATACACTAATCTGAATTTCTTCTTTATCTGTGCCTTCTATCATTCTGCTTGGTGTATCTAGAACTGTCCTTCTGCCTTCTTTTTTAATCAAGCTATTTTTCCATTATCCACTGATAAATTCATTTTCAAAGTAAATTCCTTTTCATGAATTTCTTGAACTTTCCTAATTTCAAACCATCTATGTTTTCACTAACATCTGGGCTTCTTTTAACTTTTACAGTTAATGGAAGACATCTTGCCAAACTCCATTAGTTTCATCTTAATCTGTTATAAATTTAAGCATTGTAAAGGACTGTATCACTTCAGAATTCTGCATGTCAAACAAAGCCATCATACTGATGACCAACACTATACCACAATTTATTTCTTTTGCTCATTCATCATGGCTTAGTCTTATGTGCAGATTCGATCCCTGTAGTCTCTTCAAATTATGATTAGAAATCCTGTATTGCCATGTTATATACTATATGTAGCATATAGATTAATAGTTTACTACTATGTAGGTTCAGCATTATTTTTAAAGCATAAAACTTAAATAATAGTGTAGGGAAGAAAATAGGAACACCGATATCAGCGTTTTTTAAAAAGAATGTAGCCAAACCCAGTCCACAAATACTCCCTATATAAAATATTACAAATGAATACAAAACCTTTGAAATGTTACCAATGACATCAGGAAGGGTCTGGCTAAATTCCACACATTCATATACTAAGAGGATGGAAGCAACTGAAACATATCCAGAAGCAGCAACTTAATTGTACAGGATTAATTTGAGGCCTAATCAGGTTCTAAAGCATGAAATCAGTGAATTATCCAAGATCTCTACATAACTGCAATAAAAAGGGAAGAGGGAGCATGCAAACAGTGCTTCCAGTAATTCAGTTTAATCTCAGAATATCTGGCGTGTAGCCATGTGCTAAAGAAACTTCTTGACCTAAGCCTCAGACCCATTTTACTTGTTTGCAGCTGACATGCCACTAAATTATCATTTAACATGATGAGCACATGTGGCCAAGAAATCATAGCATAACCCAATGCCTCAAATTGGAATGTAAATATAGCAATAGCACTTAAGACTTATATACTGCTTCACAGTGCTTTTACAGCCCTCTCTAAGCTGTTTACAGAGTCAGCATATTGCCCCCAACAATCTGGGTCTTCATTTTACTCACCTCGGAAGGATGGAAGGCTGAGTCAACCTTGAGCCTGGTAAGATTTGAACTGCCAAATTGCAGGCAGCCGGCAGGCAGCTGAAGTAGCTTGCAATACTGCATTCTAACCACTGCGCCACCAAGGCTCTTAAATAGGAAGATAATTTAAATAATCTTTCCAATGCAGAGCCCCAGTGGTAGCCAGATGCAAATAATGTTTGTGACATAAAGTTAGAAAACATAGTAACTTTTTGTTGAAAACTGAACAATGAAAACTGACAGCTGATTAATTGGCAATACTCATTAATGAGTTAGTAGTTTATACAAAGTAGGAAGGTTTCTCTGACACAAATAGTTTACATTCAGGCTAGATATATTCTGCATTATATTGTATTGCATTGCATTGTGTTTTACTTAAGACACCATCCAATTGCAGTCCACTCTGGGCGGTTCTCAGTACAAAAATAAATCACAAATCTACATAAAGCCTACAACAGTTAGAGCAGAGGTCTTCAAACTTGGCAGCTATGGTGGTTGGAGAATTCTGGAAGTATTGAAGTCCACAAGGCTTAAATCTGCCAAGTTTGGGGACCCCTGAGTTAGAGTAACAAGATGACAGAAACTGGTCAATGTCTTATGCATGCCCTAAACTTAAGGAACTCCAACTATTTTAGCTCAATGCCTGAAATAGCAATATATCTTAGTTCAGAACATTTTATTTTTTCGTGTTGCACCATAACTGAGATTAGTTTTTATATATCATACTCCATTTTGTTTTTCTATCTCCTTTTCTTTCTCTAAATTCTTATTCCTTGTACTTTGTTTATATGCCATTTTGGTTTCGGCCACATCAATTCCATTTCTCTATTTGGTTCTAAGATTTAAATACCAAAGTTGCTTCAGAGAATGATTTTTTCCCCCTTCAGGGTACTTATTATCTTGTATATTTGTGTTAGTAATCAAGGTCTAGCGCTTGTCATTCAAAAACCACCCACTGTACTGGACATGTTTATTTTCTATTCAGTTTTGTGCTGAAGGGACCAAAAATTGCCAGCAAGTTACTGGGTTGCAACATTTAGGCATTTGCTATTGTGCCTCCTTTTTAAAGGTCAGTGTCATCCTTCACTGAATGGAAAGCATAATTTCAAAATGTTCGTTCCATTAGCCTTGATTCATTGCCCTCAGTCTGTAAGTAGAGGGGCTGTTATCTCCTTCTGGGGCCTTGGTTTTATTTGTGTTTTTGGTATTCACAACACATCAACTTGGTAACCTTCTTTGGACTAGAGAAAGTGGTATCATCATAAATAACTATATGGCAGGCTGTTTCCCTCATGTAAAAGTTAGCCTCTGATAAAATAGGCTAATGTGCTTAGAAATTCTCTTTTCAAAACTGGAAGTTTATTTACTTTCTGGAATATAAAACACATGATTATCAAGACTTATGATGTCCTCAAATGCTAGATTACATGGGTCATGCAGCTTGTTTATTTTTCCAATGAAAGGTAATAGACATTTTCAGTTCTCATAATGAGAACCTTTTCAGCAATAAAACTTCTTTCTTGCCATAAAGTTAACTGGTTATTATGGGTCATCAGTTAACATGTTTATTGTTTATTTCTGCTTTGTTTGTTTTTTATTCTTTTCAGCTGCTACATATTTGTATTGAAGGTTGGGGAAACTGGCGGTGGTCTGAGCCATTTAGTGTAGATAATGCAGGAACATTTATCAGAACTATTCAGTATAAGGGAAGGACAGCTTCGCTTATTATCAAGATTCAGCAGCTCAGTGGAATACAAAAACAAGTAAGTAAAAAAAAGAAGGTTTGCATGCAATACATGAGCACTTCTAGATAGGATTCTTTCCCATCATATGGTCTAGGGATGCTGTTAGCCATAATTATGCTTAGTAATAGCACAATAGCAACAGATGCTTTGAAGCTTTCAGTTCAGACGTAATCATGAAGCTTCTTTCTCTCTTGCCACCCCTTTTCCTCTTTCTATGGATGGTCTAATAGAGGCATTAATTCTGAAAACAAGAATCATTGTTAAACAATAGGAAACCTATCAGTTGTGGCAGGTTCAGTTTTATACATTAGGACTACTGGCAGTTCTTGACTTACAACCATAATTGAGCCCCAGATTTCTGTTGTTATTGAGACATTTGTTAAGTGACTTTTGCCTGATTTTTCGACTTTCCTTGCCACAGTTGTTAAATGAATCGGTGCAGTTAAGTTAGCAACATAGTTGCTAAGTGAATCTGGATTCCCCATTGACTTTGCTTGTCAGAAGGTCACAAAAGGTGATCACATGACCCCGTGACAATGGAACCGTCGTAAATATAAATCAGTTGCCAAGCATCTGAATTTGGAACACATGACCATGGGGATGCTACAATGGTTGTAACTGTGAAAAATGGTCATGAGTCACTTTTTTCAATGTCATTGTAACTTTGAATGGTCACTAAACAAACTATTGTAAGTCAAGAACTGCTTGTGATACACTCATAATACTGCCTCTCGAAAAATCCTGGACACTCTGCCCCTCTCTGCCTTTAGTTACTTGTATCTAAAGTGATTTTCCACATTGATCATAATTTCACAGTAATACACGCAACTGTGCAAGAAAATACTACAACTGAAAACAAACTAATTGAGAACCGAATTTAAAATATAATACAGTCATTACTAAAATTGTGTGGCAAAGGGAAAACATCAGCCTCCTTTTGAGTAAAACACAGCAACAGCACATGAGTGTCTGCAGACTCTGTGCCAGCTGAGTATATAAAACAAATGACAATTCATAATATGGTAAGTGGCCTCTCTGATAGTAATAACCTAGGCCTGTGATGGCGAACCTATGGCACGCGTGCCAGAGGTGGCATGCAGAGCCTTCTCTGTTTGCATGTGCACCATCACCAGCTGCTGTTCCGGGTTCTATAGTGTGCATGTGCGCACCAAAACCTGGAAGAGAGCAGCTGGCCGGTGCGCATGCTTGTGACAGAACCCAGAAGAGCAGCTGGCCGCTACGTGCGGCCAGCTTTCTTCCGGGTTCTGGAGCTCCAGCATGCACACATGCACATACGCACACACGTGCCCACTCCAGTTTCGTCACTCGGTGCCAAAAAGGTTAGCCATCACTTGCCTAGGCAATTTATGGTTTCAAAGATTAAGGCTAACAGCTTCTATTTAGGCCTGGAAGCAGGTGCCAACCAGTGTAGGAATTTCATTATATGATATGATCACAGGTAGCAACTTGCATTGATTAAAACCTATTGGTAGTCTTTATGGCAGCATGTTTCTGAGCATATTGCAGTATTCGAGACAAAATGACATTAAGGCATGAATTGCCTTGGTTGTTGCCCACCTGGAGAGAATCTGGTTTAGTTTTACATGATTTTTTTTTTTCAGTTTCGAGCTGTTAAAAATAAGTTGTGCTTTTTTTAAATTTTACACTGGTAACTGTATTCACCTATCCTGATTTTAAAGTCAATACTTAAAATAGAGTATCCCAATTCAGATAATACAGGAAACTTATTTAAGAATGTGTTACGTATTTCTCAAAGCTCAACATGGAAAAGAAAAATTCAGATCCAATCAGGACAAATGGATAAAAGGCCTGATTTCAGTACAGTGTAATAAACATTGGTTTACTGGCCAAGATAGTCACATCTGAGCATTCTTGTCTTTCTACAAGCTTCTTTCTTTAATGCATGGGTCCCTAACCCCCAGGCTGGGACCTGGTACCAGGCCACAGTCCATTCAGAACTGGACCGCAGACGTAGACACACACACGCAGCTTCATTTGTGCAAGTGACGGGCATCCATGCCTGCCACTTGCACAAATGGAGCTACACACACTTGTCCCTCGCTCACACAAAAAACAGTCCCTCCTCTCCCCCGCCCCCTGTTGATCAGCAAAAACCAGAAAGGTTGGGGAACTCTGCTGAAAGATAAATGTATGTGCAAGGTGCATTTTAGTTTTCAGTCTGTGAACTGATTCATATGTAACACTCTTCTATGTTTTTAATCTAGATAATTATTTGTGGAAGACAAATTGTATGTAGTTATCTATCTGAAAGCATTGAATTGAAAGTTGTTCAACATTATATTGGGCATGATGGACAAGCTGTTGTAAAAGAACATTTTGATTGCCTTGAACCCAAGCAAAAACTACCATCATATGTTCTAGAAAATAATGAGTTGACAGAATTGAGTGTAAAAGCTAAAGGGGACGAAGATTGGTCAAGAGATGTATCACTTGAGTCACAGCTGACAGAATATAGCACAGTCATCCAGGTATGGAAACAAATATTGGTGTGTATGTGTGTGTGTGTGTAGTGTTGAACAAGTCAAATTGAGAATCAAATTGCTTATGTTTTCTTCTTTGTCCCCAACCTATAAGTATCCCAGTCCAAATGAGTTAATTTCTATATATGTTTTTTTTTAATCCTATTCACTTGCTAATAGTATGCATGGTGCCATTTCCAGTCTAAACAAAAATAGAGATAGCCTCAGGAAAGCCAATTAAAAACTTTATTATGTTGAAAATAAAGACAAATAATTCTTTTTCTCAGTGAAGAAAATAAAATGCTAATAGGCAACAGAGGAAAGTTAGAGAAAATTAACTCTTCTTGTTGCTTAGTCTTCTCCAACTAGTGGTTGCATTACCTGAATCAATTGTGAATTAAAGGCACTAGACTGAAACTTGAGATTGACAGAAATTTTGTCAAGGAACATCCTACTTTCAGTTAATATAAATCTTCAGAGCCAGATGAATTCCACCCTGTAGTACTGAAAAGATTATATTTGGCAACTACTAAATGATCAAGTACTATCCCTATTATCAAAAAGGGTGGGAAAAAAATCCAAAGAATTACAAACTAATCAATTGGTGACGTTTATACCTGGAAAGATTATACAACAGATAATAAAACTTTAAGGAATTTGAAAAAATGTGGAGCATGGCCTATCAAGAGCAAATCTTCAAAAGACTAACATCTCTTTTTTGATAGGATAACATCTTAGTATATTGTGGTAATATATAAACATCATATACTATGATTATGTATTTGGAAAAGCACCCCACATTTTTATTAGCAAGTTAGCAAGATATGTAAAAGGGACATGGTGGCACAGTGGATAAGATGCTGAGCTTGTCAGTCGAAAGGTCGGCAGTTCAGCAGTTCGAATCCCTAGTGACACATAACAGGGTGAGCTCCCATTACTTGTCCCAGCTTCTGCCAACCTAGCAGTTCGAAAGCACGTAAAAAAATGCAAGTAGAAAAATAGGGACCCCCTTTGGTAGGAAGGTAACAGCTCTCCGTGCGCCTCTGGTGTTTAGTCATGTCGGCCACATGACCACGGAGACATCTTCGGACAGCACTGGCTCTTTGACTTTGAAACTGAGATGAGCACCGCCCCCTAGAGTCGGGAACGACTACCACATATGTGCGAGGGGAACCTTTACCTTAAGAGCCTTGATAGTACAGTGGTCTACGCACCCTGTTATTAACACAGCTGCCTGCAATTTACTTCTGGTTCGAATCTCTCCAAGGCTCAAGGTTGACTCAGCCTTCCATCCTTTCTAAGGTAGGTGAAATGAGGACCCAGTTTGTGGGGGCAATAAGCTGACTTTGTATAAATATACAAAAGTATGAAGGCTATTGCTTAACGCATTGTAAGCCGCCCTGAGTCTCCGGAGAAGGGCGGCATATAAATCAAATTTTAAAAAAAGAAAAAAAAGATATGTACTGAATGGCAGGACACTTAAATGCTACATAAACAGTTTAAATATTTTGCTCCAGAAAGATCAGCAATTCATTATCCAGCTAGACAAATGATCTGACAAAAATGAACAATTGTAACAGAAACCAATATAAGTTTATTTGTTTAGGGTTAAGGTTAACAGAAATTAAATATCTGGGTATAGAATGGGAAATATTTGGCTTGGTAACAGAAAAAAGATATTTAAGCAATGATTGATTATAAATAATAATGGTTTATATATTAAATATGAGTTGTCAATGTATTGCAACTGGAAAAAGAAAGAAAGAAAGAAAGATTCCCTTCTATTAGATGTGTTGGAGGCAAAGCTCAAGAGATATCAGCCACAGATGCTTTAATTTAGATTCCTGAACTCGGCAAAGGCTTGCAGTTGAAGGCCTAAATGGCCTCTTTCATTTCTCTAATGTTAGTTGGACTCTAAACAGGCATTCTTTACAAATAACAATTTGTATCTCTGCTGAAAATGATCTTCTGCTCTGCAGTCTGTTTGATTGTGGTTACTTACTTCCATGAGGCTATATTAACCTCTATAAATATATTTTCCTTCACTGCAGGTGCCATCATCAAATAGTTCTATTATTTATGTATGGTGCATGGTTTTGACATTAGAGGCCCAGTCACAAGTCCAACAAAGAATTGTGAGTACCTTCCCCCTTGTGCAAATTGATCTTACTCTTCCTGTTCTGAATACGGTCAGTTTGACCCTAAAACAGAGATTTATTGACAGTTTGTTATAACTGTCCAACTGAGCTGGAACACTGCATCTAATATTGCTCTGCTCTTTTACTTTTGTAGATTGTTTTCAGCCCTCTTTTTATCATAAGGAGCCATCTTCCAGATCCCATCATCATACATTTACAGAAAAGAAACCTGGGTCTGAGTGAAATGCAGATAATTCCTGGAAAAGGACAAGAAAAAACTCTGCAAAATATAGAACCAGATCTAATCCATCACTTAACCTTCCAAGCCAGGTAAAAAATGTTTTCCTAAATATGTTAGATTTAAAGATTGCTTTTGTGTCTCATCAGCATTCTCCCAATTTCATATAAGTAATGGAAATTTAGAGCAGTAGTTCCCAACTGCTTGCTTTATTAGGATCACCAAATTGTTATTGGAAACTTTTCAGACACTAACATAAACTAAAGTTTGACAGTACTATACCTGCCAGACCCTCAACTGATACCCACAGGACTCTAAAATTAAATAAAAATAATTAATACAGAAAGATATAATGCCCAAAATTTTACACAGATTGCAAAATCTGATCAAATGTCAATGTTCTCACCAAAGTCCTGTAATTTTTTGCAGTCATTGAATAAAGTACTAGATCAATTATTATAATAATGACACTACTATTTTTATTTAATTAATTTGTTAAGGAGCGCTCTTGGCATTTTCATGCTTGGAAGAATTGTTTTGAACTCAGGTAGCTGCCAAAGGTTTGACAGTTGCTTTCTTAATAAATTCATGCAATGAATGCCACACCTTTTGTATTTTTTTTATCCATATGGCAGGGAAGAAGATAATCCCTCAGAATGTGCAGTGCCTATTTCAACAGCACTTATTAAACAGATAGCCACCAAATCGAATACAAATGGCACCATACATGAAATACTTAACGATTTTTATGGGTGCAGCAGCTCGCCTCAATCTATCTGGCCTTACACAAAGAAGGATTTTGCCAGGTACCATTTCTTTTGATTATTTCTCTTTGTGGTTATTGTACTTGCAGTGGCAGAAGTATCTCTGCAAATGACACATGATCTTGAAATAACTCATGTTTAAGAACTTGATATATTTCAGATTAGCTTTCTTTCCTAAAGAAGAGAAGGGGACGAAGGTGCTATGGATATCGAATGTCCCATTCGCTCTCACTAGCATATCCAGGGCAGAGTTGAGAAAGCTCCCTTTCCAAAATGCTAGAATGTCTCTTCCATCTACAATCCAGACTATTCTCTCCCAATTGCTTCATCAAAGTAACTGCTATTGTTCCAAAAAGGCATATTGAATATATAATTTAATTCTAAGAAAGGTAACCTTAAGGCAGAACAGACCAGAAACGGAATGCAGTATTTTTGCAAGCAGATTTGCTTCAGAGTCCTAATTCAGCAAATAATAGTGAACAAGTTATTTTAGTACTAATTCATCAATTATCATTGTATGAATGCAGTAATAATAACCAGAAATCATGAATGAATATATATAAAAACCTCTACACATCAGGAGAAATAAAAAAATTAAGTTAAATCAGACAAAAGGTGCTTGCAAACTTAATATTTGTCTAGATGGGCATTTGGTTTAGTTTGAGGTGTTGTTTATGTTGATTTATTTTTAAAATGTTCAACACAATCTATCATTAGCTGTGCTCGGTGGGGGGGGGATCAAAAAAGGCAAAATGTCAGTTGTGCCATCACAATCAAAGTCCTTCCTTTTTGTCAGTGTTGCAGTATAATTCAGAGATACAAAGGGGCCATGAGAATGGCGATGCCACAATCCCTTTTTGATATACACACCTTGGGCGTGTCATAGATGTGGTGGGACATTTAAAAAGTGGAACAGGGTGGGTATCACTAGTTGACTGAGAGATTGCAAGGCATCCAGCAGCAACCTAAGGATGTCTGGTGATAACCTCAGCTCTACCTGCATACTTCTTTAAGACCTACAGTTTTCAGAGATGATTAGGAGAGTTGCATAACTGTAGCCAGGTCTTTCTTTAAAAAATTAAGTAAATGAGGATAGTTGTCAGCGTTCCAGAAAAAACCCAACCCCAAGTAAAGACACGGAAGCAAGCATTTTTCCAAAGTTCTCTTTACTAGAATAGGTAAACTGGAACATCTGGGAAAACCCGAATCTGAAAAGCCCGGTTTTCCTTCGTAAGTCAAAGCTCCCAAAACCATCCCCTTTCTCCCCAGTCGATCACATGCTCCAATCAACGTCCGTTCCATCTCGACCCATCCCCCTGACCACTCCTTCTCCAGATGCTGGATCGCCCTGACCTTGACCGACAGGAAGAATGCTATTATGTCTACTAACAACCCCTCTCCTTAATCCCCCCTCCTACTTTCCCATACATGAGAAGGTGGCAGCATTGAAGCTTCTGGCCTAATATGGCTTCCAAAGCTGACAATAGAGAGATTTGCCAGTAGGCTCTATGTAAATGTACTCATCTCTGTATTAATCCTAAAATAAGTAGCTGGAATATCAAGAAGACTTACTTGAACCCATGCATATTTCAGTATCTATTTGGCATTTCCCTCCTAACTAGGAGTCCCTAAACTTTTCCTTTTGTAACTTCCCACCTAAACTGCATTCCAGGACAGAGGGTAATTTTTCACATGGCAATATAGGAGCAGGAGACGTATGAGAGCTAATATTTATTTTTTTAATATGACAGTCATATATGCAGAAAACATATGTACCATCATTTCAAGAATAAGAAACTGGCCAAGAGTCTCATTGCCAGGTGTTGCCCAGAAAATACTTTAATTCAATTACTTAAAAATCTCAGCTGCTTTTTGATCCTTGAATAAAGGTATATTTCAATCAAAGCAGAGACCCTAAATCAGGGACAGGTTTGCCTTGATTGTCTTTCAAAATCATACCTGTTGTCAGAAGTGCTTCGCTGTAACCAGAGCTTTATGAATGGCTAGGATGATAAACTGCAAATCTTACCAATGAATTAACCATTTTCTTTTATCTCCCCTTTGATATGTTCCTTGGAATAGCAGTGAACAGCTCACTCAGTGGGATAGCCCCATGCGCGTGAAGCTGTCGGTGTGGAAGCCATGTGTGAAAACGCTGCTGATAGAACTCCTGCCATGGGCTCTGCTGATCAATCAGTCCAAGTGGGATCTTTGGCTATTTGAAGGAGAAAGGATTGTTCTGCAGATTCCCACTGGGAAAACAATGATACCACCAAACTTCCAGGCAGGCCTTTCCATTGAAATACATATGTGTTATTTTCTTGAAAAAGTTTCCTTTTCATTTCGTGTAGATGAGACATGTCAACTCAGAGGTCACAAGGTTTTTCTGAGCCATGACATAGGGCACAATGCATCTTGTTTTTGTCAGCAAATGCACAAGTAGAGAATCGTTTATGTCACAAGTGGGACGCATTTGTCTGCCCACTCTCCAGCTGAAAATTAGCCCACCTATCCAGTTAATTCTGTTCATCATGTGAGACAACAGTGAGAAGTCTTTTCTTAAGATCAGCAAGAGCTTCCATTATTTGAGATGTGAGGGGTTTTATGGGAGTTTGAGCAACAGGGCTACTATGTTGGCTAGTGCAGGCTTTGAAAATGTTTCGGGATTGTTTCAAACTTCACATCAGCATGGCACATTCCTTTTTTTATCAGAGTAGCCCAATTGTTTCAGGTGTTCTTGTGTTCAATAAATTCCCTCAAAATGTTAATGCAACTTTTAAAGCATTAGGAGTTATAATGTCCCCCCACACACACTTTTTTTCTTCTGTTTTTCACAGAAAATGTTTCCCCCACACACACGCACACAAATTTTAATACCAGAGAAGTGCTGCATTTGTGCAAATTCCAATGTCTTTCTGAGGAATTATTTCTGAACTGTACACAATTTTTATATTTATTCCCTTGTGGTCCTTAAATGAACAGGATTAAAACCCTTTAATATAACTTAACTATCTCTAACTATGTGTGTAGGCCGGATTGATTTGTTGACCTAAAATATGTACTTCTATTTAACTTTCAGTGCATGGCTCTTTGGTGCTTTCACTATTTAGAATTTTAAGCCATATATTTGGATGTACAGAATTAGTCTTAGCCGTGAATCATACATGTAGCTGGGTGGGAGATGTAGAAGTTACTTGAGTGTCTTTCCTACAACATATAAACAGATTGATCTGTTTATCATACTAAGGTATCATTGTGCAAAGCTTTGTATAGTGTGGTAGAAAAAATGAAGCTATGAAAGCAATATCATTCTGGGTTTCAAAACCAGAAATAAGAATGTTGATAGGAACTCACAGAGTCCATCTAGGCTGGGGGGGGAAATCAAAGTCCCATGTATATTATTGGACAGTGGTAGACATGAAAGGGAACTGGGCACCTTAGTAGATCAGACACTGAACAAGAGGCAACAAGGAAGCAGAAAAATAAACTGCACTGACAAAGTTTGTGTCAGAATCTTCACTCCTTTCTATTCTGCTTTGGTTAGAACATATCTAAAATACTGCTTTCATTTTGCAATTGCATGTAGGAAAGTAAATCAGAGCATATCCAAAGAAGGTCAAATTAAGTGGTCTAAAATAAAAACTTAATGAGGAATGGCTAGAGGAGTTGGATATGCTTAACCTAGTAAAGGCAAGACTGGAGAAATAAAATATTTATCTTCACATACTGAAGGATTGTCCTGTAAAAGAGGTTCCAAAGTTTATTTAGGATTATATAAATCTGGAAACTCCCTCTGCCTAAATATCAAATGGATATATTGAGAAATGGAAGTGTTGAGGGTAATCAGATATTTTTTTTATTTCAGGAAGCTTTTCAAATTGGAATATATTGGGCAAACAGTAATACTGTGCACAAGTCAGTCGCTATTAAGCTGGTTCACAACATGACATCTCCAAAATGGAAGGATGGTGACAATGAGGAGGTGGTAACATTGGATGAAGAAGGGTTTGTGGAAGCAGAAATCAGACTTGGAGCTTTTCCAGGTCATCAAAAGGTTAGTCCTATTAGAATTATATCCTAGTCTTTAAAAGCAATAAACAGAAAAAAAGTGTCTGCCATTAAGTTGTGTTTTTTTAAAAAAAATACCCTCATTCAAAAATAGCTAATTAAAGATATTCCAAATATTAAGTAATTAATTAATAACTGATTTTACACTTGAATTGGAAGCCATTACTGTTGCTCCTGTGCCTATTACTTAGAAGAAAACAATTTGGATTCCAGTTCCATTTAGTACAGCCAGGAATGGAGAACTAAATTCTGTCTGCAGATTGGATCCCATTTCTCAACTAAACTGGCAAACAGGACAATATCAAAAACTCCATCTTTTATCATTATTTTTTCTGTATAGGGAGCAAAGGACCCAAAGAATAGTTTTGAGAACTACTTTTTTTTTTCTCTTGTTGTGGTTAAGCAAAGATGTTCCTGCTTAGGGGGGCAATAAATGAAGTGGTGGAAGGTAAAGAAGAAATAGAGAACTGTCAGTGAAGTCATCTGTCACAGAGATGGAGAACTTCCTGTCAGGGAAGCCTCCCATATCTGTTTCTCTGAACTTAATGAAGGGAAGGCCTTAAGAAAAAAGGGCTCGATAGACTTCAGAAGAAATCTTTGTGTTGGAAGAAGGGGGCATTTTTATCTCTCTTTCTCTGAGACTTTTCTACTTTTTTTTCTAGACAAGTTATTAATTGTATATGCTTAACCTTCTATTACTTTATTCTGCAGTTGTGTCAGTTCTGCATTTCTTCCATTGTTCGACGTGGTATTCAAATTCTGCAGATTGAAGACAAGAGTATAATTGTGAATAACACCCCATTCCAAATCAGTTGCTGGCCGCTGTTCTCTGCTATGAATTCCCAGATCAGGGAAGAGGTACAACTTTGATTACACATTTTTTTAATATACATTCAAGCTGTTTCTCTAAATGAGGAATTTACAACAGGAGGAATCTGAGTCTGAAGTAATATTTTTCTCAACTGAAGGAAAATCAATGGATAAGAAAAAGTAGCCATTTTAAGTTATTCCAGTTAAAAGGTAGATGCCACAATACAGTCAGTCATGGAAATGCAAAATGATTGTTTGCCAGGTCATAGTATTAGTTCTACCTGGCTCTCTTTAGATACTTTAAGCTGCTGAAACAGGAGTAGCAGAGTCTGGAATAACAATTGAACAGTTCTAAGAATTACGTTACAGCATTTTCATTATAAGATCTGCTGACAGCTTGAAACTGTATGCAGCACCTCAACACAATCCTGTTACTTTATAAGCATTTCCCAAACTCTATATACAAAACATGTGAATAAAATACGCTTAAAGATGCAGAATGCCACTCTTTCATAAATCTCTTCCTTGAAACCAAACAAATAACATGTGGCAGTCCTCAAGGTACTATATATGACTTGTCTTGATTTTTACTGAAGTTGAAGCACCCGCTAGTGTACCATTGGGCAGAACATATCAGTTGTTTCTTTTACTAAAAAAAGATATGTGTATCTCCCAATTATATTCAAAATAATATTTTTCAATAAAATAATTCTGTGAGCTTCAAACTACTGCTGAAAATTGTGATTGCTCTGCTTTCCCTCTCAAGTTCTCCATTCATTAGAATAATGAAATTTGAATATTGAAAGATCAGGACAAAGTCTTTATTATACATGAAATAGCAAATTCTTTAGAAGTTTACAATACCAATTTGTCAAATATTCCGGCAAATAACAGTTATATACGCTATTTCTCATTTTATTTTATTTTATTTTTTCTTGCCCTTTTGTTTCCTAGTTTTTACCATCTCCAGACAGCAGAATATTTAGTGTTGGTTCTGCTACAGAGTCAGATGCTGCTGAAGCTTGTTCTGTGCTTTACTGGGACTTGATGCCTGACATGAGCCAATTAATTTCTGAGGAGCTTCCCATTCAGAAGTATATGTTGCTAAGCTTCAAACACAACACAAATGGTCCTGACACTCCATGCTGGAGCTTACCAGCTGTCATTAGACAGGAATTCCCAAGGCAGAGCATAGCTGTACCTGTCGGTAATAGAGATGAAAAGGGATTCCATACCAGGTATGTATACTATGTGAGAATGAAGCTTTCATTTAAGCAGAAACAGTGTTTGATATTGTAAATTCAGTTGTACTTTTCATATATTCACATTATTAGAAAAAAGTAAAGATATGTATTTCTCACTATGTGCTCACTGTGTGTTTCCAATAAGAAAAGGAAAGGGGAAAAAGGAAATGTATATAATATTTTACTGGACATATTTTTTTCTGACATGGTTAATGTGAGCCAGAGAATGCCACAATTCTGCAAAACAAGAATGTTTTTCTTTGTGGTTACACATGTAAGTGTCCTATACCTGTGCATGGCACTCTTGGGATGTCATGGAGTTCAGCTTTTGACAGGCTACATTGTCACCACTATTGCCTATGACGCAGCTCAAAGACCATCTTGCTATTTACTTTAGTTCTTTCACTGAGCAGTTACAAAAGCTGTTACATGTATACATATATACCAGGGAGGAAAGAAGCAGGAGCAGCACTACGGTAGCTATGTTATTTTTCTGTGCTTCTGATTAGGCCCAATCAGAAGTAATAAAATACAGTGTCAAGAAATTGATACAAAAATATACTACAACTCAGATTAGAGATTTCTTATATATCTGATGGTGCACTGCTATTCATGATGCCTTTTAATAAAATGTGTTAATTGGAAAAGAAGTCTCCAGATTCCTTCTGATTCTTTACCACCATAGACCTAATACATATCTCTTCCTACATGTTGGGAGTTGGGCAGCATATAAATTAAACAAATGAATAAAATTTTTATCCGTAACCCCATGAAATAGCAAATCATCTGAAACCATAGGAACATGACACTTCTATCAGAATACCTTATTCAGAAAATGAAAGTTATTCCTGATTACTACCATTACCAACTACCATTCAGTTATAAAATTTGCTTTCTCTTCAGAGATTTACTCAAGTCGGTGCCTTAGTAACCTGAGAAAGCACTAGGAATTCTGGTGTGGGCCAGTCAGAATTGGATGTAAGCTCTATCGAAAAATGATATAGTCCTATGATATGTGCAGCCTCCTATCACATAGGAGATGCAACTATTAACAGCAGGAATGGAGGAATTGCGTCTTTGAATGGTGGGGAAATGTAGTAAAATACTTGTTAGGTGAAAAAGAGCCCTCTTTTATTTCTTTCATATTTCAGCTTTTCATTCCTTATACATGACAGCAATCAATGATGCAAATAATTTTGTTCTCAAAGCTTCAGGTATTTTGAGAACTCTGAGATGTTCATTATCCAACCTCTTCCACTGGATGAGGTAGATCTCTTCCGATGCAGTAGTTGAAGAGAAAGCTAGCTGTTTACAGCTATTTGCACAGTTTATTTGAAAAAAGAACAAACGAGAACAATATGGAAGAAAATTAATGAGGGACGTGATGACCTGGAGAATATAGAAGGAAAAGGTCCAAGTTTTAAAGGCAACCTATATCTAAAGTTGCCTTCCCCTTTGAAACTAAGCCACTCCTTACAGTAAAAATTCCACTGCTGATTAGAAAACCTGATTTCTATTTCCTGTCCCGAAACTGATTTTGTTCTTAGAATATGCTGTAGATATAAATAAGAAGCTATATAATGTAAGATCAGAATCAACCATATGGTATTGCCTTTAGAGTGAGCTATGTGGGAGATGCTTTGAAGACAATGAGTTTCAATCCCTAAGCACTGAGGAGGGGAATACCTTATATCATTTCAATCACTCAGCAGTGACTTCCCTGGATGATTTATGAATAGTGTGGCTGAGCTTCAAGAGATTCCAAAATAGTCCTTAGAAAAAAAGCTGCTGACAAAACACAGTAATCCTACCAGACATCAACAGGACACACTAGCAAAGTTCTAAAAATGTAAAGATTCCCGGCTCCAAACTTGATATATATTTTTATTCACTTATTTTAAGTTTATTCTCTGCTTTGTAATAAAAACCCTGTGTAGACTAGATATGCTGAATAGACATGAGAGCTCGGTTATTTGTTCATTTCTCCTTAAATAATAGAAAAATTGTCTTCTTTTTTTCTAGCTGCATACTGAACACTATTTTCATTTTTTTCTGTATTCATGTGTGTGTATGCTATAATTTTTGGGATAAAGATGTGTAGATTGTTTTAAAAATGATCTCACTTATATAAATGGATCCTGGTTAATTGTTCTAGTGTAATATTGGCTATTTGTTTCAAACAATTGGCCATTAAACTAACATAGGAAATTGCTAATACTGCATCAGATCATTTTCCTTATTGCTTGCTTTTCCAGAGTAACCTTGGATTTTATTCATGGAAAGCATGTTGAGAAAATAGTTGACTCTTCCAGCACTTAAAATATGTAAGATTTTAGTGTGCCACAAGAATTTAGTTCAAGAAACATTCTAAATAATTCTTTAAAATTTGCTTTGATAGTTTACCTACATGTTGAAGAATATTATCAATTTCTATGACAATGAATAAAATCATTGTATTTTTAATGAGACTAAATTAATATTCTTGATCAATGTTAGGTCAAACTTTATTTAGAGTAGAGAAGAAAAAATAATTTGTTTGATTCAAGTTCAAAAATAGTGCCCAGGTTTTTCTTTCACTAGATCTTTTTAAAACTATTCAGAAATTAAAATCAGACATTCATTATATTCACAGGACACTAATAAATATTTTTGAAATATTCAACAAACTATTTAATAAATAGGAATGTTAAAAATGTAAGAGTACATTCTTAAATTGAGTCCAAAACAAATTATCTGGAATTGAGCAAAACATTATAGTTTTAGTTGCTTTTTATCTGTATGAGATTTATGCCAATAATCCCATATTTCAATTACTTTGTATATGTGTGTGCTAAAAATCGGAAATATTACATTTTGCTACTCATATGTTACTGCAGAAAAAAGTTTAGACACTTTGCTGAAAGGAATCTCTGATAAGGCATTGCTTTAGCAACTATGAGGTTCATTTAAATAATAATATAACCAGTTGGTTTGCTTTATTTGCTAAAAATATATAAAGGAAAGTTGTAAAAATATATAAAGGAAAGTTTTAAATTCATGGCTATAAGTATTAACATGCTCATTCAGTTTGATTAATGTTTATTTTTATATTTTATATATAAATTATAAGAATCTGATTTCATTTATATTCCCATATGATAGTCATTCATGATGCTAACAAATGTACATCTTGCTTATAGATCTTGCTTTTTATTACTATTTTGCATTTATTTAATATAAGTGGTGTTTAGTGCTGGAGAGTTCTTTGGAGTAGTCACATTAATATTACAGAATTATCTTTTTAAATGAAGGACATTTTTAGGGGAAATTTTATACATGTCTATATTTTCTCACATGAAACCTTTTTGTATTATAATTACTTTCCCGTCTTGTTTTTCTTTCTTAAGTTTTTCATAAGGGTAATGTTATATTTTTTTAAGCCAGGAGGATTTTGATTTTAGGTTCTTCAGATATTTATTCTTTAGTATCTTACTAAGAAGGTACAATTTTTAACTACAGATGAACTTTTTTTTTAATAAATGTGCAATTTGCACTCTTATTTAGAGCTATAGCACTGACTTACCAGGAACATCTTGGGGTGACATATTTAACTCTATCAGAAGATCCTAGCCCTCGCATAATTATCCACAACAGGTGCCCTGTCTCACTGCTTTTGAAAGAAAACATCAAAGGTATGTCACTTTTGTTGCTACAGCGTAATGCTTCAGCCTTTTAATGAAGAGGCTTGTGCTTGTTTTTCCTTCACAACTCTTTGTTTCAATATACTTATTCAAAATGAAACGTATTTAAGTCAAACATTAGAATGCGTAGGCAAGGAAGTAAAGAGGAGATCCGTAAAATAAACAAGGAAATTGTATGTACTGATAATCTGTCAGATAGAGTTCTCTACAGGCTGGAATTGTATGTGCACACTGAGATATTATAGAATTGCACCATAAATTCAGAGAATGTTCTTTAAAGTGCCTGTCTGATATTTCCTTAAATTCTAGACACACCAAAGTTTGCTATTTACTGCAAGCATATTCCAGCTGAAAGTGCAGTACACCACGAACTTTATCATCAGATTGCCAGCTATCCAGATTGCAAAACCAGAGAATTGGTCCCTAGCATTCTTTTAAAAGTTGTATCATCGGAGGAACAGGCAAATGAATGGAGTGATTCTGTTGACATTAATAACCAAGGAACGCAGGTTAGTGGTTTGGTTGGCTTATGTATTGCAGCATAAAGAATTTTAACAATAAAAGATAACATTTGCATAGAGCAAATTATAAATCCATAATAATAACAAATAATATGTACAAGTTAAAAACAGGAGTTAATTACAAATAAAGGGCCTGAATGCATTTCCTTGTAGCAGGAAGTAGGATTTTTTTGCTCAGTCTAGATAGGTGTGCTAATTTTATGACACTCTTCTATTTTATTTTTAAAACGCAAGAAATATCTACTATGAAAAGGAGAGAGACTAACGTTTTGATCCTCCCAAGAGATTCTAAATGATCCTTTCTTAAATAATTGTTTTTTCTATTGTGTTTAGTGATTCCTCTACCTTAGCCGAGCCATATATATAAATATTTCTTCAGTTTCAAAAATAAAGCAGAATCACTTCATAATACCTTACTGATTTGAGGGCAGTTGTGTTATTGTGAGGATAGAAATACAATCTTTTTCTGGCTTTTAAAAACTGAATATTCTTTTTACATTTTATTCTTGATTTCATTTTTCAATTCCATCAATCAACATGTGCTTTCCATTGTTCAGAAACATTTTTTGTTTTGGGTTCAGTGTTAGAAACTAAGATTATCTTATAACAATTAAAAACGCATGCTTTTTGGTGCCTTTTAACCATATTTAAAATAGAACCAGCAAAAGATTGTGGAATGGTATCATTTTTCTGCCTCAAATCAATGTTCCTATCCAAAGTCTGTTGGGGAGAGATAAAGGCTGGATAAGAGTATCACTTTAACTTTTTAAGAGCAAACATTAGCTCCCACATTGGTGATTACTTTCATTTTAAACATTTAACAGTGGCAGAGCTTGCTTTGCTGAAACCTTGTATTGTTTACTTGCACCATGAATATATATGAAGTTTATAGAGCAATAGATTTAAAGAGGAAAGGAATCCTGGCCAAGGATTTTCCAAACCAAATGTTGCTGGTGAAGAGATAAAAGGAATGAGAAAATATAATAAGGAAAACTTATAGGGAGGTGAGAGGAATGATAAACACAACACTACCAAAGGATTATTATCAGCAAATGCTATATTTTTCCCAGGTTAAGCTAAAAAATAAAAATCAATATTTTATTTTTATAGTTTATTGCTGAACAAACACTTGGATCATAGAATTGCTACCAAAAGAAGAAATATTATCTCTTCCCTTGGTCTTCTCCTACGTTGTCTGGGATTGTGGTGTGGGATTGGTTGGGGAATGGATTTTCTCAATGGCAACCTGCAATCAGAGAAATGATGCCACTTTCAGTCTATGTCTGGGTTTCCACAGTGAAAGTTCACATTTTTAATGATGTAGATGCTTTTATCCTGAGAGCATCGGCTTCCACTGCTTTTTCTGCAGGTTTCATTTTCTTGGTGATGTATTAAAGTTCAAAGAGCTTTTGGTTACATTAGTTAAAAACTTATTTGCCAAATGGAACTCTATCTTGAAATCAGAATATTGAAAAAATGTGCTATCAAGTATATAATCCTTTCTCAGAAACGCAGAACTTACAATTCCTTTGCATTAGAATTGGTTCGTTCTGGTTGTAATTTTGGCACAAAAATGAAAGCAACTCTGATATCATAGGATCACAAGCTGTTTGCTCTTTCAGTTGAGCCATTAATTTAAGTGCTCTTTCTTCTTGTAAGAAAACTCAGTAGATACTAACTGAAATTCCCATCTGCCATTTGCTATCAAACCCAACTTTGGCTCAGATTCCAAAGCGTTCAGAAACAGGCAGGAGTTGCAAGGGCAAAAAAAAAACAAAAAACCCCCCACTTTTCACAATGCAAGTTTAAAAGCATACTTAATGAACGCAAATGTCTGTAAATCTAAGAAACTAAATAGTATGGCTTCCTCTGCTATGTTTATTTGACCTGAGGAATTAATTGCCATCAGGAAATCTTCAAAGAAATAATTCAGCAAGATGTTATTTCATGTTTCAGAAGAGTGCTGTGTCCACTAATAACATTGGTAAGCCAAGATAAGTGTAACCTAGAAACAAAAATAGTAATTTATCAAGCTTTTAATAACATGGCTACATTTGAGAAAAGCTTCCCTTTCCCATTCCCCTGGTTATGTTAGCATATTTCAGGGTTTTTACCTGCCTCAGAAGCAATGAGGTTTTGATACTGGTGGGAATATAGATGTCTGCGTAGACCAGAGGCTTGGTGATATAGTTAAATAAGTAGCACAGGCCTTGCTCTGGACAAATTAATATCAGCACTTTTCAGTTTATATATGTAATTTTTATTAATTAATAAAATGTAATTAATATGTAATATGTAAACGTTTATTTTTATAAATCTATGAATTTAAAAATTAATAATATAATTTTCAAAAAGCAAAAGATGATTCTTTATTGAGTTGGGTAAATTCTTGTGCATCCATACTGGAATTATTTGGACTGGAGAACCTCTGAATCAGAGAAAGAAATAAATGCATCACAATATAGTATCAGATCATTAGCTGGCACAGTGTTTTAATAGGTAATTCTTAGAAGTGGCTTACAAGTGGTAGTTCTTAGAAGTGAATATACAACTATTTATTTATTTATTTATTGGTTCAATTTATATGCCGCCCTTCTCCGGAGACTCAGGGCGACTTACAATGCATTAAGCAATAGCCTTCATACTTTTTGTATATACCTGCTTAGTAGGGCTTTCGGCCCCCTCTAAGCGGTATTCTTTTTTTTAAATACAAAGTCAGCTGATTGCCCCCACAATCCGGGTCCTCATTTTACCTACCTCGAAAGGATGGAAGGCTGAGTCAACCTTGAGCCTGGTGAGATTTGAACTTGCAGTTATTGCAGGCAGCTGGTGTTACTTAACAGCACTTTAGTCTGCTGCGCCACCAAGGCTCTTTCACCATGTCTTTCAATATGGCTGAGTATACTTTCATGCAAATGTTTAGCCAAATGCTCTGCCTTTGCTAGAAGTTAAAAGCCAGTGTAGACAATTATTCTTATGGAGGGAAGATGGATCCTATGAATTAACTCTTTGTTGTTAGTTGCAAAGTCGTCTCCGACCCATTGAGACACCATGGACAACATTCCTCCAAGCCTTCCTGTCCTCTACCATCCTCTGGAGTCCATTTAAGCTCACACCTAGTGCTTCAGTGACTCCATCCAGCCACCTCATTCTCTGTTGTCCCCTTCTTCTTTTGCCCTCAATCTTTCCCAGCATTAGGCTCTTCTTCAGTGAGTCCTTCCCTCTCATTAGGTGGCCAAAATATTTGAGTTTCATCTTCAGGATCTGGCCTTCTAAAGAGCAATCAAGGTTGATCTCCTCTAGGACTGACCGGTTTGATCACCTTGCAGTCCAAGGAACTCACAGGAAGCTTCTCCAGCACCATAGTTCAAAGGCCGCAATTCTTTGTCGCTCAGTCTTTCTTATGGTCCAGCTTTCACAGCCGTACATTGCAACTGGAAAACCATAGCCTTGACTATATGCACTTTTGTTGGCAGGGTGATGTCTCTGCTTTTTAGTATGCTGCCTAGATTTGCCATAGCTTTCCTCCCCAGGAACAAGTGTCTTTTAATTTCTTGGCTGCAGTCCCCATCTGCGGTGATCTTGGAGCCCAGGAAAATATAATCTGTCACTACCTCCATTTCTTCCCCATCTATTTGCAAGGAAGTGAGAGGGCCAGATGCCATGATCTTAGTTTTCTTAATGTGGAGTTTCAAGCTAACTTTTGCACTCTCCTTCTTCACCCACATCAAGAGGCTCTTTAGTTTCTCTTCGCTTTCTGCCATTAGAATGGTATCATCTGCATATCTGAGGTTGTTAATGTTTCTCCCGGCAATCTTTATTCCAACTTTTGATTCATCTAGCCCTGTGGCCACTGTTGAGTTTTCCAAATTTGCTGGCAAATTAAGTGTAGCACTTTTACTGCATCGTCTTTTACGATTTTGAATAGCTCAGCTGGAATATTCTCTCCTCCACTAGCTTTGTTGTTGCTCAGATTTCCTAAGGCCCATTTGACTTCACATTCTAGGATGTCTGTCTCGAAGTCAGTGACCACCCCATCATGGTTAACAGGGATGTTAAGCTCGTTCTTGTATAGGTCTTCTGTGTAATTTTGCCACCTCTTCTTAATCTCTTCTGCCTCTGTTACGTCCCTGCCATTTTGATCCTTTATCATGCCCATCTTTGCATGAAACATTCCGTTCATATCTCCAATTTTCTTGAAGAGATCTCTGGTCCTCCCTATTCTATTGTTTTCTTCTATTTCTTTGCACTGTTCATTTAAGAAGGCATTCTTATCTCTTCTAGCTATTCTCTGGATTTCTGCATTCAGTTGGGTGTATCTTTCTCTTTCTCCCTTGCCTTTTGCTTCCCTTCTTTTCTCAGCTATTTGCAAAGCTTCCTCAGACAATCATTTTGCTTTCTTGCCTTTCTTTTTCTTTGGGATGGTTTTAGTTGCTATCTCTTGTACAATGTTGCGAACCTCTGTCCATAGTTCTTCAGGCACTCTGTCTATCACATCTAATTCCTTAAATCTATTTGTCACCTCTACTGTATATTGATCAGGGATATGATTTAGTTCATACCTGAGTGGTCTAGTGCTTTTCCCTACTTTCTTTAATTTAAGCCTAAATTTTGCAACGAGAAGCTCATGATCTGAGCCATAGTCAGCTCCTGGTCTTGTTTTTATTGACTGTATGGAACTTCTCCATCTTTGGCTGCAGAGCACATAGTCAATCTGATTTCTGTGTTGACTGTCTGGTGATGTTCATGTGTAGAGTCGTCTCTTGGGTTGTTGGAAAAGAGTGTTTGCTATGATCATCGTATTATCTTGACAGAATTCTATCAGCCTGTGCCCTGCTTCATTTTGTACTCCTGGGCCAAACTTGCCTGTTATTCCAGTTATCTTTTGGCTTCCTACTTTAGCATTCCAATCCCCCATGATGATAAGGACATAACTTTTTGGTGTTAATCTATAAGGTGCTTCATAGAACCGGTCAATTTCATCCTCTTCAGCACCAGTGGTTGGGGCATAGACTTGGACTACTGTGATATTGAATGGTTTGTCTTGGATTCGAACTGAGATCATTCTGTCATTTTGGGGATTGTATCCCAGTATTGCTTTTCCTACTCTTTTATTGATTATGAAGGCTACTCCATTTCTTCTGAGGGATTCTTGCCCGCAGTAGTATACTTGATGGTCATCTGAATTAAATTTACCCATTCCTGTTCATTTTAGTTCGCTGATTCCTAAGATGTCGGTGTTTAGTCTTGTTATCTCTTGTTTGATCACATCCAGCTTGCCTTGATTCATGGATCTTACATTCCAGGTTCCTATGGAGAAAAAAATCTATACAGCATCGGACTTTCCTTTCACCTCCAGATGCATCCACAGCTGAGCGTCCTTTCGGCTTTGGCCCAGTCGCTTCACTCTTTCTGGTGCTACTAGTACTAGCCCTTTGCTCTTCCCCAGTAGCACATTGGACACCTTCCAATCTGAGGGGCTCATCTTCCGGCGTCATAACTTTTTTCCTTTTGGCATTGTTCATGGGGTTTTCATGGCAGATATTGGAATGGGTTGCCATTTCCTTCTCCAGTGGATCACGTTTTGTCAGAACTCTCTGCTATGACCTGTCTGTCTTGGGTGGCCCTGCATGGCATAGCTCATAGCTTCATTGAGCTACGGAAGCCCCTTCGCCACGACAAGGCAGTAATCCATGAAGAGGATGAATTAACTCTAACTGTTATTTATATTTTCTTAGAAACAGTCATTATCTCTTCTATTTCAGAAAGTGCTTCCTCAGTATTCTTTTTTTTTTTTTTTACAAAAGTGATAACGGGATTCTCCCATTTGATATCTCTTTTGGTTTACTTTTTGTCTTCCTTCTTTAGATATTTTTGGATTTTTAGATCATATTCTAAACTTGAACATCTGATAACCTGGAGCAGTTTTCATTTTGTGGGATTGGAGAAGGTGGCCTGCTGTGGGGTGGAATCACATGTAGCGATGTGTCAGCAGCCAGAGTTGTAAGGAGCTGCATAGCTGAGCAGTGAGGGGCACATGCTCCCAGCAAGTCGAGCTAGAAGAATCGTTTAACCAGAGATGTCTCTCAGGATGCTTCTACAGCCAAATACAAAACTCAGAGAAGTTATGCCCTCCTGCAGGAGATTTCATGTTATGTCAGGAAGCATTTTGAGGAAAGAAGTCTTTTAAGAAGGATGAACACTTATTACTATTAAGTATTAATTAATTGGCCTAGTGGGACAGCCAGTTTGGCCTACTGGTTAAGGTGCTGGCCTAGAAACTAGGAGACTGTGAGTTCTTGCCTTAGGCATGAAAGCCAGCTGGGTGACTTTCGTCCAGTTATTCTCTCTCAGCCCAATGTGCGTTACGGTGCTGTTGTTGTGGGGAAAATAGGAGGAGGAAGGAGGAAGGTATTTTGCCACCTTGAGTTACTTATAAAATAATAAAGATAGGATAAAAATCAAATAAATAAATAATGTTCAAGTGAACTTTTTCTCTTTATGGTGTAAGATGTTTCAGGTACATAACTTTTAACATACAATTAGTCCTTGACACCGGTTGCTTAGCAACCATTAAAAATTACGATGGACCCCCAAAAGGGTACTTATGACTTGGTTTCAAAGTTTTAACGGCCAGTTGACCCTTGTAGTCACATGATCGCATTTTGGGTGCTTGGCAATAGGCCTGCATTTATAGCTCTTTACAGCATTCTGTGGTCACATAACCACGATTTATGACTTTTTAAAGCAAAAATTGGTGTTTACTTCCAGTTTCTGGCAAAACCTGCCTAACGCAAAAAAATGGGTTCACTGAACAACTGTGGCATTTGCTTTACAACTGCTGTGTTCACTTAATAACCACCATAAAAATGTCATTAAATCAGGCACATTAATATTCACAATTGGCATGACTTATGACCTTCATTCCTGGTAATATCATAAGTTGAGGACTACCTTTTGCTGTCTAGGCCATAACATTCCTGAGGGAATACATGTTCTTGTAGTGTGGTGTTTTGTGGGCAAGGGAAACAAAAATGTATCAACGGATATGATGAATGAAGATACATCTGAACGAAGCATCATTATTGCCTGCATGCAAGCAAGGAGTTATGCTCATCAGGGATAATTGTTAATATTTTTGTAATTGGGGATAGAGATATAAACTCCCCTTATTTGTGCAAAAAACATACACACTGTAAGCTTTTATAGTTTGGAGAAAGCCTTGGAAGTATCTGGAGTGCATAATTTTGGAATAATGTATCTAAGTAAGACAAATTCAACAATAAAATATGGGGGAGGATTTAAAAAACAAAGTCCTCATGTTCTGGACTTTATTTTCATTCAATTTTGGAGAATCCACTTTTTGAATTATTTCCAATTTTTGTCTAACATTGTAGGTCTCTTATTTAGTTTGATGCTGAATATTACTAAACATTGCCATTTTCAAACACTTGTTTCCATTATAGTTGTATAGATGTCACTCTGGAGTAAATAATTCCAAACAGCGTCAATTTTAATGAATCAAGGCAGAGCCACTTTTGTTAGATTTCTAAGTACTATTTATTTTTCGCAGATTGTATTTTTAACTGGGTTTGGCTACCTTTATGTGGATATTGCTCATCAATGCGGAACAGTAATAATCACTTTAGCACCTGAAGGAAAGCCAGGACACCAAGACAGTTTGATCAGGTATGTTAAAACTGCTCGGGAAAAAAATTGTTCTGGGTAGCTGTTTAGCCCTCTAGGTGTGAAGTGACTTATTAAAACTAGCATAACTATTTGTTTTGTCTGGTGTCACACAGCATATGTGTGGCGTATGTTTAGACCACATGTTAACATTTTGTATATCATTGTAAGGCATGACAATTTAACATCTGAGGTCATGTCACCAAAGGATAAACATGAAGTGCCTGTTATAATAAACAAAACTCAGGGAAGACACACATTTCAAGTTTATTGGCCAGATCAGCAAACCTTTCTTGCACATAACTCCCATTGAGATCGGTGGGAGTTCTCATTCATGATGCAGGACAGAAGAATGGTCCAATACAGACTTTGTAGTTGATCATCTTTACTGCACTGCCTTGGTGCCCCCAAACTGCAAAATCTCTGTTGTGAGGTTTATAATGTCACCTATTTATATCTGCCAGAGTGCTTGACTGTATTATTTGGCATCAAGAGAGCAGAGAAATTTTACTGCAGGCTTGGTTTGTGTAGTTTTAAAGGATCCTATAATTAGGAATCACCATGAAATGAAGTATCAGTATTTACTGGTTCATTTGCAGTTAAGCTTGGCCAAAGATTAGCTAAGACTATGAATCAAGCCAGCCTATCATCAGTTTAAAATAGTGATGGTGATTTAACACAGGAAAATGCTGCTTCCATAATGTGACATTAATGATCCATAATAGAAACTATCCATATTTATTTATTGTTTATTTATTAATCAAATTTATATGGTTGCCCATCTCATGGAAAGTGACTCTAGATGGTACACAACAATTCAATAAAACAGTAGATATATAAAACAATCATAAGCCTATTATGTAATAATTATTTTAAAAACTATAAAGACAAAGCTAAAACAAAAAGAAAATACTTAGTATATGGAGGTTTGTCAAACAGCCCAAGATATAACAAGATGTGGGGATATTTTCCACTGATTTACTTGCCACTACATTACAAATACAACTGAAAATTACTGTGCATAAAATGTTGCAAGGAAGTTTAAACATAACATTACATTAAGAATTCAAGTATTCATGTATGTTAAATGGGTAGGAAAGGTATAGCTTGGCACATACAATTGTTATCTGTTTGCATGAGTTGACCAGAGCCTCAAGTTCAGTTCATAACAATTGCATATACATTTTATTTTTTTACTTGAAACTGGAGGAATCTTTACAAAGCTGTTTTCTCTTATACAGAAGCCAGGAGCAAAGCCTTGTGTTTAAGTTGTTTATTAACCAGCTGAGCCTCACAGTATATGATGACATCACAAATCCTAAAGTATCATCAGAACTTCTGAGATTCACAATAGACTACATTTATCTAAATATGGTTCCAGTTGCTAGCTACCTTAGACCTCTCTTTCACAAATTTCAAGAAGAGACCACCAGTGGCCTTCAGCAGTTTTATACCCTCCAGATCTACTGTGGAGACTTTCAGCTGGACAATCAGCTTTACAACAAGTCCAATTTTCATTTTCCAGTGGTGTTGTGCCAGGGAGAAAAAAATGAAAACGTTCAGTGGGCTAAAGTCCATAACCTTACACTTTCCAGTAAAGACCTGGAAGAATGTAACCAGAATGCATTTGTAAAACTTTGCATCACTTTGTCAAAAGAGCAGAATTTATTATTTCATGCAAATGACCTCAATTTTGAATTGAAACCAGCCAGGCTGTATGTGGAAGACACCTTTGTGTATTACATTAAGACTTTATTTGAGACCTATCTTCCAGACAGCAAAAGCGTTTGTCGTTCTGCAAAAGCATTAACTGTTAGCCAGGCACTGCCAGAACAGGTGAGGCAACACACGAACGCTTTAGTCAATCCAGTGAAGTTAAGGAAGCTGGCCATCCAGCCAGTAAACCTCTTGGTGAGCATCCATGCTTCGCTGAAGATCTATATTGCTTCGGATCACACTCCTCTCTCCTTTTCTGTGTTCGAACGAGGACCCCTTTTTACAACTGCCAGGCAACTTATTCATGCCCTAGCCATGCATTATGCTGCAGGAGCATTATTTCGAGCAGGTATGTTGTTGTTTTTAAATAGTTTGTTTATTTATTTATTTATTTATTTATTTATTTATTTATTTATTTATTTATTATTGCGATTTATATGCCGCCTTTCTCCCTGGGGACTCAAGGCGGCTTACAAAATGACAAATTCCAATACAAATCACAATGAAATAAAATTAAAATCAGCGACCCTATTAAAAACAATTTAAAATTATGACAGTGTACCCCCAAATGGATCAGTAGAGTTGATGGAAGAGCCACGTCTTCAGCTCGCGACGGAAGGAAAGAAATGTGTAGTTGTACACATTTTTTTAGATTAGGTTTACAATGTATTATTGGCTGCATTTCTGAAAGACCCCAATAGACATTATGCTTTGCCCTGCACTGATGACCAAAAACCATATGGTTGTCTTTTAGAGATACCTGTTTCTTTCTTTGAGAGAGAGAGAGAAAATCAGTCTGGCAGGACCTTTTCCAACTAACAAGTTTTATTAAAAGGCATAAGCTTTCATCAGCTGCAGCTCATTTCATCAGATGCGAGTTAAGTTGAGGAATGACCGAAGCTTAATCATTATGAGGTTCCAGAAAGTGTAGCTATGGCTACAAAGTACTTAGAATTAACTTCCATTCTTACTCACGGAGATGTTATTTTAAATATTAGGTGGGCTAGATTGAAAACATTCTGGAAAAAGGGGGAGGCAACCAAACTATTTCCATGCTGTTGCTAAGAAAAAATGTATTATCTATTCAGATAGCAGACATCGGGAGGGTTTACTTTTTATTGTCAGCATGCCTATTGCTCTGCAGCTGCAAAGTAACAATCTTGTCTGAAAGAATATTGTCTTTAAAACTTCCATCCGAAAATGAGAAGAAAATTTAGTAATATTAAACAGCAAAAATGATTTGGATTTTTATGGGATATGGTCACAAGCCTTGACACAAAGAGAGAGACGATTCTACATTCTGATTGTCTCTTTGCTGGGCTAGCCAGCCACTCTAGTCGAAATCCCAAACCATTTCTTAACATGATCTCACAAAAGGAGTTTTTTTTCGTGGCATTATTCAATTCATCTCTGTACATTTGAAGCAAATTAGGCCATTGAAAACTGTGTTCTTGTTCAGTTTCTCTTTGGCTGCCGTTTATGATTAGCAATCTGTCTTTCTTCACAGAATCCTCATACTAGACTGGCATGCAGATGTTTATTGTCCTTTGATCTGAGGAGCGTGTTTGTTTTGCTGATTCTTTGCCATCCAAGATCAATACTGAACAGACAATCTTTTAGATGAATGGATAGCTTGTCTTGCTTCCATACCTGCACATTCACAAAATGACTCAATCCCCGTAGCACATTTTTATAGACAAGTATATGCATTGCATTGAAACAATTATTTTTCTCCATTCCAATTGCTGTGACCTAGATCATTCTGATGTGTGCTCCTGTCAGCGACTATGCAGATGGGTGTCAGTGGAAGAGCTAATTTTATATACATCCAGAGGCCCTGTAAATGCTGCAGGACACATACAGATTGGTCTGAGGAGTCCTTGGTCATCTCTGAGTTTGGTTGTTTTCTTGCAGACATTTCATTATCCAAACTAGGTTATCTACTGGTAGTCTGGGTAATAACATGTCTGCAAGAACACAACCAAGCATAGAGAGCACCAGATATTCCCCTTTATTGGTGCCAGTTTGATCTGTTTATAAGAACAGATGAACTCATACATTTTTTGAATTGCTAGACGAGCAAACCATAGAAATTTATTTATTTATTTATTGTTTAAATTTGTATACCGCCCTTCTCCCGAAGGACTCAGGGCGGTGAACAGCCAAAATTAAAATACATACAATATAAAATTTAAAATAATTTAAAACAGAATTAAATCGAATTGGCTTCCCAAAAATTAAAACCCATTACCCTTAAAATAACCCATTAAAATTTTAAGCCAGCCCAGCTTGCTGAAATAGGAAGGTCTTCAAAGCTCGACGGAAGATCCGGAGGTCCGGTATCAGTCGTATTCCTGGGGGTAGCTCGTTCCAGAGGGCGGGTGCCCCCACAGAGAAGGCTCTCCCCCTGGGGGTCGTCAGTCGACATTGCTTGACCGACAGCACCCTGAGGAGGCCCTCTCTGTGGGAGCGAATTGGCCGGTGGGAGGTTATCGGTGGCAGAAGGTGGTCTCGTAAATAACCAGGCCCTAAGCCATGGAGCGCTTTAAAGATGAGAACCAATACCTGATCCATTGTTCACACCTGTCTTGCATGCATACCGTGTTTCCCTGAAAATAAGACCCTATCTTACATTTTTTTGAACCTCGAAATAAGTGCTTGGCCTTATTTTCAGGGAGGTCTTATTATTTTGGGGCATGTGGAGCAAGATGGGGCTCCTCTTGCCGTCTTACCTGATTTCCAGCTCTGCGTTTAAATATTTTTGGGGAGAGCTTATTTTTGGGGGAGGCTTATTTTAGCGCATGTGCTCAAAAGCCCGATTGGGCTTATTATCAGGGGATGTCTTCTTTTCGGGGAAACAGGGTAGACTCCCAGAATTATTTCTAATTCAGAAGGCATAGACAACAGGAGTGGGGAAAGTCGACTTCTGAGGTCTTAAAAGTCAGAATGGAGAGTGCTTGAACTGAAGAAAACAAAAAACAAATAATCTATAGATATTGTTTTCTTCCTTTCAATTGTGTCCAATTCTTAGACTGCCTGAACATGTCCCTGCAGTTTTCTTGGCAAAAAAACTGATAATTCATTCAGCTCTGCCATCCCTAGGGAATTCTTTCCTTGGGAAAACTCCATCACTCAAATGTGAGCTTACATTATAAGCTATCTCAGGTACAAAAACATTCAAAACATTGAAAATGTTATACTTACTACCGGCATAAATGTTTATAGTACTCTTCCATAAAAACCTTGGACTGAAGACAGTTATTGTCTGACTTAATGAGCCAGCATGAAAATATGATCAACTAAGTGATCTGAAAGATGGGACCCTGGGTTAGAAGGTTTGGTATCCATGCAAATTTGAGTATGAATGCACATCCAGTATATTTTCTGAAAATAATATCCTGGTGGCATATAGCCATTTGGAATAATAGCTGATGGCACCATTGCTTGTTTGGAATTCTGAGAGTATTTGCAAGAAGACAAGGTTGGGAGTATTGTTTAAATAGTGTTTACTTTGCTTGTGTAATGCACTGCAAGGTTGTTTGTTTCTTGTTGGATATAGGCAAATAATTGAAGTAGAAAATGCAGTACCACCCTAAAGGCGGTCAAACAAGTTATCTCTTTTATTTGCTTTTGTGGGTAGGTTTATTCAGTTATTGAGACTCACTGAAAAGTTTCAGGAAGAAGCACACTCTTGCTGTATCAGGAATTGGAAAAGGAAAAGAAATGCAAAACAATTAGTTCCATAGCATTTACTGCAGAATCAAAGGAACAGCTTTTGTCAGAGTGGACTCTTAACTATTGTAGCTTATGTGGGTTGTTTTTTTTTTTTAAGTTGTCTTAAAAATAACGGAATGAAAAATCAGAATGTTGAAACACTATTTTTTCTTATTGGCTTGAAAGTCACTTGGTATATCAAATTATTAGACTTTTCTATAACCTTGTAAATTGATCAGTATAATAAAGCCTTCTCTTCTCACTCTGGAATGTTTTTTCTATCATAAGTTGCAGAAATGCTGCATTAATTGAAAAGAACTGGCAGGAGAAATTGTCCTGAGAAATTGTCCATCCGTTGTGGCTGCTCAGCTGATGATAACAAGCCTGGACAGCTAGTCATGCCTCCAGGCAGGTGTAAAACTAGGCTCTTCTACTTTGACAGGAGCCTCTTTGCAATGCCCTGACTACAGAAAGTCTCCTAGGCTTGGTGGCCTTCTGGTCCTTCTGCCTTCAGAACTAGCATTGCTGGAACGTGCTCAGAGTCAGGCTCCCTGCCAAAGCAACCGTAACTTTGTGTAAGAAACTAAATCTTGGAAATTCCTCCACCCTCAAGCTCTTGTGGGGAACTTATAAGGATCCTCCCTCTGAGTAATTTAATCAGCATGCAAATGCCATTTCTGTTTACACAGTTATGTTGAGCAAGAAGTCATTTATCTGGCCATAACTAGAACTCCACAGGAAAGTGATCAGCACAGAGCTGTTGGGTGGATTAAAATAATTCCCTGTGCTTGTCAAAAACCTGCATCCCCTTTCCCAACACCCCATCAAGCAGCTGACCTTCATGCTCCCCCCCCCCCAAGGCGGGACAGTGTGTCACTGTAAACTAGCTGTCACGACTCTTCGGCTGCGTAGACGTGAAATAACAAAGTCGCTTGGGGAGATGTAAAGCCTCCAAAGCAAAATAAGCCTCTGGTCCTATCACTCCCGGTGCTCTTTAACTGCAGTACCCATCTCTCCTCACATAGCTTTAGCAGAAATACAGGAGGCTTATGGAAGGAAGTCATTTGAAAGTTATTTGCGTTTTTGCCAAAGAGATTTCTTTGATTTAGAAAGCATGAAAGATTGCCATGACTGAATCTGTAGTGGATGAGCTATTTCCCGTGTTTTTCTCAAAGGAAGTTTATGATGTGATAAATTTCAGTGTTTAAAAAAATGGGGGGGGCGAGGGGATGAGAGTTAGGGGGTTTTATTCCCCTTCTTCTTCTTCTTCTTCTTCTCTTTTTACTTAACTGCAGCTTCTGTGAAGTTAGCGTGAACCTCAACACACACACACATATATATATATATTTAACCATGCCTTCTTTTGCAGGATGGGTTGTTGGATCTCTGGAAATTCTCGGCAGCCCAGCCAGTTTGGTGAGAAGCGTTGGGAATGGGATTGCAGACTTCTTCAGGCTTCCTTATGAAGGCCTCACCCGTGGTCCAGGAGCCTTTGTTAGTGGGGTTTCCAGAGGAACCACATCATTTGTAAAGCACATATCCAAAGGTATCTGTCTATCTTTTCCTTCTAATTCCACTGCATTCTCATCAGCAGGGAGTCTTAAAGGAAGGCATCAAACTTTTCAGATGAACTTGCTACTACCCTCAGCTTCCTTTAAACTCCTTGAGTCTCAGTGAAAGGCATAGATTGCTCTGCGTGTGTATTGGGGGGGGGAAACTTTTTCTATTCTGCTATTGTTTCTACTAGTGACTTAAGCTTTCCCACATGACCATTTTGTAATGCAGTAACTGAGGAGAAACGTTAAAAGAAGTTCTGCAGTGCTTCAGAAATCTTACACCACATTGCCTCATCATATCTAGTTGAAAAGATAATAATAGACACCGTTATTAAATATTGCTGAACACATTTGTAAAAGCAAGCACACATCTGGCTTTCCCTGGATTTCTGTACAGACATAGCGCCATCTCGTGGCTTCCTTAGGCCAGCTGGAAAATAGAAAAGATTCAAAGATGGGAAAAACTGCTAGTTTGCCAGCAGTTCAAAGCACCAGTCAGATTATCTCCACGTAGTACTATTGTTTGCTGAACCTTCGTTACCTGGTTGCTTCTTGATTTAGGATACAGTTTAAACAATCTTTTCATAGCCAGACAAAATCATGCTTATTTCTCCTATGGCCTGGATGTGGAAAAAATTTTTGAAAGTGGAAATTCTCCTTTTGAAAACCGGGGTGGGTGGGGGGGAAGCTAAGAATTTTACTTAGTTCCCTGGAGTCCATTATAGATTGCCACATTGCCAATCCCAGTTTAAGTTTTGTTGTATCATGGTTAACAGAGGCTTCATAATAAAAGCTACTGAGTAGATTAAGAATTGGGGGCATTTATTATTGGTAATGTTTATTAATACAGTAGTATCATTTATTATTAGTGTAACATACCATTTTTATGTGTTATGGATCTTGATTGTAGTAGTTTCCATTATTTTTAAACAAAATACAGATAGTCCTTGACTTGTGACCACAGTTGGCCCAGAATTGCTGACGCTAGGTGAGACATTTGATAAATGAATTTTGCCCCATTTTACAATTTCTTGCCACAGTTGTTAAGTGAATACTGAAGCTCCTTAAGTTAGTAATGTGGTTGTTAAGTGAATTTGGCTTCCCCATTGCCTTTGCTTGTCAGAAGGTCGCAAAAGGTGACCACACGACCCCGGGACACCGCAACTGTCATAAATATGAGGCAGTTCCCAGGCATTTGAATTTTGAACACATGACTAGAGGGGTGCCACCATAGTCGTAAGGGTGAAAAACTTTTAAATCACTTTTTTTTCCAGTGCTGTAACTTTGAATGGACACTAAACGAACTGTTGTAAGTCAAGGACTATCTGTAATAACATCTCTTGCCCTTTCCAAATTAACTGGGCATTTACTCATCGGTTTGCCTTCAGGTACACTAACATCCATTACCAACCTAGCAACAAGCCTGGCACGAAATATGGATAGGCTTTCCTTGGACGAGGAGCATTACAATCGGCAAGAAGAATGGAGAAGGCAGCTGCCAGAAAATCTGGGAGAAGGACTAAGACAAGGCCTTTCCCGGTTGGGCATCAGCCTTCTGGGTAAGACAACCTCTTTGGTCTTCATTATGTTCAGCATTTGGGAAAATGGGATCTGGAAATACCTGCAGGGTGGATATGTTTATGCGGTCTTTTCCTTTTGCCAACTTGAGTACAACTTTTTTGAGTGCAGTTTCCAATTCCAGATTCTTCCTTGAGCGAGGGCAAAAAAGTAGGGCGTGAGAGATGGCAGAAGCAAGATCTGTGTGCCCCATAGTGTAGATATTGCAGTCTCAGCTAGGCAAAATACAGTTCCTCCACTATTCTCAATTCCTCTAGTTTTTCCCATTTAACCGAAAGTGAGTTATATATATTCCCACCTCGGTGGGGATAAGAAAATTCATTTGAAATGAACGCTTGTGTCAGAGGTAGCCACTGCCAAGTGGAAGGAACCGAGGCTGGGCAAGCAAAGCACAGTTAGAAAGTAAGGCTGTTGCCTTGGACAGCAGTAAGTTATGTTCTCAACTGTGATGGGATCCTCCCCGGGGGACCCAGAGTGTGCTTTGGGATGGGAGGAAGCACATACATTATTTCCCTGTATTATTTGATTTCCTTTCCCTAGCCAGGCCCTGGATAGGCTGATTATTCCTGGCAAGGAATTCTCCCTGAATCATATCAGTCTTGCAGGAATGACTGCCTCTCCCCCCACTTCACCCACCCCATTCCCCCCACACCCCACACCCCATCTCATCATCCTAATCTAATCTGAGAAAAAAGAGGGCTCAGAAAAAGCTCTGGTTTCTTGTAATTATGAGTTTCTATAACCTTGGAGGGGAACAGAGACAGGATGTTTTAGCCATCTGGTAAGACCGATGCTAGAGGAAGGCTCCGTTTCACAGAGCTGTATATGTAAGCAGCAACGGCATGTGAATTATACGCACTTGGGGAACAGATTATTTAAGGGGGAATCACAGAGTAATCTAATTCAGAAGGAAAGCAGGTTCACAACAATGATTGCTGGAGGCCAAGACTCCAAATCTTGGAGAGTTTATATAGAAATGGATTTTTTTCAGCCTCTGGCTTTAACTTGTTACTCCCCCATGTTGCTCCCAGTATGGACTGAGTAGATCATACTAGAGCCTCTTGCTTAGCTAACCAGCAAAACAGCTTGTCCTGGGCAAGGAATGCTCTGTTCAGTATCCCTGCAACAAAGCAAGTTTATTAACACAATTCACTGAAGGTGAACGGAGATGAACACCCATTTAAAAATTAACATCAAAAGGCCACCAGAAACGACCTGCCCCAAACTAAAGGCTACCAAAGAATAATACTTAAATCTGCATTATATTGTTTTAATTGCATGTGTTATGTAGTAGGCTTGTGGAGGAGATCTTTTGGATCTTTTAATTATGCGAGTGAAGACTTTGCAACACATGAGAGTGTGCACAAAGCACCTGTATCTGAATCATTAAAATGAGCTGTTTTGGGGGGAGGGGGGGTGTAGGGGGACTTGTGCAGCATCTGTGGGGACCAATCCTGGCTGTCTTGCCATGTCCATTCATGCAAAGCAACTTACTTTCCCTTAATATCTTGTAAATAGTAGAAAAACACAAGAGTTCCATATTTTTTTTCCTTTCAGTGAAAAGTAATAGTGTTGTTTTCTGAAGTTCCCATTGCTTCACAGCGCTTCAATTTGCTCAATTATAAAACATCTGGGGGCACCAAGTTGGGGAAGGTTAACTTAGATGCTTGTTTTTGTTTGAAAACAAGTTCAAATATCACATAAACATTGATGAAAAATATTTCTTCAGAAGAAGATGACACATTTGTGCCAATTTAATTAACCACTATATAGACATTTCTAAAAGGAAAGCAGGATTTAGAATTGTGAAAGAAGAATGTACACAGACCTTGTTTTACTAGCCAAAAAAAATCACAAATATGTATTGCTTGACAAATGCTTTCATGGGATTATGAGACCACACTGTCATCCTGGGAGATCAAAGTGACTAGAAATAAGCAAACATAAAAGTTCAGAAGAATCTTGTTTGAAAAGATTTTTTTTCTGTTTCTTAAAAAAATCCTTCCCTTGTAATTCAATAACATAATTATATTATATTATATTATATTATATTATATTATATTATATTATATTATATTATATTATATTATATTATATTATATTATATTATAATATTATTATATTATAATATTATATAATATAATGTAATATAATATATTACTGTACTATATTGTATTATATTGTATTGATTAGATTAGATTAGATTAGATTAGATTAGATTAGATTAGATTAGATTAGATTAGATTAGATTAGATTATAATAATTCACTAAATTTATGTAGCTGTCCATGTCACCAGAAGTGACTCAGGGCAGCATACAACAATCAAATAAAATAAATAATATAAAAACAATCATTGTAAAAATAGGCAATCATTATTAAAAGTTAAAATATTTCTTAAAAAGTAAAGTACATAAACCATAAGTAGAGAGAGTAAATATTGCAAGTATTTATCATCTGTAATAAGGGAGCTACCTTAAAATGCTGCCAGTTCCTTGGGATCCCCAAGCCTAGTGACATGACCAGGTCTGGCATGACTTCCTGAATATTAACAGGGACATAACCTGACTTCTTGGGGGCAGGGGGTTGTTTCTTATGATGGACAATTTCATGGCTTCCTATTTTACCCTTCAATAGGACATTCTTATGATATTGTATATTATTTCCATAATGTACATTGTACTAACATTATAAGGAAGGGACCCATTAGAGGTACTTCACATTTTTAAAATCTTAGTTTGACCTACACATGACAATGTCATAATATGATTTGTTTCTTCATATAGAATGATGTGTGAATGGAACACTAAACAATTTTTTAAATAAGAATTTGTACCTTTCTAGTTTATGCCTGTTTTATTCTTATGCTCTCCCCTAGTCTCATATTAATTAGCCTTCAAAGGGTGCAAATTAAGAGCCACTAAAAAAGGTAGGAGAATAAATCAGGAATTGTTCAAATAAGCCAACGTAATTTTATTCAATAGAAAGACCAACTTACTTGCTCTGAGTTCAGCAAAATAAATTATACTTGATGTGTAAATGCAATTAGTAGCCTAGTTCATACATAACATTAAATCATGTTGTGGTTTGTTATTTTTCAATGGTTTTATTTATGAACAAAATTAATATAACTTATTCAACAAAGCATGCAATTGTTAAAATTCTAGGTTATCATATATGAAATAGGGCAGTATACTTTACCTGGAAATAATTTGTCAGTGAAATTTTCAATTTTTCAAATGTTAGAAAAGTGATAAAAATGGTAGAAAATTATGTTACGGCATGACAGAACCCTACAGCAAGTGTGTGCGTATGTGTGTTTGTGTTTGTGTATAGTTAGATATATAGATATGTGTATATACACAGAAAGAGGGGGAAGAGAGAGAGAGGGAGGGAGGGAGGGAGGGAGGGAAGGAGGAAGAGAAATAACCTACAGTATCTGCCAAGAAAGATGTATCTACAATATATATTCTACTTTGTAGAAAATGTCTACAAAGACTATTTCATTACGCTTTGAAATCTTAACAAGCAGAATCCTTGGTAAAAGCATCACGTACAAACTACTATCCCAGGAATATTTAAAAAAACATTTTGTATTTTAGCTATGACAGCCATGGACAATCTCCCCAAAAGAAAATGTGTGGTGCATGATTAATACATACCAGCATGTTCACCATTTATTTGTGCCTCTGCACTCCAGAACATAATTACTGTAGAGTTCTGTAGAAAAGCTCCTCAGATCAATCAATTATTAAGGTTCTTCAATATAGTGAAAGTTGCAGCAGCCACACCACCTTCGGTTCTTTGATTAGCTACAGAGAAGATTGGTTGAATTTATCTAGCTCTGAAGATTTTCTAGAAAGCTCTCATTATTACATGAATAATTGTGACCGGACCAACAGAATCTTCTTGATCCTCCAGGAATTTAGACACTGCGATGGAAATCTGTTGTATTTCACTCAAACGGATCACTTCTGGCTCTTAATTGCTGCCTTTACTCAAGATATCGACGAGAAATTTGAGTTTACAATTTGGCTTAGGCTGCGTTGCCTGCACTGTTTTGCTTAATCAGAATGAAAGACTTGAACTGGCAATGAGATTCTGTTTACAAATTCTTTGTTGCTGAAATAATTCCCACTACTCTTAGTCTCAGAAAAATTAACTCTCCAAATAAATTACAAGCACTTTGTGATATAAGTATCTGAAGAATTTAAATTGCGTTTTAGGAGTAATGAATACACAAGCAGATATTTTCAGGAGCGCCAGACTTTATCATCTGCTAGTATTTTAAAGTATCGCATTCAACGCAAACCCAGCCTGAGTGAACAATTCTGTAAATAATGGGTCCATCAATATTTGATACCTCCTCATAATCTCTGTTTTCACCTGTCTCCTCTGGTGTGTGAGATTTCAAACAATATATTTTTCATGGCTCTTTCCAGATTTCATTGGTTTACCATGTCATAAATGAGTTTGTCTGATAGCCTTGAAAAATTCTAGTTGCATATTCTAAGGTTTGTTAATTGTTATTTCTTAAACCAAGGCAATTTTAGGAATCTAACATTGTGATAGATGGAAAGAAACAAAATACGTTGAACTTGATAATACAATATTTTTTCAGCTGTTATTGAAGGAGAGGTACACTTGAAGAGCCTTACTCAAATGGAGTCAGGGAAAAGCATAAGATGCTACCATATCTGTTTCCCAGATGGCATGTTGCATTGGCACACCCATTTTATCTAAACTCTTTTGTACAGAAATTGCTGAAATACATAGGATGCATAGTACATTGTTTAAATGTGATTTGCCAGAAACCTTGTATTAGTTCTAACCCAAAGTTTTTAAATGTTAATAAGCTATGGGTAGTGCTTGACTTTTGAAAACTTTTGGGACCAGAATCTTGATCATTGAGCAAAGCAGTTATTAAGTGAAATGTCATGTGATGGTTTCATTCAACGACTGCAATCTTGGCACTCTTGGTTGTGGTCTTTAAGCAATCATTAAGTGGACAGAGTGTCAGATAAAGAATGTGGCATGTCTCAGGGCCATGGGAGTTGTCCTAGGAGGCCTGGTGCATGCCATACATGAGTTGAAGGGTGCTGCGGTGTGGTGCAAAGCCACAGGTGCCCATGGAGGTTTCAGACACCGACCGAGCCCACCAGCACAAGGAAAGCTGGTGTGGCCTGGAAAACCTCACTCACCCACCTGGCCCACCAGTGCATGCAAAGCATTGATTTGGAGAAGGAGGCTTTAAGAATGGAGCCCATTTGGAGAATGCCCCAAGGCAACCTCAGTAAGACAGTTGTGCCTTGTATTGGCTGGATGTGTCTGTCAGGTAAATGGAGCATTTTGTATGTGCTGGTAGGCCAGGTGTGTAGCAGAGCATGGACTAGTGGGCTAGGTGGACAGCTGAAATTGGGGGGCAGATAGGTGGGCAGGGAGCATTGCATTGCCACTGTGGTCATAAGTGTGGGCAGGTTGCCAAGTGCCGAATTTTTATCATGTGATCATAGGGGTGCTGCAATGGCCATAACTTTGGGCACAAGTCCCTTTATTCAGCACTGTTGTAATTTAGAACGGTTGTTGAATAAATGGTCATAAGTCAAAGACTACCCTTATTCAGTTCTGACCAATTTCTTTGACTAGACAAACTAGGTAAGATGAAAGAAGTCAATAATAGTGACTTGACACTGTTTTGAGAAAGAGCATTTTTATTTTCTTTTTGGATGCTACAGTATAGTTTGAAGAAGCAAAATGTCCAAATACAAACACAAGAAGCAGGAATATTTGTTAGACCTGAGGACGTCTTCAGAAAAAAAGAAATAAGGAAATGGCAAGGACAAGTCACTTTTAATCGGGTAGCATGAGCTGAAAAAATAGTGCCCTTTTCAATAAAAAGAGAAAAAATCCTTTTCTGGGAGAAATAACTTTCATGTTATAATTCTGCAGTATGCACTCAGAGGTGGTATTCAGCAAGTTCTGACCAGTTCTGGAGAACCGGTAGCAGAATTTTTGAGTAGTTTGGAGAACCGGTAAATACTGACCCCACCCCCATCTATTCTCTGCCTCCTGAGTCCCAGCTGGTCAGGAAGAAATTGGGATTTTGCAGTAACCTTCCCCTGGAATGGGGAGGAAATGGAGATTTTACAGTATCCTTCCCCTTCCACGCCCACCAAGCCACGCCCACCAAGCCAAGCCACACCCACAGGACCAGTAGTTTAAAAAAATTTGAATCCCACCACTGTATAATGCACTGAAAGAATAATGGCTTCTGTATGCTAGACATTTTCCCCAGGCGCTCACCCATGTTTTCCTGGGGTTCTGGATCTATATTTATTTATTATTAAATTTGTTTGCTGCCCATCTCGCCGCAAGGCAACTGTGTGTGAAAAGTCTGGAAACAAACTTCAGTGAGAACATCACTAAAGGTAAAAAGAGAAGGCAGTCTTAGTGGGAAAGAAGCTATCAAAGAGGAATTAAGCACCCTTCACTTCTTCAGAACTAAAAAAGCTTCTTGGATGAAAAGCTAAATGTTTTCAAAGAAAAAACAAGAAAGACCAGTTGCCTTATGGAAAAGCACTTTTGGGACTTCACTTTTTTAGCATTAATTACTTCCTGTTGAGGGCTGTCTGCAAAAGAGAAAGGCAGCTGTAGTAGCATAATATGTAGTTTGGTTTTTAAATGCAAGATAAAATTAGACAGCATATTCCTAAGTGTGCAAGGGTTTTATACAAGTAGTAATTACTGTATTTGCATCCCTCCCCAATGCATTGAAGACTACCGCATCTTCTTCAAGTACAAAGTGCATCTTCCTTTGGTGATGGATACTTGTCTAATGCCTGTCAATGCCACAGAATACACATGTTCAAGCTAGAGAGGGATCAAGGGCAATTTTTGAATATAAAGAAAATGTGTTGTGGCCTAGAATGGGAAAATGTTTCATTTCAAGAACAGCTGAATATATTTTAAATTTTTAGTAAAATGCCACTATAGTAAAGCAGTCATTTTAATACAATTGTACTGCTCATTCCTTTAATTTTTTTAAAAAATAATAATCATGATCTATTAGTTAAAGGAAAAAACATTTCCATCTCATCTCAGGCAGGACTCATGGGTGGATTGTAAGATGGATGCAAAGAACAACCTGAAACCACCAGAGAGCAATGGCTAATTTGTGAGTCTTATGGAGGGTAGAGATTCTGCTTTTCAATTAGTTTTGTTGTCCCCAAAAGCACCTAATCGTTTTATACAAAAATATTTGTGTTTGTTGTTGTTGTTGTTTATGTGCACAAAATGAATAACAGTTGGCCCTAATATAGTTATTGTCCACATGGGATGAAAAAGGTGTCTCTTGCCCATATTTCCATATTTGGAGGGCTTACAAAGAGATCTGGAAGCTTCAGCTAGTCTTTTCTGTACTGAATGATGACTTTCAGCACAAGCACTTCAGATTCATAATGTAACACCTTGTCATCGTGTTCAATCATTATCCTTTTAGTGAGATCCAAATTAATTATCCATCAAAGTTACAACAGCTAGAGGCATCTCTGGGGTACATGGCTTGAATAAACTCAGGATCAAAGGAAGATCCCACCTGACATACCTGTTTACATTTAGGAAGATTTAAACTGCTGTTCTCTGTTGATATGAAAAGCTGGAGGGTCATTAAGGCACTTGTAAAAGTTTGACCTGTACACATTAAAATAAAATATGATTGTGTTCACAAAAACAGCAACAAAAGTCTCCAGGCCTAATTCTACTAAACTTAGTAATATATTAAAGATTGCTTTGGTTTATGACCATTTTGATAATATAAGGGCATGTTAAAATGATATAGTGGGCATAGGAAAGGCTTAAGGGTTTGTGAGATTTACTTTAAATAGAGGTCTAAAATCTTACAATGTTAGCAGAAAATTGTTCTCATCTAAAATACACATATATACAATATATTCTTTTTAAAAATGAATTCTTAAGTTTATCAGGATATAAAATACAACAGAAAATGAAAATTGTGGGAAAATGAAGAAGGGAAGGAGAAGAGTGTAGGGAAAAGAAAGGGAAAGAAAGAAAAAACTTTGCCGACTCTTTTTAGTGCAGTAGAATAAAGTAATAACATTGTAGCTGTAGCATGTGTACTAACCATTACTGTAACAACAAACCTATCTTATCAGCAAAATCCAAAGTCAACATTTCATTTTTCTCTCTCAAGCACAAAATCTAGAAGCAAAATATATACAATATATTCAATTTTGCGATTCAATAACTTTATTTAGAAAAAAAAGGTGGAAGTTTAAAAGACACCTAATGAAGCCAAGTTTTAATATTTTATCTGCTAGTCCCCAGTATGGTACCAACGTAAATCAAAAGGTCAACACACATCTACATTAGTGCTTCTTAGGCTCCATATCCTATGCCTCACTTAATTTTGTTTTATTTATTTTATTGGGTCGATTTATTGGTTCGATTTATATGCCGCCCTTTTCCGGAGACTCAGGGCAGCTTACAATGCGTTAATAGCCTTCATACTTTTGTATATACCTGCTTAGTAGGGCTTTCGGCCCCCCCAAGCGGTATTCTTTTTTATATAAAGTCAGCTTATTGCCCCCACAATCCGGGTCCTCATTTTACCTAAACTCGAAAGGATGGAAGGCTGAGTCAACCTTGAGTCTGGTGAGATTTGAACTTGCAGTAATTTCAGGCAGCTGGGGTTACTTAACAGTGCTTTAGTCTGCTGCGCCACCAAGCCTCTATTTTATATTTTAAAAGAAGTAAATTTTTACTTTTACACCAAGGCTCTATTTTATATTTTTAAAGAAGTAAATGTGAAGTCAGCATGTTGCAAAGCTTAACGTTTATTTACAATAATGTTTTGAATTCCATAGAAATCTTAGCAGATATCATAGAAACTACAGCTCAGGGGTTACTTTGGAAGTATGTTCAAAGAAGGCAGAAATACGGGTTGATGTGATATATTCAGAACCACTAGAATGGTTCTTGGGGAACAATTTCCTGAATTTGCTTTTCTGGTAAACTGTTTTGTAACTGGGTACGCCCATCATTGCAATAATCTGGGTGAGGGTCCAAAACATGCTATCAGTAATCCAAATCTGTGAAGCAGCTCAAAACATTGGACTCTCTTAAGTGAAATAAGAAGATGTGACTAGCATAAATTTTCTTACCCTGAATTAAAAGGACCCAATATCAGTTCCTTATTGCTGTGTTAGACAAAGGCATAATATTCAAATGAAATGAAGCAAAAATGTTCAAAAATCAATATTTCATCTTTCTCGGAGATTATATCATTCTGTCATACTTGAAAACTCTTTACAGGTGCAATTGCTGGGATTGTAGATCAGCCAATGCAGAACTTCCAGAAAACATCGGAAGCCCAGGCTTCAGCGGGACTCAAAGCCAAAGGCGTGATCTCTGGTGTGGGGAAAGGAATCATGGGAGTTTTTGCTAAGCCTATTGGAGGAGCAGCTGAGTTAGTCTCCCAGACTGGCTATGGTAGGTTTGAGCAAATGTATGAATTCAGCTCATTGATAGTTTTCATGTATTATTTTAATTGTAGCATGTAGTATTACTAAAATCTTATTTAAAATATATATTTCCCTCCCACCACGACATTCTTTTAATGAGATTACACTATTTTCTTATTTCAGATGCTTAGCCCTCATTAGCCAGTTTTTTTTTAATTTATATATAAAATGCATTGCAAAACAAGCAAATTTAGTAGAGTTTACCTGAGATTAAATCTTCTTAAAATATAAACAGCCAATTTAAGTCATAAATTCCTGATAAACCATAAGTGTTACCTATCTCAGTGAGGAAATTCTGTGAAGCTCAGATGATCTTGCACAGTTCACTATGACTAGTGGAAGCTAAGTGCCTATTTACACCAAGATCAGTCTTTTGTCTTGATAACCGTAGTACAAAGCAGTTGCCAGCTGTTATTTCTGCTTCCAGACGTACTGCTGAAAAAAATAAGATGCGTTCTGAATTTTCCCACCAGGTTATATGACACCACTGTATAAAGTATGCTCACTTTATCTGAGCCAGGCCCAGATGTGTCAATATTCCATTAATGGTATATTAGATTGTATCCAAGAATTGCAAACATTGTAGATATCATTGCTATAATGTGATTACTCATATAGCATCTTCCTTTAACTGGCTCAATGTTTTTTTCCTTGAGATGAGTCACTAACTGCTTACGCTGGCCAGCTTTTTTTATTTCCATTAACTAAACTGTTAGGCATTATTTTGCACCCAAAAGAATGAAGAGTGTAACCACTCTGTTCTGCTCCTCCATGCTTTTCAAAACATCTTGGAGCTAAAGATCCTGTTTGGACAAATGATAAAATTAGAGGCCTGGGTTTCAAGCACATCGCTTGAAGAAATAGGGGGTCATCCAAAGGTTACTCTCACAGGTTTTCCCTAAATTCTTCATCAGCTCCAAAAGCATAAAAAGAAGCCCCCCCACCCCAAAAGCCACCTACAACTGTTCATCTTCAATATATATATCTTCATCCTTCCTAATCCATATCCAAGAATTTCCTAATTCTCTGAAGAGGTTTTGGAGGGACAAGATGAAACTGTTGTGGGTGGCTGTTTTCTCACATAGTTGTTTATCCAACATGTGTGTCAGATGTGTAGTTTTTTAGCCTGTTGAGCAATTGGAAGTTTGTTGCACACAAAACTTCGATTCTAGGAAAACTAGAGAAAGAAAAAAATTGGAAGTTAGTGTAAGAGATGTTCCATGTTACATAGATTTTAGATTTTTAAAAAACGTTGGCAATTGAGAAGTGGCCTGAAATAATGGAAAAGATGCACTTTACTGCAAACAGTGGCTTGAAACCAGAGAGCAAATTTAGCAGAGCCAACTTTGCAGAACTCAGAAGACAGTTTTTGTTGTTGTTGTTTGTTGAATAACAATCTCTCCCCCCCCAAAAAAAGTGTCGAGTTCTTTTGCAACTCTCTTTTTTCCTCCATTTGAAACTGGGTTTGCAATACAACATTGCCCTGAGTGCATAGAATTAATGACAGAGCCTGCTAGATTCTGACAGCTGTATTTCTATTTTTTTGTGTCTATTGGCTGAGAGAACTGAGTCTTTTCCATAATAAATGGAAGTGCATGGAGTTATATCTTGCTTGTGACAAATGGGCGAATGGGCTTATGACTTACGAGAGGAACAAGACCACACAGAAGTAATCACACACTCTGCTTTTCCATCTGCCAATGACTATCTCACTCGCAATAATGCTGAAAAATTTCAATCAGCTAATTATTACAACTGGAATATATCTTTTGAGCATTACCAGGAGTTGGTGTAAGTTCAATATTAAAGTTAATTCTTTCTGAACAACACCAGTGCATTATTTAATTTGGTATTTGTTTTATAAATTTTTACCCTAATGCAGAAATGTTTGATGAATTAGTGCTTAGCTCTCTCTCCCTATCCAGAAATTCTGCCATTCTCTAAGATGCACCTCAGTTTCAATCCCAGTTATAAAACATTTATCATTTAAGTCAGGGGTGTCAAACTCAATTTCATTGAGGGCCGCATCAAGGTTGTGTTTGACCTCAGGGGGGCATGACCAGCCTGACGTCACTCCTCTCGGGGGGCGCCTCTGGTGACCCAAGGGCTTTGGCAGCGCAAACAGGCTCCTGAGCTCTGTTTTCAGCTGCCATAACCTCCTGCAACCCTCTGCCAGTGAAAACGGAGCTCAGGAGGGCCATGTGCAGTGGTGGGTTGCTCCCGGTTTTGTCCGGTTCTTGAGAACTGGTAGTAAAAGCAGTGGGAGGCTCTGCCCACCCACCCGGATGTCATAAGGTACCATATGCATAGAAGCTTCTGTACATGTGCAGAAGCACGAGCAAGCAAAGCGAGCGCTCCCAGTGCGAACTGGTAGTAAGGGTAAGTAGTACCCACCCCTGGCTATGTGTGGCCCTCCCGAACTCCATTTTCACTGGCAGAGGGTTACAAGAGGCCGTGGCAGCCGAAAAAAAGAGCTCAGGAGCCCGTTTTCATTGGCAGGAGCACCACGAGCCAGTCCTTTGCTGTCTCCAGGGCAGCCCCGCAGGCTGGATCTGGCCCCCAGGCCTTGAGTTTGGCACCCCTGTTTTAAGTAAATCATCCAGTTATTGACTCTCTGTCATTTCCCAGCATAAGGGCCATGACCTGTGCCAGCCATCAGAAAGCAACATGCTAAGTCACCCCCTTGTTCTCCTGATCAGGGCAAACAGGAAGAGAAGTAGACCTCTACAGAGGTCTGCTGTAGTGCAAGAAGACACCTCTCACATTTCAGATGCCCCAAGAGAATTCATAAACATTTGGGTTTCATATTTAACAGATGCATTAAGTAATTTACGTTGAAATGCAGTATCGGGGGCAAATTTACCTGCTGCTTTTTGCTAATTGTGAGATACTCATGAAAGAATGTGATTAAGCAAGAAAGTTAACCATGGTCTTGGATTGATATGCCTACATTCTTAACTAACTTGTCCAATCCCTTTCTAAATCTATGGCCCTCAAGAGCATTTAATTTTCCCTAATTGCTAGTATGTGACTGATGATCCGGCTTTTGTTTATTTCTAGCTAATGCTAAAATCCATTACGGTTAAGCGCATGATTATTGTGTTCTAATATTGAATGAATTATCTCCACTAGAGCGTCCAAAGATGTGACATCACTTTGGATCTGCACAATTTTATGGACTGTTTAAGAACATGACATCATCGCAACATGTTTCTGTTTTCCCACCCTGTAAAAACAAAACCAAAAACAGCCTAACTTTTATCACCACAGGTATTTTGCATGGAGCTGGACTTTCCCAGCACCCTAAACAGCGATGTCCTCCGAGCGATCAACATGCTGAACAGGCACCAAACAGCCACGTCAAATATGTCTGGTAAATTATCTGGATACTGACTGACTCATTTCTATACCCCAAGTGTTGATTAATAGATTCTGGCTTCTGGTCAAGCTAACAGAGCAAAAGGCTGACTTACAGCAGAATATGTAGGAATGCTAAACATAAAGTTCAGCAGAGGCCCTCTCTGAAAGCCAGCTGTCCTTTGAGCTTTGGAGATCTGATGTGAGCCTGTCTTTGTTTATGAAAGATATTACTTAGTTGCCTTTGCCCAAACATTGGACATCTCGAGAAATAACTGCTACAGTAGTTTCTTCTCAGTTTGATTCCAGTTCCCAGTTCCAATCCCTTGGAGTGGATTCAGGGCTGGAATAAGAAATGAATTGGACAAAAGAGATGTGGTTGTGACCATCAGTTAGGTCAGCTTGGCTGCAGAAGACGGAGGTTTGAGAGTATTACAAAATAAACAAGACCTCTTTGGGATTTAAAATCATAGCAAGTTTTGCAAAAAAAAAAAAAATTGTTTCTGTGTCATGCTCCCGCTTCTTTAGAGGGGAAAAAAAAAAGGCAGCAGAAATTTTGACTATCAGGTGAATGCATGTTCTTCATCTTGAACCTTTTTTTAAATAGGAAAATGCTTCAGTCACTGGGGAGACCAGAGGTCCACATGGCCCTGGATGTGATAATTGTGAGTGGATCAGGCCAAGAACACGAAGGATGTTTACTCCTTACTTCAGAAGTGCTGTTTGTGGTTAGCATTGATGAAGACACACAGCAACAGGCATTCCCAGTGACAGAAATTGAGTGCCTGCTAGACCGTAAACAAAGCAATATGTTGAAGGTGCAGCTCAAACAGCAGAGAGTGTCTTGTGATCTAGAGGTAAAGCTCCAGACTTATTTTATTTGCAGTCTTTAAAAACAGCCATGATTTTTTTTTAGAACTTTATTAGCAATACACTACCCTTTTCAATAAATCTCTGTGCTCTGATTTCAGGCTGATGGAAACAGAGAGAGACTGTCCGAACAGCAGTACAACAGACTTGTTGACTACATTACAAAAGCATCCTATCACTTGGTTACTGTCCCTGTGTCTGTACAAAACACAGCACCTCTCATAGCTGCAGAACTAGTTCCAGCAACAGTAAAGACTCATCAATACCTGGTTAATCCCATTTTTGCTCATGTATTCATCAGCAAATTTACTATGGTAAAAAATAAAGCTTTGAGTAGAGGATTTAACTGAAAACGCTCTGCTGAAATGTTTCCAGATTTAAAGTACTGTTCTATGCAGTTGCCTAATAAGAACTTTACATTTCACATCACATGAAAACAGATGAGTTTAAACTTAAGTGTGCTGGGATATTGAATTAGCACATTAAAAAGAAGAGTCTATTTTGCACTCAGTACATTTGAGTTGAATTATGTAGTCTGCTTTATGAGACAAAATTATGTATATACATTGTAAAATAAACTGTCAGGAAACAGAAATTGGCAACCTTGTAAGATGAGAGTGAAAATCTTTATTTTCTTTTTAATTGGAAGTCTAATATATAAAGATTGACAGAATGCACAGAATGAACATTATAATGTTCTTGTCTTTCTCTTCATTTTCTAAAGAGGTGCCAGTTAATATAAGCAAGGTTTAGAACTTAGCTTTAAAGACTTGCTCAGGGCTGAAATTTGTACTGCAACTGGCCCAACCTATAGCAAAATTATTCTTTCTATTCAGTTTGGAAGTACTTAGGTGTGCTAAGTGAATTGTGATAACCTAGGGTTCCAGACCATTCTGTTAATCTTCACTGACTGAGATTGTGCCTTTGTTTAGTTTGAAGAACAAGTTGGTGACAACACTAATTTATGATATTTTTTGTCTATCATAAAAGATAGCAATGTTTTCTGAAGATTGTTGAATGTATCTGCTATTGCAATTCTTTAACAATGTATAATTATGCAAGAGTTCTCATGGACTATTAATGAGGGACCAGTAACTTGCATTATATAAAGCTTTACAACTTTTGTTTAGCCAAGGATACCAAAAATGAGAAGATAATTTAAATCATCAGCTGATTCAAGATGCATTACTCAAAGTATGTTCCATTGAGATACATCCAAGCAACATAACAATTGCTACATTGGTTGTATTAATTAATACATTTTCATTTTGATCAACATCAAACTTGAGCACCACAGCAAACACAATTTGGGTTCCCATAATTCCAAGTCATGCAGTTATAATTGAAACAATTCTGGGTAGATGCCAGCATAGGGAAGGCTCATCTAAATACATGATTGACTTGAAGCCTATATAGCCATGTTTAAGAAGTATACATAACCCGAACTCATATTTGTCTCACAGTTTTCTCTAAAATAAGAGATTCAGTGCATCACTGAAAATGCTATTTAATACTATGAGATGTAGTTTCCTCTAAAAGCATGTGAATTTTTAACTGAGAAAGTTAGTAGTCAGAGTATCAGCTCTCATATAGCTCTGTTACCCACTGTCATCCGAAGTTAAACCCATATATCCACTGGAAAGGACTCAGTAAACCATAAAACTTGTGCCTGGTTTCATTACTGCTATAGTATTCAGCAGTTACGCTTGCACCAGAAGGTTAACTGGCACATTCTTAAGAAAAGTATATACTTGTGACATAGAACTCTACACTAAACCATCAATCCAGGAAAAGTAAAATTCATGTATGTATGGCCAAACCATTTTAAACCATACAGCTGTGTTACTGGATCAGTTATCAGATTTCTCATTTCCTGTGTAGATCTAATTTTTCAAAGACCTCTAATATGTTAATAGTGGATGTTTTTAAATGTATCTTTTCCATAGATTTTCCAACATCTGTTTCCAACTTCGAACTGTAGAAGAATCACCAGCATAAAATAGCTATTAGATTTAAATAGATTGAACTGTGATCAGCAGGTTATAATTTCAAAAAGTGTGATTTTCTCTGGGCTCTTAGCTATTTATTTTTATTTAACACTTTTGGTCCTAAATATTTTTTTCTTTTCCTCTCCACTCCAATACCCTGCTCAGCTTTTTAAGGCAAGAACTCAACATTAATCTGTACAAGGCCAATCTGCACTACAAAACTATGTTGAAGCTAGGTACTGAATTTAAACTGTTTTAGCCAATTTTCACTGTTTCCAGTACATTTCTAGGCAGAGATTTTGAAAGCTCTTTTGATTTTGTCATATATCTTATGTGTTCCATTTTTAAAATATTCAGCTTTTGAAAACTGGGTTTATCCTAAGTACAAACGAGATACAGCCTTCGTTAAATGTTTTTAAGTTATTTGTTAGTCCTTGTTTATTTACACTGCTTTAAAATATTGTATTTTATAATTGAATCTTTCATGAGAAATAAAGAGTTATATTGCCACTTTGTCTGTTGACAGTACTGTTATAGCAATTTGATTCAAAAGAAAAGCATTTTAAAGTGCCAAAATAATAAACTAGCACAGACAGGACAGATTATAGCTAGAGTGAAGCAACCAAATTTGTTTAAAGCTCTTCTAAATTATAGCAGTAATTGCTTTACAAATCCAATTAAATTTAAAGTGCTGACCTAGCTACAGTTCTGAAAATAGCTATTGGTTCCACTATACGAAGATACTTTTTAAAAAAATCTCCTGGAGATTTATTGTCCCCGGTATCTCTAAACGTCACCTATATTGCAACTGACTTTTAAGATTAAAATTAATTGCATGGCTAATTATATTTGAATATTTATTAATAAGACTTAAATACCAGTTTCCTGCCAAGACACATTTTGGGCAGCTAACAATAAAAAAAAAAAATGTATTATTTACAATATCTGAAAATGTTAACAATTGCAATTAATTCAAGCAGAAAACACTTGGCTAAAGAAAAATATCTTTTGTTCACCAAAGCAGGAAGAATGGAAGCCGAGTGTCATGCCCGAGAGTATGATTTGGGAGTAAACCAGAATGTCCTTGACCTGCAAGAAACCTTAAAAAGCAAGGGCATCTGTAGTCCATTCCCATGCCATGCAGTTCATAGCAAGCTATGCACAGGATGGTGAATCCTGGAATCCCTATGGCATCACTAAAAGCACTATGTAGATTAGGAAATCTGGGACACAAATTGTGCTTCAATCGTAAACATATTGCATTGTTGGGTAACTCAACTGTCAGTCTGTAGTCCTCCCACTATATTTAACATATAGTATATGTAGTTATACAGTTACCCTGAAAATAAGACCCAACCGGAAAATAAGCCCTAGCATTTTTCAGGATGCTTGTAATATAAGCCCTGCCCCAAAAATAAACCCAAATTAAGATAGTCAGCCGGATGGAGGTGTTTAGTACTGTATTTCCTCCAAAATAAGACCTAACCAGAAAATAAGCCATAATGCATATTTTGGAGCAAAACTTAATATAAGATCTGGTCTTATTTTGGGGGAAACACAGTATAAAGTAGTATTCTAAGGATTGCAACTAATATATGTCTGAACACTGAAACGATGAAAAAATTATTAGGGTCTATATTATTTTTGTGCACAATATATTTTCACCACCATAAATGATCCTTAGAGGGCCTTGCTGGTCAGGGAGAGCAGTCTTGGGCCAGAGGTTCTCAGCTCAATCAGTATTTTTATGTAAGAACTAGACAACCAGTGAGCCACTCGTTAAACCAGCTCAGATATATCCTTACCAAATTCCTCAATGACTTCAACAATAGCAGAGCTTCTAATGTACTCGAAAAGGTCTTAAAAATTCAGTAAGGATTCAGAGGATTAAAGCAGCCATGTTCAACTCAGGCAATGTTTTATGACATTTATATGTCACAAAATGTTTTATAATTTTTATGTCAGAAAGCAACAATTCTGGGCCAGATGGATGTCTGACAGAATTACGGTATCTGGATGCATTATCAACATAGCTTTTTTGGTCGTAAGTTCACTTGCTTGCTAATTTTTTCCTTACCTCTTATGGTCAGACTGATAGCACCAGATTGTCTTAGAAGGACAGCATATTAACAACAGGTGGCAACTGAAAAATGAAAGACTTGATGGGAAAAAAATCCACCATTATCTAATAACAGATTTTGGAACAAGAAGCAAGTGACTAGTTAGTTGAACAAAATTATTTTTCTAACTTTGAAACGTCCAAGAAGGGGCAAAGTGCCATTAATCTGAACAATAAACCTGTAGTGTTCCTTCTGGATGGACCACAGTAGAACTAACGCTAATTTAGATAAGCTGCTATCCTACTGTGGCACAGCTCTTAAAAGCCTAAAACAGCCATTTGCATCTGCCCACCCACAGCGATGTGGCATGTTTCCACAACACCTGTTACAAAGTGAACTCTTGTGAATAACAGCAATTTTTAAAACTACTTTTATGTTATCACAAAGGGGAAAAAAAATCTGGTTGTTGCTCAACAGTGTGCTACCTGCAAGGTACTCAATATATGTTCTGATAAAAAAATTATAATGGTAAATGTAAAATGTGGATGCCATACACTTGGCCATACACATGGTCACTGAAAACAGTCCAGTCTTCATTTCTCCTTTTTGCCCACTTCTCTGTGAAGCCGAAATTACAAACGGAGAGAAAAAAATTGCTTCCAACTGCCAGCACTGCCACATAACTCCTGCTAAAAGGAAGCTAAAAAGATCCATATCAATCATAATATCAAGATTTTGCCTGTTGTTCCTTAGATTTGACACACCCTCTCCTCTCAGTGTTTTATTTTAGAAAGAAAACTTAAAAGATTTCTGCTACTAGGGATATTTCTGCCTGGCACATTGTCCTAGGAGCAGAGGGTGGGGTTAGAAGACCTCCAAGGTCCCTTTCGAATTCTGATGATGAAATATTGCAGTACTTTCCATGAGCTTTGATTGCTACCAACTGAAAGCAGCCAAGACACACACTGAGATAAAGATTTCCTTTAATGAGCACAATACAGGAGGATGAACATTGAAGGTGATCGTTATTGATCACAATAATATTCAACTATTTTGTCTCCAAAGGGAAACTCTGAAAAAGAAAAAAAAAAGCAAGTTATTAAGAACCTGGAATTTATTCTCCCATTTTGAAATATCATTTTATGTAAGTTATAAAATATTTGTTTTATGAAGTCCAAAGGTCTAACAGTTATAATCCTAAAACAAGTTCATGATATGATGAAATGCCACCGCAAACATAGCCAGCTTGTGCCTTAATAGTAAAGCTTCTAACAGCATGATTTGAAAACTGATAAAAATTAGCAGCAGTGAAACCTGCTACATTTTTCAGAGAAAGCACATGAATATTAGAATTAAGAAAAATACATCATCATCAATGGACCAAAAAAAAAAAATCATAGGTGTGACTTCAGTTAAAACAAATCTTATTTTATTATTGTTTTACTTTGCTTTAAATGAATTACTCTCTTTTATTCTGTATTTTAATATGCACCAGTAACAGGCCTATGTCATTTCTTTGCTAACAATGTGAAAGTGATTTAATCAGTCTTATTTATGCCACCCAACCCACAAAGCAATTCAGTTGTCTGCCATTGCCTTCTCCCAGAAAGCGTTTTGACTTCCTGGGCCTGTGTGGCTCGAGATCACCCAGCTGGCTTCTAATAAGGGAGAACTCAAACCTGGGTGTCTCACTCAATGTCAGCACTTTAATTGCTATGCTACACTATCTAACCTAGCTTAAAAGAAACATTCCCTTGAATTATTAAAGCATAAGCTGAACAATTGCTTACTTATGATTAGTAGATTTCATTAGGGCTTCACACTGTGAAATATTCCCGCTTTTTTCTTTTCCTCAAAGTCTTTTGCGAAATCAAATGTTTTATAGAAATCTCTGTATTTATTTTGCCTTCCTTGAATGAAAAAATGCTGAAGAGAAAAAAAAATTACCATTACAAGACTTTTAACACAGGAAATTCGATTAAATACTGAATAAGGACATTTTTTAAAAATGAGACCAATGTCTATGAAAACACTGCACTCATGGGCAGCTTAAATTGTTTACAAAGTGTTGAGAAAACAGTGATGCAATGATGAAAAAGGTGTCCATTGTTAACACTACAATCCCGTACCTATTTACCTGGGACTTCCTTAATGACCCTAATTGGGACCAGAATTCTCCTTACTAAACGAAGCAGCCATTAAACGAAACACGTGACATCACCGCTTAGAAATGGAAGTTCTAGTTCAGGTAGTCGACTTTTGACCATTTGTCTTTATCATGGCCTCATAAAGGGTGCTATATAACCCATAAAGCACTTCCAGCTGACCTCAAGCATCACCACCCGCACCTCCTGCAGTCACGTAAATGCATTTTGGGCATTTGGATACTTGTTCACACATACCATCAGTTGTCAAATGCCCTACAATCATGTTATTGCCATTTGCAATCTCCTCTGCTGGTTTTCCCAGATAGTCAAGCAGGAAGCCAGCAGGGAAGGTTATAAGCTGCTGCCACCTGTCAAAAAGTTTCCCTCTTGTCTCTGGGGACTGACTGAAAGAGCTGCTGTCTGAGAGAGCCTGACATTCCTTTTCAGAGTGCAGAAACAAAGCTTAAATCATGAAGATCTAAGCTCTGTTTTGGTACCCTCTGGTAAGACAAGGACTTGGTCCTCAAGCTCTGAGATACAACAGGTTTTATATTCACCTTGCTTTCATTTCCTTCCTGGGAGGCGCCGCACTCTCTTGAAACAGATAGTTGCTTTTCAATACCATGGCTAGCAAACAGTAGGAAGCAGTGAATTCTACCAGGTATTTGGAACCCTGGCAAACAGAATGGCTGTGCATAGGGGAATGTGTGGTGAGCGAGACTGGCAGCCAAGGAGACAGTGGTGGCAAGCCCAGCACTGATACACCCCACCCACCCCCGGCCAAGGAGCATGACAAAGGTCACCCTGGAAGCAGCAGCAGAAGTGAGCAGAAGGGCAGAGATGGGCGAGGAAGATAGTGCAGGGAGTTGAAGCACACCCTACGATTGTTAAGTCTGGCCAGGTTGCTAAGCACCCAAATTTTGATCATGTGACATGAGAGCAGTGCAACAGCCATAGCTTCAAGTACTGGCTGTAACTACCATTTGTTCAGCACCATAACTGCAAACAGACACTGAGCAAATGGTGGTTAAACAAGGCTTATTTGTAATTTTTCAGGACTTGCCCAAATATATAAAAACTAGCTGGATACCCATGATGGGGCTTGATAAATTGACACTTAAAGCTTGAAAATTAATGAGTAAGTTACAACTGGCCTCTCCTCTCCCCTTCTCTCCCTCAGGCTTGCCCCACAGAAGCCTCCCCTATCCTATCCCCTTCACTCCAGAGTTATTTTCAAGTTGGGAGGGGGAGTAGAACGTCTTAACAAATTAGCATCAGAGCGTGTTAATAATAATATAAGAAATACTAATGATCTGATGGTCATTTCGAAAAATCCTTTCTTAGTGAGCACCTAGAAACCAAGAGGAACATACATGGCAAATTTCAAGTTTGTAGGCTTTATGGTTCTGGAGATTTCATGATTATGGCGTGAGTGGTTTTCGCTTTTATATATATAGATTTCACTTAAGAATTTTTTAAAAAAATGGTTTGTATTGAGTTTTAACACAAGAAATCCTGACCTCCAAGAGAAAAAAGCTTCCTGTTACTAAAGTAACTCCTATCAGAAAATTCCTTCTTGCAATTCTTCCCAGGAGATCTTTCATTTGTGGCTTGGGCAACAGACTAGAAGACATATTGAAGCTTTCTCCTAAAACAGAAGGGGAAATTAAGGCTTTGCTATTATGATCACAATATGAACAAGAACAACAAAAATCACAACCACAAATATTCCCAATAACAGAAAGGGAGCATTTTTACAGAACTAATTCTTTGGAAATTGTTTTATTTGTTAGAAATACATGTGTGGCATATAACCTAGGGCTCTATAAACATTTTGAAAAGAGATTTTCAGTAATAGTTCAGGACACAGTTCATAAAGTGCCACTTTTCAAATTAAAGCAATCAAGTTGCAAGGCTCCAGAAGCTATATGCAAACACACAGCAGCATATATACAGACTGTATGACTGCAACCTCGTTGCTGGTATCCTTACAATTTATATTGATATTGTTTCCTGATTGCTTATTTGTACCCTTTGAATATCATTAAGTGTTGTACCTTATGATTCTTGATGAACGTCTCTTTTATTTTTATGTACACTGAGAGTGTATGCACCAAGACAAATTCCTTGTGTGTCCAATCACACTTGGCCAATAAAAATTCAATTCAATTCAATTCAATTCAATTCAATTCTATTCTATTCTATTCTATTCTATTCTATTATTCTATTCTATTCTATTCTATTCTATTCTATTCTATTCTTCTATTCTAATTCTAGTCTAGTCGTCACTATATGCATACATGCAGCAGAAATAGATGGAAGCAGTTTCGAGGGCAAAAATGCAACTCTATAAAAAAAAAGTGACCATTGGTTAGTAGAGATTTTACATTTTACAAAGCCTCTCATTCTAAAGCCTTGCAGTCGCTGCACAACGTATCCTTCCTTTTCACATCTGCAGATGGCATTTCAGTCTTCCACTGTGGGATCCAGTGTTAACTGTCAGCTGTGACAAGGACTCACCTGTACAGTCAACCTGCTGACATTTTTTTTTAATTCCGCTACTCATCCGAAATGCAGCAATGGTCTCTCCCTGCTTCCAGCACTACAATCCGTAGCTTCCTTAATCATAGTTTACAAATGATCCAGAGGTGGGTTTCAGTTCTGGAGAACCGGTAGTGGAAATTTTGACTGGCCCACCTCCATCTATTCTCTGCCTCCCAAGTCCCAGCTGATCAGAAGGAAATGGGGCTTTTGCAGTATCCTTCCCCTGGAGTGGGGAGGAAATGGGGCTTTTGCAGTATCCTTCCCCTGGATTGGGGAGGAAATGGGGCTTTTGCAGTATCCTTCCCCTGGAGTGGGGAGAAAATGAGGCTTTTGCAGTATCCTTCCCCTGGATTGGGGAGGAAATGGAGGAAATGGGGCTTTTGTAGTATTTCCCCTGGAGTGGGGAGGAAATGGGGCTTTTGCAGTATCCTTCTCCTGGATTGGAGTATCCTTCCCTGGAGTGGGGAGGAAATGGGGCTTTTGCAGTATCCTTCTCCTGGATTGGAGTATCCTTCCCCTGGATTGGGGAGGAAATGGGGCTTTTGCAGTATCCTTCCCCTGGATTGGGGAGGAAATGGGGCTTTTGCAGTATCCTTCCCCTGGAGTGGGGAGGAAATGGGGCTTTTGCAGTATCCTTCCCCTGGAATAGGGAGGAAATGGGGCTTTTGCAATATCTTTCCCCTGGAGTGGGGAGGAAATGGGGCTTTTGCAGTATTCTTCCCCTGGAGTGGGGAGGAAATGGGGCTTTTGCAGCATCCTTCCCCTGGAGTGGGGAGGAAATGGAGCTTTTGCAGTATCAAGACTTCAACTCCCAGTAATTGGGGAGTTGAAGTCGACAAGTCTTAAAGCTGGCGAGTTTGAAGACCTCTGATTTTATTCCATGGGGCCGGCATTCGCCATAATTCACGGCCCACCGACCGCAACGGAGAGAAGTAAAATGCAAGTCACGAGCCAAAAAAAAAAAAATCGTCTTCTCTTTTCGGTCTCGTCGCTGCACGGCGAGATTCTGCTGCATTTGGCGGGAACCCCAAAATAAACAGACGCCCCCCGCCCACCAACTGCACCGCCACCGCCAGAAACCCCAAAGGGCTCCCGCCTCCTCCCCCTCCCCCCCCGGAATCTCCCTAGACCAGTGTTTCTCAACCTTGGTAGCTTGAAGATGGGTGGACTTCAACTCCCAGAATCCCCCAGCCAGCAACGCTGGCTGGGGGATTCTGGGAGCTGAAGTCCACCCATCTTCAAGCTTCCAAGGTTGAGAAACACGGCCCTAGACTGTTCTGTGTGGACCGTCCCAGTCTCCAGCTAAGCCCGGCTTTCCCACCACCCCCACCCCCACAAAGGGCAAGGAAGCAGAGAACCGCGCAGGAGGCCGCCGCGGACACTCACGCCCGACACCAACGCAGGAGGAAGTTCCTTCTCTGACCCCTACAGAGCCAAGGCCGTCCTTAACGCCTTCGCTTTCAGAGGAACGGTTACGGCCTTGCGCATGCGCCTAGGTAACTACGGCAAGCACGCAGCCCAAACTTGCAACCCGGCAGCTGCTTCTCAGGAGAGCGATTGACCGGGGGGGGGGGAAATCATCGGGGAAGTGGGCGGGCTTTTGCCAGGCGAGGGGCGAGGCTGACAGTTGACGCAGCGCTGCGGCGCGACGTGGTTCGGGATGAGAATAAAACGCGATTCAAGGAGCGCGTGGCCCCCAGTCGAAGCGGCCGAACTGCTTTTCCCCAACCTGGCGCCCGCGATTCGGCTGTACGATGGTGCTGCGAATAAACTACTCTTGATTCGCTTTTGAGAGGCCTCGTTTACAGTGCTGAGACCCGCAATGCGCTAATCGTGAATCGGAGCCTGCCAGTGTGAAGTTAGGATAGAATAGAATAGAATAGAATAGAATAGAATAGAATAGAATAGAATAACAGAGTTGGAAGGGACCTTGGAGGTCTTCCAGTCCAACCCCCTGCCCAGGCAGGCAACCCTACACCACTTCAGACAAATGGTTATCCAACATCTTCTTAAAAATTTCCATTATTGGAGCATTCACAACTTCTGGAGGCAAGGTGTTCCACTGGTTAATTGTCCTTACTGTCAGGAAATTTCTCCTGAGTTCTAGGTTGCTTCTCTCCTTGATTAGTTTCCACCCATTGCTTCCACCCATTGTCTTCAGGTGCTTTGGAAAATAGCTTGACCTCTTCTTCTTTGTGGCAGCCCCTCAAAGTTTGGGATTGCTAATTTTCGTCTAGCTCCGGGGTCTCCAACCTTAAACACTCAAAGAGCCATTTGGACCTGTTTCCCACAAAAAAGAAAACACTGTGAGCCACAAAACCTGGGTGGGTGTGGCCAACTCCAGGTCACTCACTTCCAACTATCACATGACATCCCCATAGCCACGCCTACCCAGCCGGTCATTAGGGCAGAGAACCTACCGGGAACCACAAAACCCTTTTGACAACTCTTTCCCTCCCCCTTCTCTCCCCCTCTCTCTGTATCTATGTCTCTCTCGCTCCCCTTCTCTGTATCTCTCTGTCTCTGCCCTGGCCGCTTCTCCATCCACCACCATCACCCTTACCTTCTCAGGCCAGGCAAGGAGTGACTGGGAGGGGAGGGCAAGGGGCGGGGCCAGCCAGTGGTGGGATCACCCGATGGAGGCATAGCAGAGGGCCCAAAGAGCTGCATGCGGCTCCAGAGCCGCAGGTTGCTGACATCTGGTCTAGCTTTTAATGGAGCATTCATGGCCGTTCCTGTGATTTGCATTGCTAAATTCCAAATTCCTTGCCATCCCAGGTTGTCCGGATGAGGATCTGCAGTTTAGCCACCACCACTACCCACAATCCCACCCAAGAAGAAACCCTGCAGAACATCTGGACATAAGAATGCCACGAAACTGAGTTCAGTTCAGACAAACCCCTGCAATTTCAGGGATTCTAAACGCAGCTTGCCAACTGCCCTGGTGAGGGGGCATCCTTCACTGCCCTGATCCTCATTGAGAGTCATTGCTGGTCCTCCTGCCGGGTACCAGCTGGACCTGATGCTGTGCAGTTTTGGAGGCCAGGCGAGGTTAGCTAGATACCACTATCGATATCATTTTTGTGGTTCTGGACTGGAGTTACTTCTGAAAACTGGACTAACAGCTGGCCTGTCAGATATAATTGGCATTGTTGAACACTGAATGCAAAAACAAGTCCTCTGTGCCACAATCAAAATCAGATTTGCTCCTTTTTTCTGGGCCAGGAATGAATTCATGGCAAACTGTTGATTTAGAACTGACATAATGCCAAAGATATTATAGCATTGTTTAAAAATTAGTATTTTAAAGTGGATGTTATTTAAAACAGACATCAGAATTTCAGACATTTTATTTGGATTTGTTGTACTGTGTTGGGCATACCACAAACATTTGCTGTGTTATAATTTAAATTGGGACCAATTGATCACACATCATTTTTGCCATAGTGTGTCAAGTTTTGTTTTCTGTTGATATGAGTTATAGTATCTTTTACTAAATTTCTGTTATATGGCTTCACGAATATTCCTGATGTAAGTTTTGCCTTTAGATAATTCTAAGTGCAATTATAGAATTTTTATTGCAGAATGATATCATATAAAAATTATAAGCGTCCCATTTTCTGTTTGTTACATCAGACTGCGCTTGGCACTATTTTTAATGCAAAATTAGCTATTTCTACATTTTTTTAAAAGAAAATTTTATCTTAAAAAGTGCATCCCATGTTTCTATTATATTAACATATCTGAACTACATGATGGTCTAAAATAATCAAATTTGTATATATTTACATTAAATTATTTTTTATTTATTTTTGTATGGCACACTTGGGCATCTTCTGTGTGGTATAAGTATGTACATCCATTTTTTAAAAAATGTGGCATTCTTTACTGCTTCCTGCCTCTGAGCATAAGATATGAACTTATTTCAACCCATGTTTGCCATCCCGGTATTAATTAAGTACTTGCCAACTGGAACTGGAACTTAATGAAATTCTAGAAGGGTATCAGCAAAGCAAGATGTTAAAGGCAAATGGAAAACATGAACTAATAAAAAGGCTCAACCAGTGGATCTGCAAATTCGGCTTTTGAAGTTCTTTCAAGTACTGCATGCTTTAATTTTGGAGTAATCTTACAATGATGAATGCAAAGAACAAATAAGCAGGAATGGTTTTTCTAACTTTTGGATCATATGAAGATGAAGCAATATGTTGATGGTTACCAGTGATTGCCACAACTATTGAAAGCATTAGTCATTAGGTTGGATTTTTAATCACTGGCTTGCAGAAGCTTTGAGGGTGAGAAAAAAGAAATTTTGAACGCTCCTTTCTTTTCCTTTTTAAAAAAAATGACAAAAAGTACCAAACTTCATAGAAAGGGTTGCCCAAATAAACAGGACTATTTGGGAGCTAGACAAACGACAATTAGTTTGTTTCAACTGAAAAATGGACTGCAATCTATAAAAACTAATTTTGAAAGAATTGTTTAGAATTGTTTAATACGAAGTCTTACTTAAGTATTCTCCAGATATTTGCAACTCTCAAAATTCTACAGTTAGTAGAATTGCTAGGAGTTTATGACCACACATTTGGACATCTCCTAGATTTAGGAAGGTGGACTAAGCACTATTCTATGTATAAACCAATAAAGCACAGAAGGGATCAAAATATTATTGAAATCATCTGTCAATGTAGGAAACTTTCTGACATTGGTCATTAAGCTGCAGCTTAAAATAATCAATTTCTGGGAATCTTAATTTTCATTTTCTAGTCTGAGGAACAGTTTGTGTATTGACAATCTGCCTGTTATCAGAAAGTATGCCAAATTTGTGATCCTTTTGACACCTCAATTTATTCCAGAAAGTCATCTTTTCAAGAAAAAAGCAGTTTCCTCCATTTGCCAGAATATTACAAAGTTCTGGGGATCAGAGAAGGTACCATGTGAAGATTGGATGTTCTTTATAGAGAACTGTCTTCAAGTTTTGGTTTCTGGATTAGATCTGACTCATGGGCAGTTCCTGCCTTTGTTTTATGTCTAGATTATAATTGTATTATAATCAAATTCTCAGGAAATTCTTCCTAATGTTTATATAGACTCTCTTTTCTGGGAAATTGAACTTGTGGTCTGGATCCTATTTATCAAATGACAAATTTCCCTGATATGAGAGCCATTCAAATATTTTAAAAGACGATGGATAATTGATTGATTCATTCATTCATTCTATTCCATCATGTTGTTTCTGATGTCTAGTGACCACATAGATATTCTCCATCATGATCTATCTTTTAAGTCTTCCTTTATTTTTATAGTAATTTTATTAAAGATTACAATTTCTAACAGCAAAAACTAATGCAAACTAAATATATTTAAAAGAATAAAAAAAATATAAAAAGTGCATAAAAATAAGTAGAAAAAATATTTTAATGTAGGTTGGAGGACCTATAGCTCAGGCAGTGAAGAGGGCTGGTAATCCAATTTTATAAGTGAAAATCTATTTTCTGAAAGTTAGAAATCTATTGGCTCAGATGCCCTCTCTATAAATGCTTACAGGTGAACATTTAAATAGTTGTGATTCAGGTACAATCAATACATTCTAAGAGGATCTTTGTGGGAAAGGGAATATAGTGTCCTGGATGTATTGATTACTTTGACAAATAATCCCAATGCCATAGCAGGCTAACAGCCTAATAGATAGTCTGAACTGTATATTTTGTTAATACAGGATCTAAACCAGATGAAGGTTTTAAAATTATGTATATTCTTGCCAATGTGGTTTTTTAAAAATCTGCATTGAATTATCCAGAAATGTAAACATTAATGAAAAATGTAATTTAGCAATGCCCTGTATTCATAGGCCATTATAATTTGGTGATTGTTTCATATCAAGCGTCTCTGGAGAAATGAAGACAAAAAACCAAAAACAATTCAGTGAGAAAAGTTATAAACTGCTAGTTTATTAACAGATTTATTAAGACTAACCACAATGTTACAAAACGGTGAAAAATGACTTGTTGTCAACAAAGCCACAAATTAGTGAATGACTGTCCATGTATTTACTGTCTGCCATTCGTTTTTTTTCTAACCTCATTCCTTACAACTGCTTTTCTCCAATCATTTCTATGTATCCTGTATTGCATTATGTTTCTCAAGATAATTTTATTGTATTTGATCAAATGGATGTCAAACTATGAAAAAATTATTCCTTTGTAATTGTGTAAGCCTTAAAAGTGTCACAATCCAAACATAATAATTATTAAACATTGCCATCTATAAAACTGTTGCTGGGCATATCAATTAACCTTGTTTTGTTAATCTAATTCACACATACTGTATGCTATGATTAAAAATGTTTTATACCTAATATACCTAAATTACAACTATATTAGATAATGTTGAAAACGTATATCTTTTCTTTAGAAAAACTACAATAGATCTGCTAATCTTTAGATGCCACAAACCATCACACTCCAAAGTTTAAAAAAAGTTTTAAATACCATTGATTTTCAAATAAAAATATGTGAGTATGTGTTTTTTCACTCTCTCCTTAAAATAAAGTAGACTGCAAAGAAGGTCCTAACTTGACTGGATCATGATTATATTCCTCCCTCTTTCAGTTAAGATTTGAAAGACTGAGTATAAGTTGAATAAAATCCTGAACTACTCTGGAAAACTGAAGGATGGTAATTCAAGGGAAGAGGATGTGATGGCTCAGTGGCTAAGACGCTGAGCTTGTCAATCAGAAAGGTCAGTTCAGCGGTTCGAATCCCTACTGCTGCGTAATGGGATGAGCTCCCGTTACTTGTCCCAGCTTCTGCCAACCTAGCAGTTAAAAAGCATGTAAAAAATGCAAGTAGAAAAATAGGGACCACCTTTGGTGGGAAGGTAACAGCATTCCATGTGCCTTTGGCATTTAGTCATGCCGGCCACATGACCACAGAGACATCTTCGGACAGCGCTGGCTCTTCGGCTTTGAAACGGAGATGAGCACCGCCTCCTAGAGTTGGGAATCACTAGCACATACGTGTGAGGGGAACCTTTACCTTTAATTCAAGGGATGAATTATAGTCACGCAAAATGCTGTGTGATTATCAAGCAATGATATTTCTTATGACAGACAAATAAGACATCTACTTTACACCACTTCTATCAAACCCACAAGGGAACCATTGTTTTACTGTGTGGGTGGAAACAATTCTGCAAAACCAAGTATCAAGCAAAGTTTATCCTCCCTGACATATGCCTGGATTATATCCTTTATATAATAAGTCTGCTAAATCTGATTCAGAATGGAGCTACTGAACAGGAAAAACAAGTTGTTTGGTTATCAAGTGTTTGAAGGTATCATGGGGGTCATAAAAAGGATTAATGGGTTGATGTTTGGATTGGATAAAAATATTGTCCAAATCTAAAATATGGGCACATTGTTGGTTTCATATTATATTTGGCTGGAGAAAAAAATTAAATACCTAAATAGGAGTTTCTTTTTAATATATATGACATAAATACTTGTTATAGAAAAGAAACAATCCAGAGTGCAGTTGTTTGACATGTGGCAAAGAAAACAAATTTCTAGCATGGTGAATCTGATCTTAGACACAAGGCCAAAAAAAAAAAAAAAAATGATGCATCATAAATCTAAAGCAAATAATCTCTAACAGGTGAAGGCAATCATTTTGCAGAAGGATTTCATTTGTTGTTTTTCTTGTGGTTCCTCCTCCTTCTTCTCCTCCTCTTTGATGCCCAGAGGGACCAGGGGCAGGATTTGGTCCCAATTTTTCCCTTTTGGAATGACATGTTTTTGGAGAACATTGAAACCATCAAAAAAAGACCACATATGGGCCACAGATATTTTCCCTCTTGATACATACTTCATCGTTTAACATGAACATTGCAAAAGGAAGAAAGAACTAATGTATTTGAACCCTTCAGCAGCAATCATCCACAACTCAGCTCAAGCTCTCACTGTAATTTATAGTACGAATCAGATGTGGCTGTGAAACAATATGGCAGATAGAGAGTCACAGATGTTGCTGTTTTGAAGCCCTACAAATTGCTCTATCAGTGGACCAGCCCTGATGTTCTCGGGAATGTTTTCTACACCTGTTCCTAAGACTTCTATATAATGAAAGCAAGAGGAACTGCCTTGAAGTTAGCCCCAAGAAGTGCATGTTGTATTTCAGAATCCTCGTGAACAGGGGAGGGATTCAGCCTATTCGGACCGGTTCGGGCAAGCCGGTTGCTCCGACAATCAGCTGAGAGCGGACTGGTTCACTCCGACGATCATGTGGGCCCGTCCGCCCGCCTCTGCGCTATACTGACCTTCATTTTATTTTTTTGAAGTCCAGCTGATGGGCACGGCAGAATGGATTGCTGCGCCTCAGCTGTTTTACTCACTGGGACTGCAGTCGAAGGTAAGTTTTAGACCGGTTTGGAAACGAACTGCTTGTGAAATATATAGGCTTGTCAATGAGCCGCAAACCTCTCAAATAGTTTATAAGTAAATTAATTAACAATTCTTCCTTCATTAAAAACAAGAATATAATAGCAGAGGATTCCCAATCTGACACTGAAAAGTTGTTGTCTCCAGATGATAGGAATTGTATTCTAACATAGCTGTTAAATTGTAGAAGGCTATAATAGTACAGTATATAAGGAAAAAAGTCCCACTGGCACTGAATGCACCAGACTTAGTTTCTTTCCTCTCTTGGTAACTTGTCTCTGAAAAATAGGGCAAACCAGTGAACAACGTTCATTTATTTCTGATAAATTGTGGCCCCACTGTGAATGTAAACTCATAATTTCTTCACCAGTTTCCTTAAAATTTTGATGGTCCTAGTTGGGAGGGAAAGACACACAGGATTAATACTATAAGAAACAAAAAATAATACCTGTAAGACAGAAAATGAACACAATTCTTACAGTTCCAAACAAAAATCTAGGGGAATAAATTATTTTGCCTTTTCACAGGTAATTCCAGCTGACAGTTGCTTCTAAATTTGTGAATATATCATTTAATTTATTTAATATAAACATTTCTATCCCTTTCTAGTACATATGTTATCTCTCTGAACAGTTTATAGTATTTAAAAACAGCAATAAATTCAAACAGAAGATATTAAATAGAAATCACCTCAAAGATCAAATTAAAAGCATTAACAAAAGCAAATACAGAAAGGTAACCATTTGAGAAGAGACAAGAGATTTTCTAAAATTCTTGGCCTATTGGTGAAATGCCAGCAAATAATGAGCCCAGGGAGCCTTCCAAAGTAGGGATTCCAAAAGCTTAATTAAAAAATATTTTCTCTTGCCTCAGTCAAAAATATCTGTCACAGAAATGGGCTTTTCCATAAGATCTAGTAGACCGGACAGCAATACAGGATGCAGTGCCACCCCACAAGACATCCTGGATCAAAACCCTTTATACATGCGCATGCACGTAACTCAACTTGAGCTCTGTGCGCGTATGTGTACGCTGGCCCGCTGCTCGTGAGGCCCAGTTTCCCTCTCCCCACTCCCAGCCAGGCCACCAAACCACAAAGGTTGGGGACTGCTGTCCTTTTTGAAGATAGCCTCCTCCTCCCCCAAGAAATATACGTTGTAGAAATTCAATCTGGAGGTAACTGAAGGATGGGTTTACATAGGCAGCTCTGGATTTATCAGAAACATTTTCTGCCTTCAAAACTGGCCACATGATCTCAAGAACAGAGGTAGTTACTTTAAAGAGTTACAGGCAGGTGGTGTGCTTGCGCTCCTGTGCATTTTCAAATCTGAAACACAGTTCAACTACAAAGATTGTGTTGAGGTTATGGAGTTAATCTGGAATGAAGGATGTTCATATGCCCAATCATTGTGTTTAAATGATAGGAATGTGAATGATTAATCCCCACATATGTGGGTAGCTCAAAGAAAAGTAACATCTGCTTCTTCCTAGAACCTTGGGTACCAAAAAACCAAGCTTTCTATATATGTCTGATTCTCTACATCACCATTGCAATTAAGTGTAGCATTGTTCAATTTCCAGCCCTCTGTGTTTGCTGTGATTTAGTTACAGTTAGGGGCATAATAGATCATGTCTAAAAAGACATTCGGTAAACATATTAAGAACATGAATAACTATTTCCCACCAAAACTGGGGACTGAAACAGTTAACATTTGGTTGAACAACTCTGAAGAATGCAAGAATACTAATATTTGTGAACTAGAATTTTGCAGTATTTATATGACATCACTGTGCAGATGGTGAACTATAAATTAAGCTAAAAATATCAGTGTCAACCATTCTTTTGAAAATGGACTAAGGAGAAGAGGAAGCAATTACTGCAGGAGGAGCATTTGCCCACTGCAGGTAGAATGACAACAGTACGAAGTCAGAAGAGCAGGGATGGAAGGAACAAGAATGTTTTTAGGCAAGCTGATGAAAAGCTTTCCCTGCCAGCTTGGAAGGGCAAATCTCCTATGTAGGCAAGAGGGAAAGAAACGCCAAGTATGAAGTGCTGGAAAAAAACCTACTGGCACATCAAGGAGGATGGGCTGCTTATACTTACGTGCTCCTCCTGGACTGAATCCACAAGGCATTTCATTTTTACATTATTATACAAACTGAGCATCTGATGAAACAATATCTGTTATCAACATGGAAAATTAATTGAGCTCCTAGAGACATACTTGCAGTATCTTTAGATGGGAATGAACGTTGCTTCACAAAAGCTGTGCTGAAGTTTGCTGGGGGAATAGATTTTTCGGAGCCTATGACTGTATCACTTTTCAGAGCGAGGAAAGATGAGAGACCTAGGGGAAAAAAAGAAAGAAATGAAAGAAAAAGAGAGAGGGGGAGGGAGGGAGAAAGGAAGGGAAGGGAAGGGAAGGGAAGGGAAGGGAAGGGAGGAAGGAAGGAAGGAAGGAAGGAAGGAAGGAAGGAAGGAAGGAAGGGAAAGAAAGAAAGAAAGAAAGAAAGAAAGAAAGAAAGAAAGAAAGAAAGAAAGAAAGATGAAAACCATAATAAAGCTCATTGTCTTCAGAGAACATACTATTGTTGTGCTTCACATAGTTAGTAAGGAAACGAATGTTAAATGGGCCCACAAAAACCTTTCTCATTGATGAAAAGCTGACCTGAATAAGCAGATGCTGCAACTGATTTTTTCTCTAAATCTTCTTGAACCTGCAGGAGAATCCTTTCTTGTTCAAGAGCTTCTATGTACTTTGAATAAGACCAGAAAAACTGCAACAAAGAAATTAAAAAAACAAACAAACAAGCAAACAAGTTAGGTAAATGTGATAGTAAGCCCATAAATTGGCAATCCTTTTTTACATCCTAAGATAATGTTAGCATTTCTTGCTTTCAGAAAACTTAAATCTTAATAAAAAAGAATAAAGTTAGTATGGCATTATTTATCAATGGGGCAACATAATCATTCATGTTGTTTCCTAATACCACTTGTAATAAGAAGGAGAATTTCCAGTACAGACATTTGAAGAGGTTGAAAAGCCAATTTCCTCCAAGGCAGTTGTGAAATATCTGAATTTCATATCAAATCAGTACTTTAATTATTTGGATTTATATCCTGCCTGTAGTGGGTAAGATACTGAATTAATCTGCATTATATGCCAGCATCAAACATACGCTCAGTTATTTGCCAGGGCTATTTGTCCCTTCTCATAAGTATTTTCACATTATTTAAGAGACAACCGGTTTTTCCTTAATTCGTTTTGCAATTTTAAGAAGGGCTTTGATTGTTTTAAATTAATAAAAATAACTTCAACATGTTCATTCAACATTTTAAATTACATTTTTTTTAAAAAAAAAGCTTCCACTCTCATTTAGCAATATGCAGCCCCTGTCATGAGAGACATTCATGTAAAGTGAAATTGATACGAATTTCAGACGTGTCCAGCTGTTTGCCTTCTTTTCCAAAAATAAAGGGAAAGGGTCCAAATGAATGCTAGCAAATTCATTTGCCCATAATTACACAATAGCAATTTCTTAAAAATGAAACTGGTAACACATCAGAAACAGCTTTCAATCTGTTTCCTAAATCCACTGGATCATCCCAGATCACCACTCTGTGCTTCAGGAAGGACTGATAGAACATGATTCAATTACCTCTCGGCCCAATCCAGAGAAGCTCGTCGATGGCGAAAATTCAGCTAAACTCAGTTTTGAATCAAGAGATGAACCTGTTTTCCCAAGAATAGAACTTTTCTTCTTTTGTACCTAGCAATAAAATAAATAAATATTCGATTATTTCTGAAGAAAAAAAAATTACTGGACAGTATATTTCAGTATATTTTTGAGAATCCACTTTATATCTGTTTTAAAATTTTGTATTGGTTTTAAGTTTGGTTCTAGTCAGACTTCTCTTGAATAAACTTTCTCTTATAAGGAGACTCCTGTTGAGAAAGATTTCCAAAATAATTACATTTGGTAGACAAAGGAAGTATTTTAGAAAGATTATCAAGGAATCCAAGCAAGATCTCTTTGAGGCTCTAGTCTTGGTTTGCAGTGGGATTATGATGGACTCTTCCAGTTACTCAGTTCTACAGAGGATTTCTATAGGATCCCAGACCTCTTTCTCCGAGTTCCTCTCAACCTCTGGTTCAAGCAAGATCTACAGGTAGTCCTCACTTACCAACAGCCATAGGGACTGGCAACTCTGTGGTTAAGCAATGCCAGTGATTAAGTGTGACCATGCCAACTTACAACATCAGTTCAGGTTGCTGTCATTAAGCAAATCATGCATAGCATTAAGCACTGTGACTACAATTTATAACTTCCTGCCAACTTCCCCATTGGCTTTGCTGGCAGAGAAGGTCTCAAATGGTGATCATGTGACCACAGGATGAAGCAGTTTTCATAAATCTGTGCCAGTTGCCAAGCATTCAACTTGCAATCACATGACCCCAGGAGCACTGAGACAGTTGCAACTTTGAGGACTGCTTGTAAGTCTCTATTTTCAGCACTGTTATAAGTTCAAATGGCCACTGAACAAGTGGTCAGTAAGTAAGGACCACCTGTACCGAGGTTCTTTTTTCGTTTTTCCTCAGGTGATGACCCTCAGCCTTGTCCTCCAAGATTAGCAGTGAGGAGAAACACTGAGCTCAGAAACAGAGTGTCAAATGACAGATTGTTTCTCTTATGGATGAGAAGATTTAGCTTTAAATATCCAAAATAGGTGAGATGTTGCTTGTCAGGTTGGTTGTGGGAACCAAGCAACATTCACTTCCGTCATCGTTTAACACTCTCTCCCTTGTTCATGGTTGATATCTGCACCTACTGTAAATACTGCTTTCTGCTGAGTATTGTGGAGGAAAGTGAATTTCGTCACTTCCCCACTTCAGTATTTTCCCACAAGGGTGGAAGTTAAAATTTTTATTATGGTGTCTCTGGAAACTGAGTCATGTTACTGGACTTCTTTTCTTTTCCTGCTGGTTAGAAATGTTTCACTGCTATCCAAGTAGCTTCTTCAGTCTGAGCAAGTTAGTTGGGGGACCCCATATCTGTCCTTCAGGGTGGTTTCATTCCTCACCTAACCTGAATAGGCTTGTTAGGTGAAGGCAGAGAGTTCTTGGGATGTAAATGTTCCATTTGGAGGGTTACTTCACAACATATGATATGAAGCCCTGTTCTCTTCTGTCTTTCCTTCCATATCTCTGCCCCCTTCCAATTAGGCTCCTAACATTTGGGCTGGGGTCACTTGAATAATAATATTTTAATAATATTTTGATTAATGGATCCTATGCATACAGCATTTAGCAACTCTCTGCAAATATAGAATTACATTCTTGGGGGAATTCACAAGAATGAGGATTTTTAAAGCAGCTTTCTCCAGTTCAGACTGAATTACAACATTGTGTATGATGTGAACCTTATTCCCACACATCTCAAAGGCATACATTTAGAGAAAGCAGATTTATGGAGAGCTGGCATCAAAAGGTGTTTTCATCTAGGTTGTTATACTTCAGCAAACTTTCAAAGTATGTTTCATTATAAAATATTGCTCTCTGTCTTAAAATTCCTACAGTGCCAGAAATCAAATATAATAAACGAGTAGTCCTAAGTAGGGGAAATGCCATTTGTAATGTGGACATTTTTTTTTATTTCACTTCTGCAGGATTTGGATCAGGTACAAAATAGTTGTGCTATTTTGAGAGTTTATCTTACTTTGAGTGATTCACATTATTAACTGGAATGTGTGTTGTTAATCTGGTCTTCTTACCTTCTGTTCTAATTCTCTTGCTTTTTTAAATTTCTGTATCTTCTTTTCTCTTGCCAAGCAAGGCAAAATAGCTTCATCAGCCAAATTACCTCGAAATTCACAAAACATTGGCCAAAATTTAAAGAGAAGTGCAAAAATAGTCATCTGAAGCAGGGAAATAGAAAAGGATGTCTTAAAATGCAGTACTCCACAGAAACAAACACTACTGCAGACAATTAGAATATTTGCCAATGATAAATGCTTCTAATGCATAGCACAAACTCCCAGCATTGTACATATTGCCTTTTAATATTTTATTCCAGACAGGCAGATGCTTCCCATCAAAATGCATTTATGGTTGATGAAAAATTTCTTAAGCCACAGTTTCAAAGCCTTTCCTTAAAAAAATTATAATGTCTTGCATTAATAAAAACATTAACTGGTGAATTGTTTTTAATATGAGGTTTCTAAAACCAACCAAACAAATTACATCAGAACTACTTTTAAATCCAAATTGTTGTCCAGAATATTCAACTTTGACAGATGAATGGTGCCTCTTTTGAAACTTAAGTTTTTGCCTCCAGAAAAGTTCTGAAACAACATTGCAGAACTGGTGAGGTTTTTTGAAGTGATATAATCTCTTTGCAAAAGAGATTATTTCCTTTATATTACTGACACAAAAGAGATATGAAAGTACAGATTGTGCTGGACCAGGGGGTGTCAAACTCATATCGTCATGGCGTTGTCACATGACGTATCATGACTTTTCCCCCCTTTGCTAAATCAGGTGTGGACGTGATGCATCCAGCCTGCAGGCCATCAATTTGACACCCCTGTACTGGATTTATGAACCCAATCAGGACCAGAATTTCCATTGCTAAGAAAGACACTTGTTAAGTGAGTTGTGCCCAATGTTATGATCTTCTTTGCCATAGTTGTTAAGCGAATTACTGCAGTTAAGTGAATCATATGGTTGTTAAATGAATCCAGCTTCCCCCACTGATTCTGATTGTCAGAAATCAACTTGGAAGGTTGCAAATAATGATCACATGACCCTGGGATGCTGCAACCATTATAAATAAATGCAGCCCTGAATTTTGATCACATGGGAAGGTGTGACGGTCGTAAGTGCAAGAACTGGTGGTAAATTTTTTTCCAGTGCTGTTGTAACTTTGAATACCCAGTAAATGAACAGTTGCAAGTTGCGGACTACTTATAAAATCAGAGATTCAAAAATTCATTATATGGATTTCTGGAAAATTAACACTAAATATAGGACATTTGTATATTTATCTTTCTCCTTACTTGCCTAGCATCTGTGTCAGTTGCAACTCTCTCCTGCCCGCCAGGCACAAACTGAGGGGATACAAGGAGAGCCATCACACTTTCCATGATCTCTTCTCTCAAAGGAAGCTCCAATTTTAGTTTTTGAAAGTTAATTTTATTTTCATGCATAAGTCATTAGAACCTCTCAGAAGCTATTTGATGTGGGAAAGGAAAGGAGCCTTGTGTTCAAGAGGACCTCCAGACCAGTGGTGGGTTCCCCCCGTTCGGACCGGTTCACAAGAACCGGTGGTAAAACCAGCAGGAGGCCCCGCCCACTGCCCTGGATGTCGTTATCGGCGATCTGTGCATGCATGTGTGGTGTGCACGTGAACGAAGCGAGCGTGTGCGCACAATCCTGTTGCGAACCAGTAGTAAAAGTAAGTAGAACCCACCCCTGCTCCAGACTATGAGCCAGCATCAGCTGGGAGGCCAAAAAGACTCAGTCTGGCTCCTCCATGGGGTATCAGAGGGACAGGAGCAAAAGCACAATCAGTGTGACAAGATTTTGTTAATATAGCATTAATAAAGTGTATTTCTGGTCATCTTGTGGAGACTAGGTTCTTGTGTTTCAATTAAAGATTAATTGATCTTTAAAAGGTGAAGGATAGTGGAAGGACGCAACACTCAGGTGTGTTTCATGGTGAAATGATGGAAGGATTATTAAAATACATTTTGAAAAATGATTTTACCATCAGTAGTCAACAGTAATTTTTACAAGATACCTTATTTTGTCTATACAGCAAATTGCTGTCATTCACACTTATGCTTATTTTTTAAAGGGGAATTGGAACAGGAGTATATAATTGGATCCAGAAGCACTCTGATTTTTTTTAAAAAAATTAATAAACTGCTCTGTGCACTGATGACATATTTTCAGCACAAATCTAAAATCTCTGTACTTTTGTATGTACATGTGCACATGTGGAGAGAGAGAGAGAAAGTGAGAGTAGAATACCCTATTTTTTTCTTATCAAGAGTTTCTTGGGTATTGCATTGAACAACTCTGAAAGATCATATACTTTTAGAGTTTTCTTAGGAATCACAAGAAACCAAAGTTGGAAGTGGCCCTGAACAATATTTGAATGTGACAAAATCTTATGTAAAGGTAGCCCTTGACGTACGACCAATGGAGCCCAAAGTTTATGTTGTTAAAGGAGACATTTTAAATGAGTTTTGCCCCATTTTACAACCTTGCTTGCCAGTTGTTAAGCAAATCACCACAGCTGTTAAGTTAGCAACATGGTTGTTAAGTGAATCTGGCTTCCCCATTGACTTTGCTTGTCAGAAGGTAGCATAAAGGGATGACATGGCCCTGGGACACTGCAGTCATCATAAATATGAGTCAGTTGCAAGCATCTGAATTTTGATCAGGGGGATGCTGCAAGGGTCATAAGTGTGAAAAGTGGTCATAAATTACTTTTTTCAGTGCTGTTGTAACTTTGAACGGTCATTAAATGAACTGTTGTAAGTCAAGGACTAACTGTACACAGATGGAATCTCTATGCATATCATGGATCCCATTTTTCATTTTTATTTTTAATGCCCTAATATAAAGCTAGAGTATGCCAATACAGATTCTGTAATAGGGACAGCTTTGTGCCCATCACGTTCATTCATAAAAATAATTCTCAATCTACACAAAAGCCTTGGTAGTACAGTGGTTTAAAGCACTCTGTTATTAACACAGCTGCCTGCAATTACTGCAGGTTCGAATCTTACCAGGCTCAAGGTTGACTCAGTCTTCCATCCTTTCTAAGGTAGGTTAAATGAGGACCCAGTTTGTGGGGGCAATAAGCTGACTTTGACATATACAAAAGTATGAAGGCTATTGCGTAACCCATTGTAAGCCGCCCTGAGTCTCCGGAGAAGGGCGGCATATAAATCAAAAAAAAAAAAAAAAGGCATTGGCTACCCACAAGGCTTATTCCTGTACCTGTGCTTCTCTAAACACATATGGGCCTAGCTCTTTCCTGTGTTCAATGATCTTTTGGGCTTGGTCCTGAGGTATGTCAATCTGAAGAGCAGGTGGAATGGCAGAATTAATAAAGCAATTGATAATGGTTGTGATCTTTTCCTGAATAATGGACTCATCGCAGTGAGAATGACACAGGTCCTGAAAATGAAGAAACGAAACATTCAGAGCATATATGCAATTACACAGTCAACATGTAAATCAATTTTCCTCAACCTGATGAGTTCCAGATGTGTTAGGATTGCAACTTTCATAATTCCCAGTCTGTATGGCCAACAGCTGGCGGGAAATTCTGGGAACTGCCATCCCAACATATCTGGAAAGCACCAGGTCAAAGAAAGCTAATGCAAATTATTTAGATAGTGAGCTTGATTTATGTCTAAAATACAGTTCCCTAGCCACTCTTCAGGTTCTATTTCTCAGGCCAACTCACTTTACAAAAATTTCCCAGGGAACCATTTCAGAATCAGAGCTTCATTGTGTGAAAATCTTCTTCAGTCATCATCACCTACTTCAGTTTGGCAAGAATCTGAAGAAGTTCTCAGAAAAAGATCTCAGTAAGTAGGCAAGTTCAAAGTTTCTTTAGGAATCAGATAAAAATTCATGTTAGAAGGGAAGATCTCACTCCTTTTGGACTGCAACCATGTTAAGGACAGAGAGAATAAATTAACTCTCAGAAGATCCTTTAGGGCAGGGGTCTCCAACCTTGGCAACTTTTAAGATTGTGGAATTCAACTCCCAGAATTCCTCAGCTAACAAAGCTTCACTGGTTGAAGAATTCTGGGAGTTGAAGACCACAAGTCTTAAAGTTGCCAAGGTTGGAGATCCCTGCTTTAGGATGCCAATGGCCAATTAGGTGACCTTTAAGATATTGTATGAATTATAACTCTCAGCCCTAAGAAAAATGATAAGCAATGAGGATGATGGCAATGTGTACTTCAGTAACATCCAGTGAGGTGTGGGGTTTTTTTTGTCTATTCATTTCATGTTATTTAGCCATAATGTACCATTAACTATATATTTTGATTCTATGCAAAGCATGTTCTTGTGTTAAATGATAACAAATATTGCAAACTGTGTGTTAGATAGATACATGAATTTGCCACCACTCCAATACACAACTAATGAACTGTTTGAATGTTACACTTAATAGTATCAAGACATCTCTAAGGATGAATTCACACTAGTTTCTCACAACACACACACACACACACTCCTTATCCACCTATTTTTGGGCTCTTCTGCATAGTTAGTTACATTGATCTACTTTTCTCTCTCGTCCTTGAATTCAAAGGAAAACATACTGACCAGAGGTGGGTTTCAGCAGGTTCTGACCAGGTCTGGAGAACCGGTAGGTAGCGGAAATTTTGAGTAGTTCGGAGAACCGGTAGTAAAAATTCTGACTGGCCCCGCCCCCATCTATTCTCTGCCTCCCAAATCCCAGCTGATTGGGAGGGAATGGAGATTTTACAGTATCCTTCCCCTGCCATGCCCACCAAGCTATGCCACGCCCACTAAGCCACACCCACAGAACCGGTAGTAAATAAATTTGAAACCCACCACTGATACGGACATAAATTGCACTGCCTCTTTATGGGGGTTGCCTGAAGGCATTCTAAAGGACCTTAAAGACTTGGGTCTTCTCCCAGGCTTTAGGCTAGGGTAGTTGGAGCCCCTGAGGGGCGTATAGCATCTATTTTAGATATTGACCAGATTCACCATCTGTTTGCAGTTTTAGGTAAATTGTTATTTTTATATTAACTTGCATGTGGACCAGGAGTCAATCTGAATTCAGGCAGCACCTGTACTGAATGAATGAATGAATGAATGAGGGAGGGAGGGAGAAGCACACTTTTCTAACTTTTAAGTGTTTCAGACAGAGAATAAAAATTGCAAATACAAATAATTGGAACTGCTGTCATACTGCATCAGGCATTGTGTAGATACTCCTTGCTTTTAGTTCAGCATCCCAAATGTTAATAGCAGCCATGTTACATAGTAAACAATTTGAATGTGTGCATAAGATTCATTAACTAATGGATAACTTAACAATGAACAATGAACTCAATTTTCTGAGCTTGCACAGCATACTGAAATGTCAACTAAGCACAGAAGATGGCCACACACTCAAGATGCCAGAGGAAAAGCTTATAAATTGCCATACAGTCTGCATAAACAAAGCGGGCAGTTGGAAGGGTAGGCTAGGAGGTCAAGAGCACAGCAAACAGCAGAGAACAAACCAATATTTCATTTTATGCTTAGCAACCATTTCAGTTCTGGTTCAAGGTCTTATCATAGTTTGCCATCACAATGTTGATGCTTTTATAAAATGATAACAAGGCTAAAGCAAATCCTGCAGGGAAGAGGAGTTCAAAGCATGGGAAGGAGGGTTCCAAATCTTCTAGCCACAATTGGGAATTACAGTTTGATATTATGCTCGCACAACTAAGGCCTAGAGCTACAGAATCAGGATTCCTTGCTAGACTGTTGATCTTATTTGGTAAAAGCCACAGTATCCTATCCTGGATTGAATATTGTTGTGTCCTTATATGGGCATCCGCCGGTGGTTGGCTAATCCACCGGCGGGAAGTTTAAATAAATGTCATTGGCCGGCTAGCTTGCCAGAGCTGTATAGAAGGAGGGCTCGGCAGCTCAGCCGGCAGTTCCGCTTGTGCTGAATAAAGTACTGAACGGACCTCTGCTGAGTCATGTCTTCTTTTCCCTGCGCCAATCTAACAAATCTGACAACCACAGTATGGTTAAGTAGCCTAGAGACTGCCATTTAAACTGGGTAGCAGGATCAGACCTGATTATGAAGTGAAGAACTAGCAAGAAATTCTAGAGGTATAATCTAGAGGGACACAGTGGCTCAGTGTGTAAGATGCTGAGCTTGTCGATCGAAAAGTCGGCGGTTCAGCGGTTCGAATCCCTAGTGCCATGTAAAGGGGTGATCTCCCGTTACTTGTCCCAGCTTCTGCCAACCTAGCAGTTCGAAAGCACGTAAAAAATGCAAGTAGAAAAATAGGGACCACCTTTGGTGGGAAGGCAACCGTGCCTTCCGTGCCACATGACCACGGAAACGTCTTCAGACAGCGCTGACTCTTCGGCTTTGAAACAGAGATGAGCACCACCCCCTAGAGTCGGGAACGACTAGCACATATGTGCGAGGGGAACCTTTACCTTTACCTTTAAACTAGACAAAGGGGAAGGAATGGGATATTTGAGAAAAAGGTATTTGGTCATCAAGGTTGTATTTCAGTATTTAGCTAAGTAATAGGAGAAGTCTCAAAGAGTCCTGGAGTTAGTATCTTTAGATTACCTATTCTGAAATGGTTCCAAAGTAATACCATAGTTCTAGACATAAATGTCCTGGTTGCTGAGTAACTGCATTATTTCCATTTCTTAAATGCTGTACCTTATATTTCTGTACCTCCTGCCAGAAAATCACTCCATTCCCCAATAAATCTCCTTTCAGGGACACAAAGTGTTGAAACTGAAGAGCTGTGATGGGATTCATCAGAGCTTTACGGAAAGTAATGATTTCCTGAGACAAAAGCACCCAATTCTTCTTATGCTGTTGAAAGGAGGGATGGAGAAAAGAAAGCACACATTTTATACAACGGCAATAACACAAGCATTACTAGGGCAAGCTGTCTGATGCTTATCTCTGCATTGACCCCAATGTTCAGTAGTTCACTGCATAGACGCAGTAGAATTTGGCAGCCACTGTCTGTCTCCCACTCTTTTGTTTGATTTGGGCATAGTTTCTCTGGAAGGGACAACGGGAAAAAGGAAATGACTAATAATGATTTAGAACATATGACTGTGCTGTAAGGTATGAGTTATGAATAGAAAGGGGAAAAGTTTGAAATTGTTTAGAAACATGCAAGAGTAATCACAGATCGTGAAAGGTGCAAGTTTAAAACTGCCCTGCCCTTGACATCTTGTAGACAAAAGCCACTCTAATCAATTGCCATGAACCCAGACAGACGCTGAAAGTTTGTTGTTTCACTGAATGAATGCCACCAAGACATTTGTGGGTCTTCACATCAAGAAAAGGGGAGCATGGAGGACAAGTATGGAGGAATAGGCAGACTAAAAAGAAACCGAAAGAAACCAAAGACGATTAAAAATCTAAATACCACTGCAGAACCTACCAGCACAGTGAAAGGAGTCATTTTTAAATGACACAAGACAGGGCTAAAATTCAAAATTTTTCCCTACCGGTTCTGTGGGCGTGGCTTGGTGGGCGTGGCAGGGGAAGGATACTGCAAAATCTCCATTCCCACCCCACTCCTGGGGGAAGGATATTGCAAAATCTCCATTCCCACCCCACTCTGGGGCCAGCCAGAGGTGGTATTTGCCGGTTCTCCGAACTACTCAAAATTTCTGCTACCGGTTCTCCAGAACCTGTTGAATTTCATCCCTGACACAGGAGATCAGGCAATAATTTGTAAAACAAATTTGAAACATGACATCTCATACATTTCTCCTACCTTCTTCCAAGATTTTTGAGAGACATATTTAAAAAGGAAAGACACCATTAGGAGTAGAAAAAAATCTCTTGAAGAGATTCCCTGCACACAAGATGCCCCTCCTGAACTATCCCTCAGTCCTGCCTTCCTATTTAACCTGCCTGTATTCCCTGGTCCTGCCAAAAGAAACAACTACAGGGAGAAAAACAAAACAAAACAAAAACATTAGTGCCAAGTCCTTGGTGCTCCCTGAGCTGGGTTGTTTCTTTGCAGACATTTCATGACCAAACTAGGTAATGTCATCAGTGCAGGTAATCCTCAATCCAACAGTTCGTTTAGTGAATGTTCAAAATTACAACAGTACTGAAAAAAGTGACTTCTGACCATTTTTCACACTTACAACCATTCAAGGTCATATGATCAAAATTCAGACACTTGGCAACTGACTCATATTTATGACGGTTGCAGAATCCCAGGGTCATGTGATCCCCTTTTGCAACCTTCTGACAAGCAAAGTCAATAGGGAAGCCAGATTCACTTAACAGCCATCTTACTGACTTAACAACTGCAGGGGTTCACTTAACAACTGAGGCAAGAAAGGTCATAAAAAGGGGCCAAATTCACAACTGAGCCCAAAATTTATGTTGCTAAATGAGACATTTGTTGAGTGAGTTTTGCCCCATTTTACAACCTTTCTTGCCACAGTTGTTAAGTGAATAACAGTTGTTAAGTGAATTACATGTGAAGTGAATCTGGCTTACCCAGTGGTGGGATTCAGCCAGTTCGCACCACTTCGGGAAAACCAGTTGTTAACTTTCTGAGCAGTTTGGTGAACTGGTTGTTGGAAGAAATCATTAGGGCAGAGAACCGGTTGTTAAATTATTTGAATCCCACCACTGGGTTTACCCATTGACAAAAGGTGATCACATGATCCCAGGACACTGCAACCGTCATAAATGTGAATCAGTTGCCAACTATCTGAATTCTGATCACGTGGGGATGCTACAACGGTGGTAAGTGTGAATAATGATCATAAGTCACTTTTTCAGTGGTGTTGTAACTTTGAATAGTCACTAAATGAACTGTTGTAAGTCGAGAGCTACCTATAGAAGCTAAATCAAAAAGAAAAGTCCTCCAACCTCCAAGATATATAAAGAGTTTGCTGTTCTTTTGAGATAGAAAAAAAACTTTGATGATTAAAAAGAGAGAGGATACAGACTATTATAAGATATGGGGGAAATTTTATGATTGGTTAAAAAAAAGATATAAAGATTGTGATAATTAAATAAGGAGAATGTTATATTAAATGTATTGTAATTTGGGGAAAATATTGCAACAGAGAAATGGACACTATCAAGGAGAAATGAAGATAGGAGGAGTAAAGAAAGAAGAAGTCACGGAAGAAACACCGAGAAGACACACGGAAGGATTGATGTATTATGTGTTTGTTTGTTTAAAAAAAAAAAACTTTTATAAATAAAAAGAGATAGGAAAAAAAGGAAAAGGCCAGAACTGGTCTGATATATGTCATGTCACAAGGCTTTAAGTCATTTAACAAATCAATACGATCATCATGTGAGAACATAGCTATAAGTAAAACAGACTCCATGAGTCATGATTAATCCTGCTCACTGTGCTGTATATTTCATATTTTTTAATGTGCATTTAATCACTCTCAATAATAAATTATCTTCCAGTTGGTAAAAACCAATATTTTGTTCCAGAAAGAAAACATACTTTCTACATTAAATTAAAGTGTAAAGCCATGGCAAGCAATTAAAAGTAAAATATAAAAGCTTGCATCTTTATACAGGTATTGTTCATACATTTGTTAATTGCACTTGTAGCCACAGAAATCAAAAACAAACTTTTTTTAAAAAAAAAGACCATTTAGATTTCTTTTTTTTTTTAAGTTTCTGACTCCAATTGTATCAATTCGAACAGAGACTGTGGCATTTGCATTAACTTAATTTTCTTAATTTGACAATACGAGCCAATGCTACCGATGTAGCATCATGAATGCAATACTGAAATGACTGTTCTTACCTAACACCAGCTAGGCTTACTCTCCTGTTTATGTAAAGACTGCATGGTTTAGAGCAGGGGTGTCAAACTCGATTTCATTGAGGGCCGCATCAGGGTTGTATTTAACATCGGCGGGGGTGGGGGGGCCATGGCCAGAGTGGGCGTGGCCAGCTCAATGTCACTGGTGTCGGGGGGGCCTGTGGTGGCCCCGAGCATTCTGCCAGAGAAAACAGGTTCCTGAGCTCCATTTTTGGCTGTGACAGCCTCCTGCAACCCTCTGCCAGCGAAAACGGACCTCTGTTTTCGATGGCAGAGGCACTGCGGGCCAGTCCTTTGCTGTTTCCAGGGCAGCCCTGCAGGTCAGATCTAAGCACCCCATGGGTAGCCTCCGGGCTTTGAGTTTGACACCCCTGGTTTAGAGGACGATGAGTCCATATTACACAGACCCAAGTAGAAACAAATACAGCTTGCCTTCCACGGTGCTTCTTTCCTTTCCTGTTCCTGAATTAAAATGTCTTCCGCTGCCTCTTCCATATGTAGCTGAAAGCAAACACGACAAAACAGCTTATTGATTACTTGCATGAATATTAATACCGATGCTGAGGGTGTCCTCGTTCCTTGAAGGATATCCTAACTCTGGTCAATATTGATTAGGCTTCCTTTAAAGAACGAAATTATATTTTCTTCAATCTGGACGGTCAAAAATAAAATACATTGGCTATCTTAAAATTTGAAGCTAAGGAGGAAAAGGCATCCTGATTACTTCCTGAAATAGCATGGGCCTGAATGGACCACTGCTGAAAGAGAACAGCTGCCCTTAGATATACTAATACATTTTCCCCTAACTATTATTTCCCCTAGTCAGGAAAGTAACCTGATACACTGAATAAACTTTGAAGAAATGAAAAAGAACAGAAAACAAAGCCAGGCTTAATCTCCCAACTCCACACTCATAAAATCAGTGAAGTGAGGACTCTGCAGATTCAACAATTTTTCTCTTTGGAGGGGTACCAACTTAAAAGCCCCTTTCTCATCCAGTAGATTCATTGCACCATAGAGCCAATAATTCTTTCCTACACTGAATGAAAGGCCTGGCTGATAGCCAGACAAGGACTCCATCTATTTTACTATCGTGCAGAAGAAAGGATCAATACAGTTCTTGATAGAAGGCAGTGCCGTAGGTGGGAGGATGAGCAACAGCTGCAGTGTGAGAAAAAGACAGGCTGAGCATGAAGGAGCCCAGCCTCTTGTCTTCAGAACCTGCATTATTCTGTGAGCTTCCACATGGACTGAATTGCATTTGTGTCTCAGTGAGGGAGGGACTGTGGATGATGGAAAGAATCTTGCAATGATCAAGGTCTCTACCTCCCGCCAGCAAACTCTGGAATGCTTGCCAGATGTAGAGGCCCAACTTTCATTTTCAGTGGCTTAGAAGAATATCTACTAAGGAATCCATTAGAAGCAAAACTGCCTACCAAGTCATCTGTACTCTCTTGCATGTTTCTTATGATCATTGATTTTCAGATAATCAAGCACTCTGAAGTATTCACCATTCAAACTACATGTCACTAGAATGCCATATAAATTATTAAAATACTACCTTTGGTGTTTTCCACTTTCCAGAGTCTTTGCGGGTATAAAACAGCGGCAACCACTTATTCTCTAATCTCTTCTGGGCGTACTTTTGAACATCTAACAAGATTACGGGAGAAACTAGTTCATGAAGTACTTGCCCCCAGCCTCCATGTGACTTCATTACCTAGTAAAGACATCCAGGGGACCACAAAATGTTTGAGAGTAAAGCAAAGTCAAGGCAAAACAAGTGAGGAAAATCCAAAATTCATTTACAATTGATTGATTAATATTTGAGGCAGGCCTTCACAGGGTGGCTTTCGGGGGAAAAAATTAAAAATTCCAATTAAAGTAAAACTTAGATCATTAAAACAATAAAGCAATTATTTTTAAAACAGCGAAATAATAAAACAGATACACTTAGGGAACTTAGATAAACAAATATTTGTTGAGCTCCTTCCTAAATGGTAACGAAGAGGGGGATTGCTTCCCCTTTTCATGCAGAAAGCAACATTAACCAGAGATGCTCAATGTATCCAGAAGTATAGAGGGGATGTTTAGGAAGGGCAGTCCTGTAAATAGTTTGGTCCTAAACTATACATGATTTTATCCATCATATGGTCTTTATTTTATAGCCCAGTGTGTTTTGAATTAAAGAAGTCCTTCTTCAGAGCTACTGTGTCTATAAATCAACTTCAGCTTTTTAAGGGAAAGAATTTCCACTGTAATAGAGTCTTCATACAATCCCTTAATTACTTTCTATTATATACAGATAAAGGAATGTGAACTCCTTACTAGGTAATCTGTCAAATCTAGGGCAACATTTGCATCTGTTGTCTTCCTTATAAGTTGGTCTACCCCAGCCATCATGCCAGGGACACCTAAGCCATGCTGAATGTAAATGATGGAGGCCGTAATCCAACTCAGTGTAGGAAAGATAGTATAAGCATAGTTTCCATCTCCATGGAAAACAGCTATTTCCATCTATAACTGAAATGAACATAACCTACATTGATAAAATGCACGGGTGTCTAAAATTGTCATCTAAAATAATTATTTTGTTAATATTATGTATAAGAAGATCAGGGGCGAAATGCTCCCGGTTCGGACCGGATCGCCCAATCCAGTAGCGATGGTGGTGGGTGGTTCGGAGAACCGGTAGCAGAAATCCCTGCCCCCCCCTATGCCCAGCTGAGCCGCGCGATCATCAGAGGCTTTTTTTTAACTTTTAAAAGCATTTTTTCTACACATGCTTTTAAAAGTTAAAAAAAATGTTGGCCATGCCCACCCAGTCACATACCCCCCCCACCAAGCCACGCCCACAGAACCGGTAGTAACAAATTTTACATTTCACCACTGAAGAAGATACTCAAAAGGTAAACTTGGGCAGGAATTATACTGTATATGTCTGAGATATTTGAACTTTGGTTACTGTCCTACAATATTTCAGCATTTCCCCCCTCAGATCTTCTTTATTCTTAGTGATCTCTGATTCTAAAATACATTATGAGACCTGATTTCTTCCAAAACAACAAAAGTAACTTATTAAGTTTATATGCCACCCAGGTCCTAATGACTCCCAAAGGCAAAGTACTGTAAGATGATTTTACTAAATCAACTCATTTATGCACATTTACTGTATTTCCAAAGCATAGACATATATAACTCCAGGCCGACATACTAGCTAATATTAAACACATTTAATAAGAAAAATATGTTAATTTCAGCAATCTTAAAATAGGGGTGAAATTCTCTAATTTTAGAACCATTCAGTAATTTGAGGCACTTTTTTCTTTCTTGCCAAGAATGAAATATTTCTCACCATGCAATATAACAGATTATATTTTGAATGCAACTGTAACTAAAGGAGACCTTTAGAGTAATCAAGAGCCATCAACACCCTTTCACAATTTCAGAGTGAAAAGTTCTTTGCTTGCTTAGTCATTAGACCATGCCAAGGGAAAAACTACCAGATCCTGAGCCCCCACAATGAAGGAAAATTTGGATATTCTTTTAAATATTAATTTGCGTAATGTATGTTTTATATGCATATTCATGTTTATAACATTTGGAACTATGTGTATATTCATTTGCTAAACATTTTAATCTCTTGGCTGCAAAAACCTCAGCTTATATCTTTGGTTTTCCAATATTCATCTAAATATCTAATATTTTAAAGTAATGTGTAATCCTTTTTCTCATCATTTTTATCTAAGTCTTAACACATATTCCTCTACAAGTATAAGTGAATTATCAGGTCAAATCTCTTCCCTTTTTAAATATGTAAATTTTAACCTGTTTTTAAATTATTGGGGTATTTTAATTTGTCTGGGCCAAAAAGTTTAATTTGATTTTATCGGGTTTTTAAATTTTGTGTATTTATGTATTTTATTGTTGGCTGTTCACCGCCCTGAGTCCTTCGGGAGTAGGGCGGTATACAAATCAAATAAACTATATAGGATAATCACTGTTGCAGGAAACACATTTAAATATGCATCCAACTTTCCTATAGAAGTCCATTAGAAGTATTTATTGAAAACAGGGACCATGCTATCTACTGAAGGAAACTGTTCAACATTATTAATCTTCTAAGAAGGCTTCTGAGAAGTCCACATTAGCCAGTGTCTACGGAGATTCTCAATTATCCAAGTCATGGTTGTTCCAAAAGTGCTTTTTCCAAAAGGCAACTGGATTTTCTTGGTGTTTTTTAAAAAATGTTTCACTTCTCATCTAAGAAGCTTCTTCAGTTTAATTCAGTTCTTCTTCAGCACTGAAGAAGCTTCTTGGATGAGAAGTGAAACATTTTCAATCCCCCTCCCGGAAGAAAGTCCAGTTGCCTTTTGGAAAAAGCACATTTGGGACATGCATACATTTTAAGTCAGTAGTGGAATTCAATTTTTTTTTTTGCTACTGGTTCTGTGGGCGTGGCTTGGTGGGCGTGGTGTGATGTGGTAGGCATGGTTTGGTGGGTGTGGCAGGGGAAGGATACTGCAAAATCTCCATTCTCATCCCACTCCAGGGGAAGGATGCTGCAAAATCCCCATTCCCTCCACACTCTGGGACCAGCCAGAGGTGGTATTTGCCGGTTCTCTGAACTACTCAAAATTTCTGCTATCGGTTCTCCAGAACCTGTCAGAACCTGCTGAAGAGCACCCCTGATTTAAGTCTTAAGATGAGCTACCATATCAAGAGAGGCTCAGATTATCCTATTTTGGATACGTTATGTAAAGATCTAACTGTTTGGAGAAGACTGTAATGCTGGGAAAGGTGGAAGGAAAGAGAAGGGGATGACCAGCAGCAAGTTGGATGGGCTCAATTACAGTGCTGATACAGTGCTGAAAGAGTAAGTTAGGGACAGATTGTCACAGGAAATTGATCTACATGGTTGCTATGAGTCAACAACAACTTGATGGCACAATAGCTGAAATCATCAAATACTTATTCTGCTGCCATCTAGTGGTCATCTGGATTTTGCAACCCAAATTATAGTAGTTTTACTCTAGGAAACTTTCATTTATATGGAAGAATAGGTACCTTTCCAATCCACTTAATCTGTAAGGCTGTCATTCCCTGCTTCTGTGGGGCTGCATTTTGAAAAAAAAAAAAACTTCTACATAGAAGCCTGGTTTTATTTAAAGGGCATCAGATCAAACTAAAACACAATGCATGTTGGCCACCAGGAAAAATATAGCTTAGTACTAAGCACACAACTCAGCAATCATAAAATGTGAAAATGAACGGAACCAGCACCATCTTCTGCTAACATTTTAAATGCAGCCAGTTACCTGCTCTTGTTCTTCTTTTGTAGCTGGGCTGTCAGGTCCTAAGAAATATTTCTTGTTTAAATATTTCTTTTTAATGTCCTTAGATTTTTCCTCTCGTTGTACTTTATTTTTGTGTAACATTCTTCTGAACTGCTCAATGTCTATCCAGCACAGGAGGTCCGCGCTACAAAAGAAACAATATGTTTTTATCCAGTGATGGGATTCAAATAATTTAACAACTGGTTCTCTGCCCTAATGATTGGCTGGATGGGTGTGGCCATGGTGGGTGTGGCCAAGGGGTGTGACAGGCCTCCTGCACCCCCCTGGGAGCAAAAATAGGCTGCGGGGGCACTGCCCCCCTTGTGCTTCATTTTAGGTCTAGTAGGCCTCTGTGCAGCATCCTGGGAGCAAAAGTGGGCCGCGGGGGAACTTCTGGAAGGGGAGGGGCAGGAAGGGGAGGGGCCAGTCAGCAATTTAACAACTGATTCCGCCAAAGTGGTATGAACCAGCTGAATTTCACCACTGTTTTATCACAGCATCATAAATATTACTTCGCACCAAGGATGGGCAAGATAGGAGGAGATGGTCACTATCTACCCAGTGGTGGGTTGCTCCCTGTTCATGCAAACCGGTAGCGGCAGTGGCAGGAGGCTCCACCCACCCGCCTGGACGTCATCAAAAATGCTCTGTGCATCCGTAGAAGTGCCATGCGCTCGCTTAGCAAGCAAGCGCAACCATGCGCTCCCAATAGTGAACCTGTAGTAAAGAAAATTGAAACCCACTACAGCATCTACCATCTACTGACATCACTAGAAAGGGCAGATCCTCCCCCCCTTTTTTGTGTGTGTGTTTTTACTGTTTTAGGCTGAAGATGAAAACAAGTACAGGAGGCCTCTAGCAAACAAATTGTTCCTATCCTCACCTTAAATTACCCCATCCCCATCCTCTGAAATCCCCATTCTCCTAATGGTGGGTTCTATTCTTATTCATAATTCTTCAGGCATACATCCAAATGAAATTCTATAATCTGAATAAACATGGATAGAATGGCACTGAGTAATTGTATGCAGCAGGCACTTTGCCACTCAGAACAAGTAATTCTTCCACATACTTACAGGAGCCATGAAGATTGACAAAGGTGAATTGGCAACCTCCACAAGCTCTCTAATAGGATAGATAACTGGAATGGTGGGTTTCTACTGGTTCGCCCCAGTTCCCCAGGTAGCGGCGGTGGCGGAGGCTCTGCCCACCCACCTGGACGTCATCACAGACACTCTTCGCATGTGCAGAAGCGCCACACATGAGCAAAGCAAGCACGCACATGCACTCACAGTTCCAAACTGGTAGCGAAGGTAAGTGAAAACCACTACTGGATTACTTGTGATGTCAGCAGCTTCTACGAACTTGTCCACGTTTTCAAATTTATGGTATTATATAAAATGAAAGGAAATCCCCATGTAAACTACCTGGAATTCTTGGAGGAAAGGCGGGTATACAAAGCTAACAAATACATAAAATAAAAAATAAAACGGAAGTTGACCTCTACTGTCTGTGGATGCATCTATGTATCCTTGGCAATAACGTGGAAGAAATTTGTCACAACTTCCACAGGGACGATTTTCAACTCTCTGGTCCAACTATTTATCCTGGGTTTCCTGTTTCGCTTCCAAACCTGGGTAAGGTCTACCACCGACTGTTTTGCTGCCACGTATTGAGGGGAGTGGAATTATAGAGAATAAAAAACAGCAGGGACAGCATTTTCCTGATTTTTGCTGAACTCTTAAAAATGTAGGAGCAGGGTAGCTGATTCTTGGATGAGTGACTAGGAGGAAAATCCAGGAGAACTATAAGTTAGAGTGGGGAATTGCAAAATACCCTGCAAGAAGCCAATAACAAATCACTTGTATATTGTGGGCAATAAATGTAATTGAGTTGACGCTGATTTAATTGCAACAACAGATGTAAAATTATTACTATGGCAATTACATTTCCTAAATGGAAACCGACTGCTTATAGCCACAACTGCAGTGAGTACACTGGACTACAATTGCCCATAAGACCCAAAAGTCTTGCTTCCTTTATGTTTCTACACTGCATGCTGGAAAGAGGACATGGTTCGTACGTAGTACAAAAAGCAGAGATTTCTTTCTTTGAAAATAATTGGCTCATTTACACGCTCCATTTACTATTCCAACTAAATTCAGGTTTTAAAACTCTTTAATTCAGCCCAAGTAAGTTAAGCTTGGAAACTACTTTATCTAATCTATAAAACGTCATGTGCCTTAATTGCACACATGTTACAGCTTTGTGAAACTTTGATTCACAGATTTGGTTCAGCATATCTCTAAATTGAGCCAACTTTCCTACTGCTTTAGAAAATGGAATCAAACGGTCAGATCTGACGAGAAAGGATTGGGAAAACCAAGTCAAAAACAATTGAAATGTTATGTTTAATTGTGGTTTTTTCCCCAAACTGATTTGAATTGTTAAATTGAATTAAATTGCTATTTCTAAGTGAATCACTAATTCAAATTGAGCAAGAATCAATTTCTACACCCTAATAAACATCACTGCTAGACTGATCTTATTGCAGAGGCCCTTCAAAACAAAACAAGGTTGAGAAACACTGACCTAGATTGCTATAACAAACCTCCTGGCTTAAGTAGGCTTTGCACCTGTAGCACACTAAATGACACCTTTCCAGAATTGTAAAATCTCATTAAAAGAGAAACATTTTGCATTGAATGCTGCATGTGTGAGATAATAAAATTTCATACATTAACCTAACTTGCCTTATTTTCCTCTTTATACTTTGGTACTGGACAAATGAACTAGAAGAAAGTATATCTGCAGATATGGATATTGTATCCTTAATCAGTGGATGGAAATGACAAGAATAGAAACTGGAATATAATGGAAGTTCAAAATGTGCCTGGAGCCAAAACATTTTTTTAAAGATGAAATTTGGAGTGAGGTATATATGAATCCTTGGCATGCATACCAGGGGTAGGTTCTACTTACCTTTACTACTGGTTTGCAACGAGATTGCACGCACGTGCTCGCTTCACTCACGTGTGTGCCAAGCTTCTGCGCATGCACAGATCACCTATGATGACATGCGGGGTGGTGGGCGGAGCCTCCCACTGGTTTTACTACCGGTTCTTGCGAACCGGTCCGAACCGGGGGCCACCCACCACTGATTCATACACATCTTATTTTTATTTTATTTTTATTTTATTTATCGAATTTCTATACCGCCCTACTCCCGAAGGACTCAGGGCGGTGTACAGCCATGAAATAAAACACATAAATATACAAAATTTAAAATCGAATAAAATGAATTAAATAAATTTGGCTGAATATTCTTTAAAGACACTAGCTGTTCAAAATCCACCAAGCGGTGAAGTCTTGCTATTTCATCGTCATACCAATGAAGTAAGATATAGAAATTATAAACATTACTAGGGAAATTGGAGTTCACAATAGGGCCACTCGATAACAGGAGAAATACCTTGCTGATTGCTCCTCAAGAAAGATACGGAATTGTTCCAAATCTATCCTGTTGTTAAGCAATTTCATAATGGAGTATGATTTGAAACCCTCAGGATAGTCTTGTTCAACAGAATCTACAAGTTGAATAGACTCAGACTTCCGGAGAACTTCTTCAACTGCCAAAGCCTAAGGAAAAAGTTGTACAGGATAATGCTCGTATTTCCTGGTTTCTTAGCCCATGAAGATATGTATTTCTTCTTTGTTTTATGCAGTTTCATTGTATTTCAGGATCAAAGATTAAAGGACACCTCTGCCCATCCAGATCTATGACTGGGTGCATATTTGATTAAAGATAATATCTGTATCATCTCTTGTCACTAATAAATGGCTTTATGTAGGAGTGACAGCTGACTACAAAAACTAGGGTTGTGTGGATATCTATATAAGAGAAAAGAACAAAAAAGTTATCTATTCCTTTTTTGTATCATCATCTTTCCTAATATAACATTGGCACCATGACAATTGCTGGCATTTTAAAGGCTCAAGAGAAGATAATGTATTGTTTCTCTCAACACAATATACGAATCCAGGACACCATAGCAGATATAGCCAGAAAATGGGGACATGACTTCTAGAAGATGATCTGCATATTGCACATATGTTGTCTATAGCACTATTTCAGAGCCAAATTGTTGCTTTGAAAATGGGCCATTTTGTAACATCATGCTTTCAAAGCACTTTTCTTAAAGGAGACTGGTATGTTCTATTCCATTGCCCTCCCACCAATGGGCTTCTTTGGTTACATTTGCTGGGAATTATGAGGGTTGAAGTTCAACACATTGAGAATTTCCAGAAGTCTGCCTTAGGATATGATTTAACAGTATAACTATTTCCTTATTGCTAGAGAAAGGAGAAAGCTATGTCTTTTTATGATAAAAATACTATTATACTATACTACTATTCAGGAATATCCCCAGCATGTGTTTTATGGTCTATTGTATGAAATATTATTCACTGGTTGATGCTATATCAGTGTATCTGTGAGAAAGAGCAATGAATGTAGCATTTTGGCTATACAACTAAGATGAGAATAAAATCTAGTGAGATCTACAATTCATTTCTCACAGTACTTTTAATATAAAGCTGGAGGATTTTGCTTTTGGGGTGAGTCGCCAACTGCTTATAATTAATATTAATTCCCCCAAGTTCATAGAAAGAAAACAATACTCATTTGCATTTGATAATCAGATAAAATTCCCCCTGTATTGAAGTTGTATGTTTATTGTCCCATATTCTTCCCTCTATCTTATCAATTAGTAGTAACAGCATTAGTAGCAGAGGTGGTATCCAACTGGTTCTGACCAGTTCGCTCGAACCGGTAGCGGAAATCGCAGGTGGGCCCGCCCCCCCCCCCCCCCCCGGCTCTATGCTATCCTATTTAGGCACTTTTTTTAGGCCGGGCACATGCATGAAAGGCAGGTGCACATACAAACCGTGCATGTGCACGAAGCGAACATGCGCGTGGCGAACCAGTAGTAACATAATCCAAAAACCACTGCTGATTAGTAGTATTAATAGCAATAGGATGAATATTGTTCATTTGCACAGCAAGCCTTTTCTCATGACACACTATAATATTGAAGCCATGCAGCAATTGGCTGGTATGGAGTAAATGTTTGCAGATTGAATGTTTTTAACGTAGAACTGCACTGTGTAAAGACTTCATAGGTTTCTCAAGAGACAGATTTGCTGCCACAGAGAAGCACACAGGGTTAAGCGCTCAATATGAGGCAAGAATAAGGATGTTGTTTTTGTTAATAGGTGCTTGCCTTTACCTCATCCTTCTTGGAAATGTCCTCTGCATGCAAAGCCTTCAGCTTTTTAAAGTACACCGAGTCCAGCTGTCGAATTTCTTCCACCAGCTCCACCTAATAAAATAATAACTTCTGTCATCCACCCAGGACACTTTACAGAAAGAAAGATGAAGGGGTAGGAGAGGAAAGCTGCCAATGACAGTGGGTAGAAAAGAACCACACTTGCCAGGAACAAGACAGATGTTGAGGAAACATATCTCTGCATGTTGCATTTCCCTCAGACCAGATGATTCAAGGAGAATATTTGCTGAAACAGCTAAAGCCACAAATATTGTGTGCATCCATTTGGCCCCTCCAGAATCAAGAAAGACTTGTGGAGTTGCTTCTGGGAAGTTTCCTTTATTGCTCCTTATCTACCGTGTGTCAGAGTTTCAAGTAACGGGCCAAACAGAATCAAAATTCCAAGACAGGTGAGTTCCTCAAAGAATAGATTTATTAGGCACATCATATTGGCACATCTGGGGAAACCCAACTCTGAACCTCCCTCGGGTTTTCCCCTAATTCAAAGTAAAGTTTTTCCTCCCCTGCCCAGGCAGTCCATCACATGGTCCAATCAAGTCACAGTCCACGGGTCACTCTGTCTCAGACCTCAACTCCTTGCACCTGATGGAAAAACTCTTGGTTCTCAGGAGAAAGAATTTTATTATGGCTAAAATCCCCTAGTTATCTCTTCCTCCCCCTTCCCGTTCCCACAGCTCAACTTTCTTCACTGTGGCAGCCCTGAATGCCAAGAGGGAAAATGGCTCCAAGGCTGACACCATGTATCCCCGAAAATAAGACCTGGTCTTATTTTCTTTTGGGCCCCAAAATAAGCACCAAGTCTTATTTTCGGGGGATGTCTTATCCACTTACCTTAGGACCACCACAGCCAGGCCTCACACACCCTGACACCTGTCGCGCTGCTGCCTGACTTCTTCTGTGGCTGCTCACGGCCACTCGTGGTCAGATGCCGCATGGCTCATCACACTGGTGTCGCCACGCATGGCAGCAGGCCACGTGGTGTGTTATGCCATTGCATGTGCGAGTGGCAGCACCGGTGTGACATGCCACACAGCATCCTGCCACAAGCGGAGCACTGGTGCAATGCGTCATGTGGTGTCCAGCCATGAGCGGCCACAAGCAGGAGCAGAAGAAGTCAGCCAGCGGTGGGACAGGTGTTGGGCTGTTGGAGGCCTGGCTGTGGCAGTCCTAAGGTAAGCGTGTGCGGGGTGTGTGAGGCAGCTCCACCCCCCCACCCTAGCTTGATTTTTACACATGCACCTCGCCCCACCTCGTACAACCAGATGGTGAGGGGGCTTAACTAGGGCTTGTTTTTCGGGTAGGGTTTATATTAGGCGTAAAAATCGGGCTAGGGCTTGTTTTTGGCATAGGTCATATTTTTGGGGAAACACGGTATAGACAGAAATCTTGACATATTAAAGTAACTAGTTGCATCACTGTAGATATATTCTGGGAATTGTTAAGGAGCAGCTGTTTTACCGAATTTCTCCAGACAAAACATTCCATACTTTGCCCTCTGGAATGCAGCCCCTCCCTCCTGGGAATCCAGACTACATTCCACCACAGAATCTCAGGGAGAAATATCCTCTCGTTTTCAAAGAAAACTGTGACAAAGTCACTAGTGGTGTGTGCATGCTAATTGATACGTTTGATTTGTTTTGTTTTTTGTTTTGCATGAAAAACAAAATTCAACATAAACTCACCAGGTTATTTAATATGGACTAACAAGTGCATTTATTTATTTCTTTGTTATAAAAAATATGCTAAAAGCACTAAAAAGAACGTTGCTTCTTCTGATAGTGAATGGATAGTGCTTATTGGGACTACAGGCAAATAATCTTTACTGGAACATTAACAAGTTTTTGTATTATTTGTAAGCTACCTTGGTAGGATTCGAATCCAGAAATTTGAATTGCAAATAATGTTGATAAATAATAAACAAATAAAACAGGAGCACCAAAATATAGCATAGGTATCAGCATGTTGGGGAAAATGCTAAGGTCTGTTCAATTACAAAGGAAATCCTACAAGCTTAAGGAGGAAAAACTTAACTAAAACTAAAAACGTAACAAGAAAAAATTCAAAACAAAGCATTATGCTCAACAGCCATAGAATTGGAAAAGAAAAATAGGAGAATAGATTATTAACTTGGACAGAAAGGCTGACTGATCTCTAAACGGGAACATTCTGCAACATTTACCAAAACTTAACATTCAAATGGTTGTAATTAAGTAATTGAAAAATAATTTTTGTCTTTAAAACTGCTATTCTTGCTGGCAAAAAGGAAGAAGTAATTGCTAATATCACCTCCTTTGAACTGCTGTTGGGAAAAAGCATCCTAAATACTTTATTCGAAATACAAGCTGAAGAGTATAAAGGTAGCTGGTAATATTGTTTTATTTTGCAGAACTATGTGCCTATAAATGACCGTGTATCACTTTGTTTTGTTTAATTGGCATAGCAATAAACCTTCAGTTAAAAATTGCCGACGGCAGTCTTTTTACATTTCAGCAAAGAATTTGGGAAGAATATGGGAGAATGAAAAATGCGGACTGTTTCCCTAATGATGGTAGGAATGGAGTAAAGTCAAACAAAGGAGATGCTGAAACGGAGGTTAGGTCATAGTTAGGAAGATTAAGACAGGCTTCATATGGAAGGATTATATACATGGTGGAGCAAATACTAACATTTAATAGCTTCAATCTTAATATTTATAATATTATAATTATGTGAGTATTATTAATGTAACTAGTATTATCAATATTACCACTATTATTATGTATCAAAACTAACGATACCCAGATGCCACACTGTTCATGTATTTAATAACTATGTATATTTAAAAATAAAAAAGTATATACTGTATTTTTTGGACTATAAGACACACTGGTGTATAAGACGCACCAAGATTTTGAAGAGGTAAGTAAGGAAAAAAAGTTTTTGCCCTCCCCGGCCCCCAGGAGCACTCTGCAGGTCTCCCAAACCCTCTGTGTGTCCCATTTTTTGCAAAAACAGGCTCATTTTTTGCCCGTTTTTGCAAAAAACGGGGCATGCAGAGGGTTTGGGAGGCTTGCAGAGTGCTCTTGGGGACCTGGGAGGGCAAAAACGCCCCTGTTTTTGCAAAAAACAGGCCCTTTTTCGCAAAAACAGGGGCGTTTTTGCCCCTCCCCAGTCCCCAGGAGCACTCTGCAGGCCTCCCAAACTCTCTGCATATCCTGTTTTTGCGAAAAACGGGCCCATTTTTCACAAAAATGGGATCAGCAGGATGGGGGTTTGGGAGGCCAAAAATGGCTGTATTCGGTGTATAAGACGCACCAACATTTTCACCCTCTTTTAGATGGGGAAAAGTGTGTCTTATACTCCGATAAATATGGTATATATATATATATATATATAAAAAAAGACAGGCTTCATATGTTCATAGATTACCTTCCCATACGTTTCTCGGTCTTCCTCTATCATCTTCATCCATGGAACCAAAAGAAGGGAGAGGATATATTCTTCTGCTGGGTCAAAAAGATCTTCAAATGGCGGATCAATTCTTTTGTAAATCTCATTTTTTTGTTCTATTCCAATATCCATTTCAGCAGAAGGAGCAATATAATTGGCATAAAGGAGCTATGTTAGATTAAAAAAAAGAAGAGATAAATTGCTCAACAATTATCAAGTACAATAAAGTTCTGTTAAAATGAAAGATCAAAAATATTGTTGTAATATTATTTGAATTAACTTAGTTTTTTTATTGTGTACTGTAACTAATAACTGCAAAATGTAGTTTCTCCTTTCTTCCCTATTTATTTTTTCTGACAATTCCTACTTTATTTTTTCCCCCTCAAACAAAAGAATATATATTTTTCCTTGATCCTAAGACTGGTTCATGCACAAACTGCTTTATGGGTATTTGTGAACAAGATCCAGATAAGTACATGTTACGTATTGTGGCAGACATAGTGATTTTTAAGCAAAGACACTTTGATGCATTATACGCTATACATAAAGCAAAGTCCTGCAGTAGTAGGTCTTAGTATACTGTTCTGAACTGAATGAATATAAGAAAGTCTTGTATAAAGAAGGAGCAGTAGCATAGGGCAGGCTAGATTAAAATCTGTCAGATATTATAGTTACATGGAAAGTTTTTTTAAAAAACAAACAAACACAGAAGCGGTTTTAAAAAAATGCCACTGTGTGTGGTCTAGTAGTAAAATCCACTTTAACGTCATAGTTCTCTGCCATTTCATCCTGCAGCACCTTCAGAGCATCTAGACCGCAAGTCTAAGACATCAATGTACCTTATTATGCTTATTTTTTGATTGGTAAGAAGTTCCAGGGTAAAGTTATGCTGGCCTTGTTTCCTTTGGAAGAAGATCAGTCCTACCAATGTTTTAAAATACTGACATTTATTTATAGCTATCCAGGTTGAGCCCAGGGCTGCTACATCAGAGAAAACAACCTGCACCACAAAATGTTCTTAGGTTGTCCTCAAGTCTGTAATTTCTCTTCCCATGTACACATTACCTAAAACAACATCACTCTTAGCAAGCAATTGCCTAACAGCTGAAAACCCCAATCAGTCATTTCCCTAATAAGATCTTCAGCAACATTACCAAAACTATTGGAGACCCTTGTTGGCCGCATTCCTGAATCAATTATCTTTTCCCATTTCATCCCTATGAAACAACATTTGAGAACTCGATCGCAAATGATGACCCAATGTAGTTCAACTTCAGTCAGTTTTAAGTGTGAAAAAATGTCATGGAACTTTGAAGAGTACATTGAAATTACCAGGCTCCAGGTGTTTGGTTTTTTTAAAGAAATTGCCAAAGAAAGTAACTGATTTGAACAAATTGCTATATAAAAGCTGGTTTTAGTCCTATATGCCGAAATTAATTTTTATCTCTTACTCTAGTCTATAAAATGCTTGGACCGTAACAATAAATGTTCTCAACTCTGGACAAGTCAAATTTAATTTAGTTTGGATAGGAACTAATGGTGGATAGATTAGTTCTGATCCAATCGGAATAACTGATGTGGCTGAGATTATTGACGTGATTCAACAATGTAATCTGTCAATTCAAAGAGTTGTCTGAATTGATTTCCCAAATCAAACTTCACACATCCCTGGTGGAAACTATTTTATTTTATTTTTATGTGAAATAAATGGAACTTTAGAAAAAAGAGGAAATGCTATGTTGCTTTTTTTTTTTAAATTTCCACAATATCAGAATGTGAATACTTTCAGGGACTACATACTGTGATGAATAAAAATATGGTGATTTTACAGTATTGTATTTATTAAGGCGGTGGAGTTTCTTTAAAGAGATGCAGACCAGCACAACAGTTATGCTCCTGTCAGCTACAAAGCGTTTTGGAGAATTGGATCTGAAACATTACACAGCACCATTATTTAATAAGGCATCTATATCCTTTTGAATAAAAACACCCCAGAGGCCTGTTTACAATTACATAAAAACAATTTAACAAAACAACCAAGAACAGCACACAGAGTCAATATTTAAAACCAAAACATAACAAATATTTTCTACCAGATATAACAAATGCTTGTTTGAAAAAACAATATTCATATCCAGCAACATGAAAAACAGCCAGGGAGGACACCAGCTAACTTTGTGGGTCAAGATGTTCCATAATATGGGTGCAATCATTTAGGAAGCCCTCTTTTTCAAATTAGTGAATAGTCTTCTAACTTAGATGGGGTCCAGGATAACAGCTCTCTTGGGAACAGACATATTAAAGTTGGAGCAAATAGATTTTTAACAAGCAATCCAAGCTATTTCCCACTAACTGTCCGAGGATTTTAAAACAGAGATTAAGAAAAACCTCCTCACAGTCACAATCCTGGCACTAATCTTGGGTTGTTACACTGGTGTCCCAGCCAGGATTTCCTCCAGCTGGCCAATGAGAAGATGCAAAGAGGGGGAGTAGCTGGCATCCTTCCACTGCTTTTTTTCCTTGCTATATTTGCTTTTGCTGGGGGGGGTGGGGAAGGGAGGGAGACAAGGAAGAGACTAAAACAATAGCAGCAGCAACATGAGGGGAAATACAAAACTACCCCTTGGAATGAAGGATGGAGGCATGTTAAAAAGAGGCCACTATGCCTTGCCTAAAGGAGGCTGGAAGAATTCCTGAAGTTAATAGACAAGACAAGAGTTGATTTCCCACCAAATCATTCTGCAGTTCCAGGGGAAATAGTGAAAAAAATGCCTTTACTGTGTCCCTCTGAAGCATAGAATTATGAAACCATAGCTATGGAGGTTTGAAAGAGAACTTGGATGTCTTCTACTATAACTCCTGTACAAGGGAGGAATCCTGAGTCCATCCCAATCAAATGGCTGATCAACATCTGTTTGAAAATCTTCAGTGATGAAGCACCCATGACTCCAGGAAGTAGGTTGTTTTCTCTGCTTAACAGCTCTCACAGTCAGGAAATCCTTTCTTATTTTGAGTTTGTATCTCTCTCTCTAAAGTTTCCATCTGTTGGTTCTTATCCTATCTTGGGGCATTATGGAGTATAAATCTACATTGTTTCCCCTTGTCACAGCCCTTTAAAGTATTAGAAGACTGCTATCATGTTTCCCCTGAGCCTTCTTTTCTTTAAGCTCAATATACCTAGAACGGCTCATACTTAATCTGCTTCCCAAAATCAAGACAAGCTTTGAAGCATCAAATAGAAACAGCCAGGCAGTTCTGATCTCAGATCAATGCAAAAACTGATCTGGGAAAATCAAACAAGACAGCAAGCTCAGCATCAAGAACCAAGCCTTGCATGTACAAAAGGAGTGACCAAGCAACAGCTAAACATATGAATCACGTCATTTTCTCCTGGAGGGTCAGTACTTTGTCAGTACTTTGGTAGAAAATTTTGGGGCCAAACAGTGTATACAGAACCTCTGAGGGTTACTTCTTTTGCTAGTAGGACAGTGAGGTAGACAGGACCAAAGCAATACTTACATTTGATTTCTCTTCTGTTTCATTTCATGAAATTTAAATTAACTAAGTACAGCTAATAGGATTACTCATATGCATCTAATAATTGTCCTGTACTGTCATACCAAAAATTATAATTTGACCACTATTTTAGGAGCTTCAGAGGCAGCAACTAAAAATTTGTGTGACTGCAGGTAGTGTGTTTGCTAAACAACAAAACAAAATAAAAAGCTCCATCTGGGAAAGTTATAAGCAAATATGCCATGTATATCTGTGTGAAGGATCTGTAACATTTGCTTTATTAATTTTTTTTTATTTCATCAAGCCGGGCTGGCCTAACTTTCCAATGGTGTAATTTTAAATTTGATTTTTAAATGGGGGATTTTAACTGTTGGGCCAAATTGCTTAATATATTTTTAAATTGTTTTTAAATTTTGTATTCTATGTTTTTTACCTATGGCTGTTCACCGCCCTGAGTCCTTTGGGAGAAGGGCGGTATATAAATTTAAATATTAAATTAAATTAAATTAAATAATTAAATTATAATTCTGTGTTTCGAGGAGCAAATTGTATAAGTAAAGTCCAGGCTGTGAGTCACCATGGCATTAGCGGAACAAGGAAGAAAGGAAATTCAAAAATATTTTTGTGTATAAAATTTAAGAGTTAAAAGGTGTAACTGATTATTTCTAGGACAGGAAGGTTTTCCACTTCTGTATTGCTATCTGATTTATCTTATCCCTAGGCTGAAACTGCAGATCAAACAGAAATTTAAGTTCTTCTCCAAGATGGTGTCTTCTCAATGTGTGGAATTGCATTTTGCAATTCTAAGGCAGCATGGACAAAGGTTGGCAAACTAGGAATTCTGAAAACGGTAGGACAAGCCTACATCTAAAGAGCCCCAGGTTGAGGGAAGTTCTATGAGGCCAATCATAATGATCGAACAGTAAATTTGTGAGCTGTCACATCTGACATAAATTATATCATTCATGACATTTGTGTGATGACACTATGATCCTTGTGATGTTACTTGTCATTCAGATCAGATCCTAAAGGTCAAAGCTCTTCACTGATTTTAGAGGTCCAATAGAACAGTATGCTGGATGAGATGGACTTGGTCTGATGCATTGCAACTCAATGAAAAAGCACATCATTTGCCATTAGTTGACTACTGAGTGCCAATAATTTTAACTTTTCCCTTTTCTTAATTGTGAGAGCTCTCTATTATAAATTCAATTCCCATTCTGTTTATGCTTTCCAGTTTTTTTTCTGGAACACTAAAACTTTCAAATGGCCTTTGTATAGGATAATACTCCCAACAATTATTGTATGATACAGTCCATAACATGGAAAATATGTTTTAAATGGTTGCCTATAAATACTTGAAAAGTTCATATTAAAGTCACAGTATATATAATAGAATATCAGGCTTCATTTATTTGGTGATTTCTTTTTTACCTCAGTAAAAGAAGAATGTTTTATTCTATATTGCCTCTATATATTTCTCTATAATATAAAATGTATTAAGAGATGGGCCTAAAGCAACTACCAGATGTAGATTCTGCTCGGGTTTTGCATCTTTATGTAATTTATAAAAGCAAAATCTGGAGACAATAAATCCAGCTCTCCCCCTTCCCCACGCCCCTTCCTCACACCCCCTTCCCCACCCCCCACTC